CCATGCATTCTTTGTGTGTGTGTGTGTGTGTGTGTGTGTGCGTTGTGTGTGCTTGTACTGGGGCTTGAACTCAGGGCCTAGTACTCTTGCTTTTTTACTAAGGCTGGTACTCTCCCCCTTGAACCACAGCCTCACTTCTGGTTTTTTGTTGGTTAATTGCTAATGAGAGTCTAACAGAATTTTCTGCCAGGCTTGCTTCAAACCACCATTTGCAGATCTGAGGCTCCTGAGTAGCTAGGATTCTGCATGCATTCTTGTTATTTGTTGTAGTTACATTCCATAAATTGGCCTCAAACACTCAATTGGGATTATAGACTATTGTTCCTAGAGAAGAAGGTTAGGTTGTGCAAGCCTTCCAGGTAGCAGTACTTATGTACTTATGTGCCTAGTCAGTATATAACCTCCTGTGTGTCTTCTTTAAACAAACTTAGACTGCTGATTAACATTGGAAGAATAGCTCATAGCACTGTAACTGGTGCTTAAATGGAACCTATCTAACTTGCATTTCCTGTGGTGGGTGCATGGTAGCATTCTTAGGCATGGCAAAATTAGTCAGTGTGTCAGCATTTTGCTTGGCTACCATTCTAGACATGGAAAGAGTCAAGGAAAAGTACCAAGCTGCAAAACATGGCAGGAAGTACCTGTCACTGAGTGACTGTGAAAAGGTCACTGATGAGTTAGAGAATGAAAGAGGAAAGCAGAAGTATCATCAGTAGGACACATGGCAGAAGTCAGCACCACGCTCATGACCACCCGTCAGTTTCCAGATCCAGAGTTACACAGTGGAAAATATATCTAATTTTGCAGTAACTGAACAATCTACATCCATGTGCAATTCTACACATTGGAACCTCATGACAGAATTGAAATGTCTCATATAAAACTTCTCCAGGCACTGGTGGCTTATGCCTGTAATCCTAACTACTCAGAAGGCTGAGGGTCTAAGGATCTCAGTTGAAAGCCAGCCTGGGCAGACAAATCTGAGACTCATATCTCCAATTAACCAGCAAAAAGTCAGATGGTATGATTCAAGGGATAGCATGCCAGACTTGAACTAAAAAGCCAAGCAAGAGTATGAGGCCATAAGTTCCAGACCTAGTACTGGTGAAATAAACAAATGAACAAGCAAGCAAGCAAATAAATAACTTCCTGATAGGATAAAAAAAAAAGCACACAAATACAAATCAAACAAGCTGTCAATCAAAAAGAGGACAGTCTGTATAGCAAGAGGTAGTGAACTTCCAGGGCACCAGCACCAGTCAATGAAGCATTTCAGTGTTAAATCCAATTATTTCACTTTGGGCCCTGTGAGAAACAGATACCAAAGTTGGCTTGGACATGCTCTACATTTATTGGAGGGAGTGCATGGAAGGGGACAGAGGCAGGGAGTAGGAATTGTACCTGAGAAATGTGAGGAAAGCAAGATTGGGTAGGGGAGAGCCTCATATCTGAGCACAATTCTGACACTATCTCAGTCAGACAGATGGGGAGTCCCTGAGCCGAAGTAGTCTGATAGAGAGCATCCTACATGAAGTAGGAATGACCAGCTCAGCTGCGCTCCCTTGCACTTCAGGTGGGCCTCAGTCGCATGATCCTCCTGTCTCAATCTCCCAAGTGCTGAGGTGTCCACACACAGACCAGGTTTTATGCTTTCATTGTTGTTGTTTTGAATGTCCAATTAGATACATATTTCCAGATGATAAGAAGGCCTTGAGAGGCTCAGACCAGGCTAAGTTCCCATAGTCATGTTCTCACTTCACAGGGTATTTTCTTCATGTGGTTTATTATCACACATAGCAATTTTATACTCATTTATGTGTTTTATTAATACCTGATTTTCCTTCTAAAATGCCACCTGATCCAGGTGAAGTGGCTCATTTTTTGGGGGGGGGTCCGGTAGTAGGGTCTGAACTCTGGGCCTGGGCACTGTCCCTCAGCTCTTCAGCTCAAGGCTAGCACTCTAACACTTGAGCCACAGCACCACTTCCGGCTTTTTGCTTTTTGCTTATGTGGTGCTGAGGAATCGAACCCAGGGCCTCATGCATGCAAGGCAAGCGCTCTGCCACTGAGCCACCTTCCCAGCCCTGAAGTGGCTCATTCTTGTAATTTCAGCTACTTAAGAGGTAGAGATAGGAAATGGTAAATTGAGGCTAGCCTGGGCAAAATGCGCAAGACTCTGTTTGAAAAAATAAAGTAAAAAAGCAAAAGCTTTAGAGGTATGGTCTAAATGGTAGAGTGCTTGTATAGCAAGCATGAACTCCTAAGTTCCATAGCCTGTGCCATGAAAGAAAGAAGGAAAGAAGGAAAGAAAAAAGAAATACCTGACATAGAATCTAGGTTAAAATCAACTCTCACTGAATAAATTACATGTATTTCTCCAATGAGAAAAAATAAATGTAAAGTTCAAAAAGAAGGAAATTAACTTCTTTTCACTTATTACTTACAATAGACACCCCCCATAAACAGCTAAAGCACTTTAACTATATGTGACATCAGAATTGTTCCATCAGATGAAGATTGGAAGTCTATTTGTTTTGTCCTTACATTTCAGTAATCATCAATTCTAAGTCTTCATTTTTTAAAATTACTTTAGCTAACCATGGCTTACACTTGTAATCCCAGCTACTCAGGAGGCTGAGATCTGAGAATTGTGAATTGAAGCCATCGTGGGCAGGAAAGTCCATGAGACTCTTATCTTCAATACATGACTAAAAAGCCAGGAGTAGAGCAGTATCTCAAGTGGTAGAGCATCAGCCTTGAGTAAAATAAGCTCAGGATAGTACCCAGGCCCTGAGTTCAAACCCCAGAACTGGTACCAAAAAAATTAGATCTAGGGCTGGGAAGGTAGCTCAGTGGTAGAGTGCTTGCCTTGCATGCCTGAGGCCCTGGGTTCGATTCCTCAGCACCACATAAGCAAAAAGCAAAAAGCCGGAAGTGGCACTGTGGCTCAAGTGGTAGAGCGCCAGCCTTGAGCTGAAGAGCTGAGGGACAGCGCCCAGGCCCATAGTTCAGGCCCCATGACCAGACCCCCCCCAAAAAAATTAGATCTATCTATCTATCTGTGTATCTATCTGTGTATCTATCTGTGTATCTATCTATGTATCTACCTACCTATCTATCTATCTATCTATCTATCTATCTATCTATCTATCTATCTATCTATCTATCTATCTATCTATCTATCTATCTATCTATCTATGCCTTTAAGTAGTTGTACAGAGAGGCTTCAATTCAACAAATCTCTGAGGGCTCTGATAAAGATTGAGCAAGCTCAAGAGGTGGGCTAAACCATTCTGTAGACACAGAAGTTGATAGTTGTGGCTGATCAATACTTCTAGCCCCAAACCTCACAACTCTTCTTGGAGCCCTCCAGGTCTCAGATCTGTGGTTTAGAACCCATGGCCTAGCGTTGCCCATATTCAATTAAGTAGTTTTCTTGAGAAAAGGATGTTCTCTTTGACAATATGACCTCATTCAGAAGTAATCTCTCCACATTCCTCCCTTGGGCAGATGGTAGCTGGGGAAAGGTGACAAGATTTCTCCAAGGCCACCTGATGAATCAGTTGCATGACAGGAACAAAGCCTAGCTTTATTGATGACTGAGACCTAGAGGCTCCAAACCTCCCTGATACGTTCTATTTAACAGGATGACTAATTCAATAGTCATTTATTTGCTCTGGGACATGCTCCACAAACACCAGACCAGTTTCAATGCACCTTCTCTGTCAGATTGTAGCAAGCAGCCTACCAGAAGTGCAAGTGAAGAACGCCAAGGGAGGTGGAGTTCTTTACATGGCAGATGCTTCCCCATACCTCTACATGGTGTGCAGAGGAGACACAAATGCAGGAAGTTGGAAGTCAATACAAAACACCTTTCTGCTAGAGTGATTTTTTAATTTTGTTTTCTTTTGTGCTGGTACCAGGGCTTAAACTCAAGGCCTTGCACTCTTGAGTTTTTCACTCAAGTGGTGGGTCCTCTACTACTTGAGCGATACCTCCACTTTCAGCTTCTTGCTAGGTAATTGGCAATAAAAGTCTCTCAGATTTGACTCCTGGGGCTGGCTTCTAATCTCGATCCTCAGATATCAGCCTCCTAAGTAACAGGGAATATAGGCATGAGGCCTCAGTGCCCCGCTTAGAGTGAGGGATTTTAAAATCTCCTTGGATGTCTTAACCATTCAATTATGCATTTTTTCTCACTCTATTTTGAAACTTTGCTCATTCTTAAGTACAAAGGCCTTTGCAAGAAGTTTCAAATAGCCGGGCGCTGGTGGCTCACGCCTGTAATCCTAGCTACTCAGGAGGCTGAGATGGGGATCGCAGTTCAAAGCCAGCCCTGGCAGGAGAGACTGTGAGACTCCTATCTCCAATAAACCACCAGAAAACCAGAAGTGGTGCTGTAGCTCAAGTGGCAGAGCGCTCGCCTTGAGCTGAAGAGCTGAAGGACAGCGCCCAGGCCCAGAGTTCAAGCCCCACGGCCGACCAAAGAAAAAAAAAAAAAAGAAGTTTCAAATAACTGCATACAGGAAAGCACTGGAGGTATGGATGGACAAAGACCCTCAGACATGGGTTACTCTGAGGCTCAGAATTAAGAAGGAAGAAGTTTGGGGTATTGAAGTAGAGAGTCATTGAGAATAGGAGACAGGAAGAAATGGTCCCCATGTTCTCATGGAGGAAGTCAGGAAAGGTGTTTCCCAGGGCATTCTTTTCTCTATTTCTGTTGTGATTGCTGTTTTTTGTTTATTTTGCTGATACTAGAGCTTAAACTCCTCACACTTTTACATGGCTTTTCTTGCTCAAGGCGGTTGCTCTACCATTTGAGTCACAGCTCCACATCTTTTTTTGCTAGTTCATTGGAGATAAAAATTATACGGACTTTTTTTTGCCTGGGCTGGCTTCAAACCCAGATCCCGAGATTCTCAGACTCCTCATGAACTAAGATTACAGGCATGAGCCACTGGTGCCCAGCTGTGTGATTCATTCTAATTTTTTATTTTCAGACACAGATGAGACATGCCCTTCGTTCACCAAGCTGAGTTTCCACAGTGCTGTGGTTGGCACAGGACTAAATGTGAAGTTAATGCTCTACACAAAGAAAAACCTGAGCTGTGCACAAGTCATCAATTCCACAGCTTTTGGGAACTTGAATGTAACCAAGAAAACTACCTTCATTGTCCATGGATTCAGGCCAACAGGCTCTCCTCCAGTGTGGATGGAGGACTTAGTACAGGGTTTGCTCCTTGTAGAAGACATGAACGTGGTTGTTGTTGATTGGAATCGAGGAGCTACAACTGTAATATACACACACGCCTCTAGTAGGACCAGAAAAGTAGCTCTCATCTTGAAGGAATTTATCGACAAGATGTTGGTAAGAAAGAGTTCTATTAGATGATTTGAGATCAAAATGAAACTGGTCAGTTACCTGGAAGTTTAAAACCAAGAGATATATAGTTAATATTTTGTAAATCTGAATAAGACCCAGGAAAGGTCTGGAAGGGATTGCAGGTAAGGCCCATAGGTATGTTATGCAGGTTGTACACTGCCCAAGACACTGAGTTAAGTAAACAACATTGTCCTTGTAGATGTTGGAGCTTTACATATTACTTATGATTGTTTTCCCACAGATGATGACAGTGTCTTGAGAAAGGGAGATCCTTTTGTAATTCAAAAATGGTATTTATTGAGTAGGAGAGGCTCTGGGTGGGTTTCCTGGTTTAATGCTTCAAGTTTCTTTCATGTCTATACCTAATCCTTTTACTACCTGTTTAGTGTCCAGATTCTCCAAGACCATAACGAAGGGACATATGGTCCCATGAGATGATTTATGTCTTTAGGAGATAGTAAAGGGGAAACCTTATATTTTATTTAGTGATCTATCACACAAATTGCCCCTTTTAACAATAACAAAGAAGTGACAAAACCCTGACTATTTCAGAGTCAGGTTTGGTGGCCATGTAGCTGGAGTGACATGAGTTTTACAGCCCTAGAAAGAGATTCTTGGAATAGCTCAGGACAAACTCATAGTAGCCTATGGACAGTGTGGTCACCCCCCCCCCCTCCTTTCTTTCTTCTTTCCTCCCTCTCTATAAACTGCATAAACTGAGCTAGGATGAAGATAAAGGAATTCATTGGGATGTATTGTCAAACTTGTCACCCATTTGTAAGGCTTTAAAGATAGCTCAGAGTGGTTTATACCAGAAATGTGATGGACATGGACAGAAGCCAGGCACTAGTAGCTCATGTCTGTACTCCTAGCTACTTAGAAGGCTGAGATCCAAAGATTGTGGTTCAAAGCCAACCCATGCAGAAAAGTCTATGAGACCCTTATTTTCAGTCAACTAGCAAAAAAAAAATCACAAGTAGAGCTGTGGCTCAAGTGGTAGAGAATTAGCTTTGAGGAAAAAAACAAACAAACAAAGGAAAATGACCAGGCTCTGAGTTCAAGCCCCAGAAGAAAGAAGAAAGAAGTAAGGGAAGAAGGAAGGAAGGAAGGAAGGAAGAAAGGAAGGAAGGAAGGAAGGAAGGAAGGAAGGAAGGAAGGAAGGAAGGAAGGAAGGAAGGAAGGAAGGAAGGAAGGAAGGGGAAATAAATGTGATGGGGACACCATAAGCACTGTGTGGGGTTGAGTGGGTTGGTTAGATTCCTGCTCTGCTCCCTCCTCAACTGTCTGACCTCAACTAGATGACACTAACTCTGGGCCTCTGTTTCTTCATCTTAAAAGCAAAAGAATAGTATTTCCTATTACAGAGGTATTGTGGCATACTGTGATGCAGGTGTGTGTGTGTGTGTGTGTGTGTGTGTGTGTGTGTGTGTGTGTGTGTGTGTGTGTGTGTTGCTGGGATTGAACCCAGGGCCTAGACAAGGATTCCATCACTGAACTCTCCCCGCAGGCCTGGTGTGACATTTAAATGAGACATAAATGTGTAGTACTTAGGGATATTTCCCCAATGTGAACAGATCAGAGATTTCTCAAATGTAGATACTTTATAATGATAGACTTTTTGAAATTCCAGGTGGAAGGAGGTTCTCTTGACAACATTTATATGATTGGAGTAAGTCTGGGAGCCCACATATCTGGATTTGTTGGAGAAATGTATGACGGGCAGCTGGGGAGAATTACAGGTGAGGCTCTGGTGGGCGGGCCTGGGGAGCTGTTTAGCTGGGGGAGCATTATAAAAGCAATCCAAGACAGCACTTCCAAATATTGAACCTCTTGAGCATGGGTCCTCTTCTTGTAAAGGAGGATCAAATATTGTTGACCTCAGAGTATTATTATTATTAATATTAATTAATTTTTGTGCCAGTCCTGGGACTTGAATTCAGGCTAGGCACTGCCTCTGAACTATTTTGCTCAAGGATAGCACTCTCTCACTTTAGCCACAGCTCCATTATCAGCTTTTTTGGTGGCTAGTTGAAGATGAGTCTCATGGACTTTCTTGCTTGGGCTGGCTTTAAACCATGATCTCAGCCTCCTATGTAGCTATGATTACAGATATGAGCCATCGGTACCTATTGAACTCAGATATAATGCACGTGACATATTTGCAAATTGTATGTGCCATAGAAAAGAATGGTGATGGACCTTATTTCTCTTATGGCTAGAAAAGCAGCAATGTCCCTTGGGGACATTTGATCTGTAGTCCTAGAACAAAGAGTTTGCTTCCTTTCAGTGAACCCAGGATGGCCTGGCTGGTGTAACTAGCACGCTGCAGTCCCCAGACACAGCAGAATCTTGTGGTAGGAAAAGGAGATGGGAATTTTGATGGCTGGGCCTTATTCTCTAGATATCAACTTTCCAGTCAACACAGAATGAAAACACTCAGAAATGCAGCCAGTCAAACCTCAAAGAGACACACTTCCTTCCTGTGATCTCTTGCCTGGAGCTTCGGAACTTTCCATAGATACTTAGAGGGCAGAGGGCGGCTCTCTCAGACAAAAGGACTTTCTATCACTGTTCCCAGAATCCATTCTCAGGCTCAGGGAGCCTTTCAAATCCAGAGAATATAGAAGGTAGAAATGTATATGAATGGAATATAAGTTATTCAAACAAACCATAATTCGGGTCCTAATCTGAAGGGGCTATTTAAATGTGCAAAAGTCTCCCTCTGTCTCCCTGTCTCTGCCTCTGTCTTTTTCTCTCTCATATACACATATACACACAGAGGATGGTTTCTCCATCTAGTCCTCTAATCTGGGTATATGGAGTCCTACATGATTTTTCTCGTTTTAATTCAAGGCCAGAGTTGCCTCATCTTTTTTTTTTTTTTTGTCGGTCGTGGGGCTTGAACTCTGGGCTTGGGCACTGTCCCTGCGCTCTTCAGCTCAAGGCGAGCACTTTACCACTTGAGCCACAGTGCCACTTCTGGTTTTCTAGTGGTTTATTGGAAATAAGAGTCTCTTGGACTTTCCTGCCTGGGCTGGCTTTGAACTGAGATCCTCAGATCTCAGCCTCCTGAGTAGCTAGGATTACAGGTGTGAGCCGAGGGTGCCTCATCTTATTTACCTGCTTTCCTAGGGAAGCAAAAATGCTTTTCAAGTTTCAAGGTGCATTATTTCTATATTCTAGAAAGCACTGAACATTTAAAAATGTCTCTAATCTCAGCACTGAGGAGAGTGAGGCAAGAAGATCAGAAGTCACAAGTTTGAGGCCAGCCTGGGCTACATGGCAAGACACTGTTTGTTTGCTTGCTTTGCTTTTTAAAGCTTTGTCTTCTGAGGAGAAGGAACTCATTGTTTGTGTTTGCCTCTGTCCTCATCTGTTGGGAGTTCTCTTCTGGTGCTGGGACTTTTCCTAGTGCAGGGCTTAGAAATAGGCCCAAACCCCTCTGTACAGCATCTTTACAATAAAATAAAATTTTTAAAAAAGAAACAGACCAATTCTAAGAGACAGAGACAGAGAGAGATAGAGAGAGACAGCAGAGTAAGTGGAAGAAGAGGGAGAAGTCTTAATTGGAAGAAATGGATGGTTCATATGGTGAAACCCCCTATCATGCTAGATCTCAAGACATGAATCTCATATCTCTGACTAGAGTTTGGGAGAAGATGAGCAAAGGCCTTTTCCTGGCCTACTTACAACCCTACATCTCACAAGAAACCTGTTCTCCAAACTGCTGTGAAAGCGAACTGTACTGTTTTCTGGCCTCTGACCAGGAGCATGCCGAAGCCAACCTTCCTCCTACTCTAGGCCCTGAGAGCACTGAAAGCACTGATGTCCCCCTGACAGCCGTATCTTACAAGTGTCCTTGCTGTCAACCCCACTAAACTATCTCCCTTCCCCTTTCCCCTGAACAAACACACCCAGTGGTCTTGAAAGAGAGCCCGAGACCAAGGCCATGTCTGAGGCTGACACCTGATGAACACAGATGCTGTTGAAACCTTGAAACTCCTTAATCAAAAATAACACTGCTCACCCACCCAGCCTCCCTCTCACCCCCTGACTTCATGCTAAATAGGCCCTAGTTATAAGGGAGGTGCACCATTTCTCCTTCAGCCAGGCGGAAGGAGACTTGGTTGCTATTCCCAGGTTTTCCTCCTAAATAAAACCTGTTGGTCTGTTGTATTCTCCCTTTCTGCTCTTTTTATTTTCTTACACAAGTAACTTGTTCCGTGGCCTGGATTCAGCTGCTGAACCCCAGCTCAATGTTCTACCTCTGTGTGCTCTTCACACCTCATCCTTCCTGAGTCCCAAGGTTAATCACAGCTCTAAGAGCAATCTAAGAGCTGTTATTGATCAAGAGCAGCTTCAGGAGTCAAGCATTTCCCCTCTCTTCGCCTCTCCAACTGGGTAGGCTCACTGGACATGATGGGTTGGGGATGTAGCCTGCTCCCCATTGCCACAACTCCCACATTTAAGTAGCTATACTTGGTATTATCTAGGCCTCAAATGGCTGCTTCATCTCTTCCATTTCCCCTCCTTCTAATTGTCCTGGTTCTATTTCTCATTTAATTAAGTACTTAATTGTGGTGCTGAGGCTCTAATCCAGGACCTCATTCATGCTAAGCAAGTATTCTACCACTGAGCTATAATCCCAGCCCAGGAATCTCTATATCTTTTTTTTTAATGGTATTGGGTTTGAACTCAGGGCTTCACTACGCTATTGTTCAACCATCTGACTCCCAAGCCTTAGTCCTTTTGTTGTTGGTGGTGGTGGTTGTGGGACTTGAACTCAGGACCTAGGCACTGTTCTTGAGCCTTTTCACTCAAGGTTAGTGCTCTACGACTTTGAGCTACCACCACTTCTGGTTTTCTGGTGATTAATTGGAGATAAGAGTCTTGAGGACTTTCCTGCCTTTGCTGGCTTCGAACCATAATCCTCAGATCTCAGCCTCCTAAGTAGCTAGGATTACAGGCATGAGCCACCAGTGCCTGGCTCCATATTTTCTTTTTAATTTTCTCTTTCTTTCTTCCTTTCTTTCTTCCTTTCTTTTCCTTCCTCCCTTCCCTTTCCTTCCTTCCTTTCTTTCTTTCTTCCTTTTTTCTTTCTCTCCCTTTCTTCCTTCCTTCCTTCCTTCCTTCCTTCCTTCCTTCCTTCCTTTCTCTGGGTAATGTCCATGAACTTTCTTGCTAAAGGCTAGCACTTTACCACTTGAGTTATAGCTCCACTTGCAGCTTTTTGGTGATTAACTGGACATTAGAGAATTCCTAGAGTCTCATGGACTTTTTTTCCTGAGCTGGCTTTGAACTGCAATCCTCAGGTCTCAGTCTCCTGAGTAGCTAGGATTATAGGCATGAGCCACTGACACACAGCTTTCATTGTTTATTTTCTTAAACAGGAAATGCTGTGAGGATGAGGAGGCTTGTGAGGTGTGGAGTTGACCCTGTTGTGTTGAGGAAATCCTGTGCTAGGCACTTGAGTGCCAGGGTATTGGGCCCATCTCCTCCCACACAAGTTTCAATTGGGAGTGGACAGAAGACAGGCTGGGGATGTTGGGTGGAGGTGAGCAAAGAAAAGAGAAAAAAACTGCCTGTGGGAAGCAGATGAGCACAGGGAGAGGAGGAATGGTGAGACTGAAGCTCAAAGCAGCAACCTTGAGGGAAACATGCTTTCTCTTCTGTTTTATATGTAACTTTAGGAACAGAAGATGACATTTATTATTTGTCATATGACCCTCAAGTGGTGCAAAGTGGTGGAGACATGTTTTGCATGCATAAATGCCTAACTTCTATCCAGAGTTCAGTACGAAAGCCAAACAATGCTCATACAGAGATTCTACTAGAGCCAGGTGCTGGTGGCTCACACCTGTAGACTTAACTACTCAAGAGGCTGAGATCTGAGGATCAAGGCTCGGAGCCAGTGTGAGCAGAAAAGTCTGTGAGATACTTATCTCCAGTTCACCAGCAAAGAGCTAAGAAGAGGGGGTGTGGCTCAAGCGATAAAGCACCAGCCTTGAGTAAAAAAGCCAAGTGAGAACATGAAGCCTTGAGTTCAAGTCCCAGTATACACACACACAAGCAAAAAAAAAAACAAAAACAAAACTGTTCTACTGGGCAGTTATATTCATGGATAAAAACTCAAAGGAGATGACATTGTCTCATGATGGCTTTACCCATCATAGGCATCTGGTAAGTGAAGCCTTTCTAGCCTCTGCCTTTTTTTTTTTTTTTTTTAAACATTCCTGTTATTTTATTTTATTTTTGTCAGTCATGAGGCTTGAACTCTGGGCCTGGGCACAGTCCCTAAGCTCTTCATCTCAAGGTGCTCTACCACTTGATCCACAGTGCCACTTCTGGTTTTCTGGTGATTTACTGGAGATAAGAGTCTCACAGACTTTCCTGCATGGGCTGGCTTTGAACTGTGATCCTCAGATCTTAGCCTTCTGAGTAGCTAGGATTACAGGTATGAGGATATGAGCCACCTGTGCCCAGCCCTGTTTTTTTTTTTAATTGTTATTATAAAGGTTATATACAGAGCTCTGACTTTTTCCTTAAAGTTCTTTGTGACTACAGCATCATAAGAACTCCTCTTTGGGGCTGGGAATGTGGCTCAGTGGTTGAGCATTTGCCTTGCATGCATGACGCCCTGGGTTCGATTCCTCAGCACCACATAAGCAGAAAAGAAAAAAGCCAGAAGTGGCCCTGTGGCTCAAGTGGTAGAGCACTAGCCTTGAGCTGAAGAGCTGAGGGACAGTGCCCAGGCCCAGAGTTCAGGCCCCACGACCAGACCCCCCCTCCCCCCCAAAAAAAAAGAACTCCTCTTTTCCAATGGCTTTGTAGCAATGGTGAGTGATGTTCAATTAACATTGACCAAGGACAAGGAATTAGCTCAGGCATTGTGGGATGGGTTCAATCGCCTATATCTGCAGGGAGTCACATCCTTTTCCACACTGGGCTATGTCCTTGGCCTGATCAACAAGTTTCCCCCTTTTCTGCTGAGCTGACTCAACTCAGTTCCATGATAGCAAGAGCTCCATGTGATACCATTTGAGGCTAGGCTTTGACTGAGAGGCTTGAGCTCCCTGAACCTCAGTTCAACCATCTGTAAAATGGGAATCCTAACAGCTACTCTGCCTCTGTCTGCAATGTGGGTCAAATGACCTAACCTATGAATGAAGCAGAAGCCATAAAAGAGTGATTCATAACCAGAAGAGGAGGGGGCTGAGTGGCGTTTCTAGAGCATCTAAAATGGGTAAAGGGGAATCTAGCATCTGCCCTGCTTTTTGCCCAATGAGCTCTCCTGGAGTCTGCATGCTGTTCTCAGGAGCACTGCCAGGGCTGCACTGTGGGAAAGAGCCACAGGGCTGTGGACAGGAACCCTAAAAAAGCAGGATAGGAATGTGGGTGCTTGCTCACCGGAGGGTGCCCTGCAGCCTGTAAGCGACTCACCTGGAGGGATCAAAGGCCTGTGCGGTGACTCATGGCGTGGGGCTGCCAAGCCACTCTGTTTTCCTTCCAGGTCTGGACCCTGCGGGCCCTTTATTCAATGGGAGACCTCCTCAGGACAGATTAGACCCCAGCGATGCGAAGTTCGTGGACGTCATCCACTCTGACATTGATGGTAACATTCCTGTCCTTGTGGGTCAGTGGTGCTGCTCCCAGAGTCTCCCCTGGGGAATCATCAGCAGAGCAGAGCAAGTTCCTCCACATGCCCTCTTCTCCTTCAGGGAAGGGTTCCAAATCCGCAGCAATGGGGAAGGGAAGGTGAGGTAGTACAGGGCCTGCCAGCATCTCAGACAGGAGTGGGGATGACTTTCCATCATCTCTTACTTTTAAGTGATCATAAACCAGGCACTGGTGGCTCACCCCATAATCCTAACTACTTAGGAGGCTGAGATCTGAAGCCAGCCTGGGCAGGAATGTACAGTCTCTCCAATTAATTACTCTTCAAAAGAACCAGAAGTGGAGCCATGGATTGAAGCGGTAAAGTGAGCAAAAAAGCTCAGTGACATCACCCAGGCCCTGAGTTCAAGCCCCAGGATTGGCACTGAATAAACAAACAAATAAAGTAATCATAATGCTGAATTAAGGGCAAGATTTCTCACTCTGAATAAATGTTTCCTTAGGGGAAACTGGGTTAGGAGTATGTGATTTCCTAGTGTCTTAGTTCTTGTTAGTTCCTTAAGCTGAAAGGTAAGTTCAGGTACTGTGTTTCTCCACCAGTGACCCTGTTTCTCTGAGGATCTTCCAAGGCCATTTCTACCTCTTAGGACACTGACTCGTATCTGGGTTTGGATACAAGAATCCACTATACCCAGAGGTCTGGGAGAAGAGCTGGAGTAGAAACTGGGGAAGGAGGGAGGAAGTGCCACAGAGAGGTTCACTTAATGGTGTGTTCTCTCTTTATGACATGACCACCTGAAAAATGTGTGTGTGTGTGTGTGTGTGTGTGTGTGTATATTAGGGCTTGAACTCAGGGCTTCATGCTTTCACTTAGCTTTTTTTGCTCAAGGATTGCACTATACCAGTTGAACTACAGCTTCACTGTCAATTTTTTTTTCTGAATAACTGGAAAGAATCTCTCCAATTTATCTGCTCAAATGAGGATCCTCAGATCTCAGCCTCCTGAGTAGCTAGAATTATAAGCAATAAAATTATAAGGCACTGACCTGGTGCCTGGACTTAAAGTCCCCTTGACCCAGAGCTGGGAATGTAGCTCAGGATGCTCCAGCACCACCAGAAACAAAACCAAACCAAAGAAATTCAAAACCTGACTATCTGTTGTGGGCACTCTGGTGTGGCCCTTGAGAAGAAAGGCCTCTCTTTGAAACAGCTGCATGGTACAATGGGCTTGCAAAAGTATATAATACCTTGTGCTATTTTTATGCTTGAAGGAATAAAGCAATTTACTTTTTATTCTTGGAAAATGAATTTTGAAAGGAAGAGTACAAAGGTGGTCAAATGTGAACTTGGATTTTAGGTTCTACTCGTTTTTTTTCCTTTTTTTTTTTTGGTACAGTCCTAGGGCTTGATCCCAGGGCCTATGCACTGTCCCTGAGTTTTTTTGCTCCAGGCTAGTGTTCCACTTGAGTCATAGATCCACTTTTGGCTTTTGGATGGTAGTTAATTGGAGATGAGTCTCACAGACTTACCTGCCCTGGCTGGCTTTGAATGGCTAATCTCAAATTTTAGCTTACCCCTGAGTAGCTAGGATGAATGGTGTGAGCCACTAGCGCCCAGCCTAAATATAGGTGTTTTTTTTTTTTTTTTAAGTTTTAGCAGGATTTATTTTAATATAACAGGATTGAGTTAGGAAGAATTGGGAAAAAAAGAGAAATATTTCCCATTCCTCATGCAAGTAATAGTAGTTAAAGGCTCCTACATATAATTTTGAGAACCTCATTTTCTACAAGTGTTTCCATTCTTTTTTTTCTTTTTTTTTGTTGGTCATGAGCCTGAACGCTGGGCCTGGGCACTGTCTCTCAACTCTTTAGCTCAAGGTGCTCTACCATGTGAGACACAGCACCACTTCCAGCTTTTTCTGCTTATGTGGTGCTGAGGAATGGAACCTAGGACCTCATGCATGCAAGGCAAGCCCTCTACCACTGAGCCACCTTCCTAACCCCTCCATTCATTTTTATCATCCTGGATTCCAATTTTATTTTATCTTTTTCCTAGACTTGGGCCTTTAACTCAGGGCCTGGGTACTGTCACAGAGCTTTTGTGTTCAAGGCTGATACTATACCATTTTGAGCACCACTTAGTGTTCTACCACTTCCAATAAGTTGAAACACACACACACACACACACACACACACACACACACACTTTGTGTGTGTGTGTGTATTAAATTTATTGAGTTTTTGGTGACAGTACTGGGGCTTGAATTTAGGGGTTTGTGCTTTTGTTTAGATTTTTGTGTTGTTGTTGTTGGTCATGGGCCTGAACTCTGGGCCTGGGTGCTGTCCCTCAGCTCTTCAGCTCAAGGCTAGCAATCTACCACTTGAGCCACAGCGCCACTTCTGGCTTTTTCTGCTTATGTGGTGCTGAGGAATGGAACCCAGGGCCTCATGCATGCAAAGCAAGCACTCTACCACTGAGCCATCTTCCCAGCCCTTGTTTAGATTTTTTTTTTTTTTAAATACATGTATTTACAGTGCGGATGAACTGCAGTTGCATATCAACTCCTCCAAATAGAGAAAAAGAAAATGGTGTTAACGTTACTAGTAAGATTCATCTTCTAGCCCTGGGCTTGAGTAGAACAGGAAGAGACACACTTTATAACTTGAAACCAAATGAACAGACAAAATTTTAAAAAGAAAAGAAAAAAGAAAAAAATTACTTTGTTGATTCCTTGGGCTGTGTCTAAAAGATGATATTGTGAATGGTCTCATAGCATAAGGCACTTCGCACAAATAAGTAATAAGCTCTTCAGGCTTAAAAACGGATGACTAATCAGGGAGAAGTTGAAATGCACTCGAGACAGCTGTTGGAGAATTCTGAAGATGTAGACAAGCTTGTGTGTTCATCAACATTCTTTTGTTTAGATTTTTTGCTCAAGGCTAGCTCTCTACCACTTGAGCCATATCTCCATTTCCTCATGCCTACTATGAAGGTGAAAAGTTCCAAGCAGTACAAAAGTACAGTGTTTCTCTTCTAGCCCTGGGCTATAAGGAGCCATTAGGAAACATAGATTTCTACCCAAATGGAGGATTGGATCAACCTGGCTGTCCCAAAACAATATTTGGAGGTAAGTGCAGATACTTTATATTTTGTAAAATAGTGTTTTGACAAGGGCATATGTAAAAATTTGACATTCTATAAGGGATAGCTTTGTGTGTGTGTGTGCATGTGTGTGCGTATGTGTGCGTGCGTGCTTGTTTGTTTTGCCAGCTCTAGGCAAAATTCTGGGCCTGGGCACTGTCTCCGAGCTCCATTTGCTCAAGCCCAGTATTTTACCACTTGGGCCACAGCACCACTTCTGGCTTTTTCTGTGATTAATTGGAGATAAGAGTCTCACAGGCTTTCCTGTCCAGGCTAGCTTTGAACTGTAATCCTCAGATCTCAGCCTCCTGAGTAGCTAGGATTACAGGTGTGAGCCACCAATGCCTGGCCAATGAGGTAGTTTTTATTTTTATTTATTTATTTATTTTTTTGTCGGTCGTGGGGTTTGAACTCTGGGCCTGGGCGCTGTCCCTCAGCTCTTCAGCTCAAGGCGAGCGCTCTACCACTTGAGCTACAGCGCCACTTCCGGTTTTCTGGTGGTTTTTTGGAGATAGGAGTGTCACAGTCTCTCCTGCCCGGGCTGGCTTTGAGCCACAATCCTCAGATCTCAGCCTCCTGAGTAGCTAGGATTACAGGCGTGAGCCACCAGCGCCCGGCTTCGGCTTTTTTCTTATGTGGTGCTGAGGAATCGAACCCAGGGCCTCACGCATGCAAGGCAAGCGCTCTACCACTGAGCCACCTTCCCAGCCCCCCCCCCATATTGTTTCATGAGTGTTCAAACCCATCCTGTGTGTCAGGATGGGGCTGGCACTAGGGCTTGAACTCAGGGCCTGGGCACAGTTCCTGATCTTCTTTTGTTCAAGGCTTGTGCTCTACCACTTGAGCAACAGCACCACTTCCAGCTTTTATGGTAGTTTACTGGAGATAAGGACTTTTGTGCCCAAGCTGTCTTTAAACTGTGATCCTCAGATCTCCGACTCCTGAATAGCTAGGATTGCAGGTGTGAGCCACTGCCACCCATCTGTCTTTAAAAAAAAAAAGACAGTGGCATCTCTTTATGTCCAACTCTTCTGCCACCCATCATCCTGCTCCTCAGTCTCCTGTTTCACGTGACACCCTAGGACCTCACACATACTAAGCATGCGCTGTACCAGTGAGCTGCACCCTCTATCCCTCCGCAGAGAATTAGTATTATTTTAGTTTTTGTGCCAGTACAGGAGCTTAAATTCCAGTCCTGGATGTTGTCCCTTAGATTTTCCTCTCAAGGGTGCCACTCTATCACCTCAGCCACAGCTCCACTTCTAGCTTGTTGGTGGTTAATTGGTGATAATAGTTTTTCTGATTGGTCTGTCCAGGCTGGTTTTGACCCATGATGTTGGGGTCTCAGACTCCTGAATAGTTAGGATTAAAGGCATGAACCACTGGTGCCCAGCATCCTTGGAGAAATTTTGAGTCCCTCCCGTCCTTCCATAGGGGTTGATTCTAGTTCCTTGGTCCTCAATATGGTGGATGATCATTGCAGACTCACCACGCAGACTGTGTTCACATAATACATCTGCTGATGGGCTTCTGACGAAGCACAAGTTGATCTCATCCCATAGTCCAATCCAGGGCAACAAGAAGAGACGGCTTCTTAGTAAACCTCAGAGTTAGTCCCTAATTGAAAGTCTAAACCTGGGCACCTGTGACTCACACCTACTCCCAGCTACTCAGGAAGCTGAGATCTGACCATTAGAGTCCTAAGCCAGATGAGGCAGCAAAGTCCATGAGACCTTTATCTCCAATTAACCACCAAAAAGCTGGAAGTGGAATGTGCCTCAAGTGGTAGAACACCAGCCTTGATCAAAGTGCTCAGGCCCTTAGCTCAAGTCCCAGTAGCAATGCGCATACACACACACACACACACACACACACACATCTAATTAGAATGCTATCTCCTACCCTGTTCTCATAGTACCGTCATCTTTTACTCTGTAGCAAAGCTGTGGTTCTCAAACTGTAACAGTATAAGAATCATGTGCAAAGCTTTTAAAACAGATTTTTGGAGACCTTACTGCCATAATTAAATTAGAATTGGCCTTTCTAACAAGTTCATAGGAGAGGTTAATGCTGCTGGTTGGGTATTGTGAGAATCTTAGCGGCAGTAAACATGGGTGTTAAAGTTACAAAGAGGTGGCTTTAAAATTCCTGCCTTTCTACTTATTAGCACAATGCCTCAGTTTCCCATCTATAAAGGGGAATAATACCACTGAACTTAAAAGATTGTGAGGGTTAGCAACATGTTGTATAAAGCACCTGGTACCTGGTATGATGTTATATACAATATCGTTTCTGGTTTGTCTATACCAGTAGCATAACCTTTATAAATTTCTGGGTTTTGTTTTTTTGTTTACGTGAGGCAGAGTCTTGCTAAATTGGACAGGCTGGCCTTGAATTTTAATCTTCCTGCCTCAGTCTCCCAAGTAGCTGATTACAGATGTGCAACAGTACAGCTGACTTTTCTAAAATGTTAACATTAACCAGGAAGGTACAGTTAACTTTTTCTTTTCTTTCCTTTCTTTTTGTGGATGAATGGTGCTGGACATCGAATCCAGAACCTCACAACTATTAGGCAAGTACTCTATCACTGTGCTACAACCCATCCCCAAATTTACAACCACAGAAGACACATGCATCATCACCATTATTTCACACAATAAAGGATATGAGTTGTTGTTGTTTTGTGGGGGTGTGTTAAAACATTGCCATTGACAGCACCAGTCTCAGAAAGGATGTTGGAGCATCACTGAGCAGTTGTATTTTCAGTGACTTCCAACATCTAGTAATGACCTCCCCTCTGTTGAGTGCTGACATTCTGACTTTCGACTATAAGTGAAAAATTTGGCAGTGATAAGAGCAACTGTCTTTCTCTTGACTTTCTGCAGTCACTGGGATTATTAGTTCTGAATAGTGACAGACTGAACAAACTCACAATGAGACTTTTAGTGAGGGCCCTGTGCAAAAAGAAGCAGGACACAAGGGAACACTCTAAAAGTTGTGATTATTCATCCACCTGCCAATCCTGTCTCCTCCTCCTCCTCCTCCTTGTCCTCCTCCTCCTCCTCCTCTTCCTCCTCCTCCTCCTCCTTTTGGTTCTAGAGATTGAACCAAGGGTCTCACAAGTTCTCTCCCACTTGTATCCCACTAAATCCTTATTGCTACTTGTTCCCCCTGACACCGTGTTAGGATTCAGAACTTCAGCAGTGAACAGAACAGGATACACCCTTATTCAGGGAGAGTAGAAATGCAGATACTCTATTTAAGATAGTACTTGATTAGGCCTACTGGTGATGTTTCATAGTGAAGGATCTTTAAAAAAAATTTAATGTGTGTGCCTGTCCTAGATCTTGAACTCAGGCCCTAGGACACTGAGCTTTATTTGCTCTACCACTTGAGCCAGAGTTCCATTTCTGGTTTTTTAGTGGTTAATTGGAGATGAGTCTCACACACTTTCTTGCACAGGCTGGTTTTGAACTTTAATCCTCAGATCTCAGCCTCCTGAATTGCTAAGATTACAGGCATGAGTTTCTAGTGCCTGGCTTGAAAGATTCTTTTTTTAAAATAAGCTGAAAAGTGGCCATAGTGACATATGCCTATGATCCCAGCACTCGAGAAGTTGGAGGCAGTGGATGGTGAGTTTGAGGCCAGACATTTGGCCACCTACCATTGCAGGGGTGTCTATTTAGTCTGTGAAGTGGCCTTGCAAAGTGAGTCAGGTATGGAGACTTTTGAATGGTTGGGGATTGCACAAGACACAGTGTTTATTGAAATCCTGATTTCAGAGCCTACTTGGAGCTAGAAATGCTTGACAGTGGCTCTGAACTCAGTTTATCAAACATGATTATGATGCAGTGAATCTGTGGCGCAAACTTTAGATGTCAGTGAAAGACACCTCCATTGCTAAATAAGCAAATTGAGGTATTTTTTTTTCTTTCATTTTTTGTTTTTGTTTTTCTTTCTGGTGGTGTTGGGAAAGAAATCCAGGGCCTTGTGCATACTAAGCAAGTGCTCGCCATTGAGCTACACCTCTAGTCTAGTGGTCTTTAAAATATATTTGGTTTTGGGGCTGGGAAGGTGGCTCAGTGGTAGAGTGGTTGCCTGGCATGCATGAGGTCCTAGATTCGATTCCTCAGCACCACATAAGCAGAAAAAGCTGGAAGTGGCACTATGGCTCAAGTGGTAGAGCACTAGCCTTGAGCTGAAGAGCTGAGGGACAGCGCCCAGACCCAGAGTTCAGGCCCCACGAGTTCTCCCCCCCCCCCAAATATATATATTTTGTTTTATTTCTATTATGCCCTTAAATATGAAAGAAAGAAAGGAGGGAGGGAGGGAAGGAGGGAGAGAGACAAGGGAGAGAGGAAAGAAAGGAAGGAGGGAAGAAGGAAAGAAAGAAGAGAGACCCCATAGATAAGGATTCAAACTGTTAAGTGGCAAGGGAAGGATTAAATCATATTTAAGGGCATCTAGCTGTGTGGGGTTTCACAAGGATGAAATGGAATCAAGTACACAGTGCCTGATATGCAGGAGACAGGATACAGTGTGTGTGTGTGTGTGTGTGTGTGTGTGTGTGTGTGTGTGTGTGTGTGAGAGAGAGAGAGAGAGAGAGAGAGAGAGAGAGAGAGAGAGAGAGAGAGAGAGAAAGGAGAAAGAGAGAGAGGGGGCGGTACTATTTAAATGCTCTACTTGCTCTACTGTTACCATTCCCTTTACAACCAAGGCGTTCAGTATTTCAAGTGTGACCACCAGAGGTCCGTGTACCTGTACCTTGCCTCACTGAAAAAGAGCTGTGCCATCACCGCCTACCCTTGTGACTCCTATAGGAATTACAGGAACGGCAAGTGTGTCAGCTGTGGCACACCACAAAAGGTGTCCTGTCCCCTGCTGGGTAAGTCCAATACGCAGTTTATCCCTTTGAGGAACAAAGAACCTTTTGACCATCTGAAAGTAGACCCAAACATCGTATTTGTCTATATAAACTTGGCTTTATTTTATTAAGAAAATTGTTTTTGTGAGACAGAGTCTTGTTACATCCTAGCCCTTATGATCCTCCTGCCTCAGATATGTTGAGATTATAGAGGTGCACCACCATACCTGGCTAATCAGTTTTGTCTAATCAATTTGTTGCTATCTAATCAGCTCTAGTCTCCTAATTATAAAAAGAATCCGAACCAGACCTGGTGGCACACACCTGCCATTCCAGCACTCAAAGTACAAATGAGTTGCCATTCAACAAAGCAGTTGATGAATACCACACATCTTGATCAATGTCATTCTTCTCAGCATTCTCATTCATCCCTCCCAACCATCCCTTCCCTCACTTTTCCTAATTTTGTAGGATATACATTAAGTTTTTTGCTTTTACTGAATTCTCCCCTCTGCCTTCTTTTCATTTGTCTACTTCCCTCCCCTTAACCTCACTCTACCCAGTTTATGTTGTTGAACTTTGGTTTAGCCTTCCTAAGGAATTATGGCTGTTTGCGTTCTTCCCTGAATCTACCGTAATTGTTGATACATTTTTGTACACTTGTATTTTTTTTCCTGGTCCTGGGCCTTGAACTCGGGGCCTGGGCTCTGTCCCTGAACCTCTCTGTGCTCAAGGCTAGTGCTCTACCACTTGAGCCACAGTGCCACTTCTGGCTTTTTCTGTTTGTGTGGGACTGAGGAATGGAACCCAGGGCTTCATGCACGACAGGCAAGCACTCCATCACTAAGCCACATTCCCAACCCTTGCATAACTTAATGTTATTCTTTTCTTTTTTCTTTGGAATTTCCACTAAAAACTCTTTATTATTTTTTTTTCAATTTTTTTATTGTGATTAAGTGGTTACATGATTTCCCAAATTACACAGTATTGTGGGATAGTGAAGCTTAGTTCAAGTCACAAACTTTCATAGGACAAATTGTGTATCATGGTCTATAACACTTATGTGTTATTCTCTTCTAATTTGCCTTATAGGCTATTATGCTGATAACTGGAAAGACTACTTGAGGGAGAAAGATCCTCCAATGACTATGGCCTTCTTTGACACCGCTGAGAAGGAGCCGTTCTGCAGTGAGTTGTGCATGTTGGTGGTCCTGTCTGCCCAACATTTTCATTTTAAGGATGTGTGCATCTCAGAAGGCCATGATAAAGCTTGATGTTTGGAACTAGAGGGGCCTACAACAAATCCTGTCACATAATAATTGTGTGACCTCAAGTCATTTGAGTCTTAAAGTCCTGATTGGTAAAATGGAAATAATATTGCCTCTCTTTCAAGGTATTAGGATAAAAATATCAATCAACCAGGGTTTAATATCTCTGGATAGCCATTATAATCACTTACATCTTTCAGAAAATTGCTTCCTTCCTCAAGAGACATGAAATTGGGCCTGGGAAAATTCAGGGGTCATCTATGGGTCAGTTCTAGCTGTCCAAGAACCATGATGACATAAAGATACCAAGAGATTGAGAAATCCAAATGGGAGCTAATGAGGGGATTGGTTAAATGCTCTGGGATACTATTAGATTTAATCTGGGCAGATGTGTGTCCTTCCTTACTATCTTATATTCCTTTTCATTTTTCTTGGGAACAACCATTTTTCCTTTTTATTATATTATTTTAATTAATTAATTTAATACTTTCTATTTTATTTCATTTATTTTGATAGCTTTGGAGTTTGAATTCAGGGACTTGAGCTTGCTCAGTGTGCTTTCTCAGCTTGTTTGCTTGGCTGGTTGTTCCAGCCCAGCAAGAGGGATAACCATCCTTGTTGTAGTATATTTTAGTTTTTGGGTTTTTTTGTGTGTTTTTTGTTTATCGGTTAAGGGGCTTGAACTCTGGGCCTGGGCACTGACCCTCAGCTCTTCAGCTCAAGGCTAGCGCTCTACCATTTGAGCCACAGATCCACTTCCTGTTTTCTGGTGGTTTCTTGGAGGCAGGAGTCTCATGGACTCTCCTGCCTGGGCTGGCTTTGAACCGAGATTCTCAGATCTCAGCCTACTGAGTAGCTAGGATTACAGGTATGAGCCATTGGCGCCCAGATATTTTAGTTTTATCTATAAAAACTTACCAGTTACTATTCAGGTAATACTTAGATACAACCATTGTTTTTGTTTTTCATTTCGTAATAGAGGAAGTCTGGAGCATGACAGAGATTCCAGGAAAGGAGATCTGATGATTAGTGTGAGTGCCAGAAAAGGTCTCCCGAAAAAAATGATATTAAGCTGAAAACTGCATGATGGATTTACAAAGGGGCCCAAGAAAGGTGTCCATCAGGGAAGGCCTGGGTCAGAGACTAGAGGTACAGGAGCTTAACAGGCCTGGAAAAGAGATGAGGGAGGACAGGTAGGCTAGTGGAGATGGCACAAGTTGTGACCGTCCTTTTGAGCTGTGAAGTGCCTCCAAGTGGCTACTTGGTTGTGGGAAGGAATTGAAGTGGGCCAATCACAATAGCATTAGACCATGAGACTCAAGGCCAAAAGATGGGAACTTGGGATGTTTGAACACGATGACTGATCCCATTAAACACTACTGACACTCTTGCCTTCTTTGCCAAAGAAATGAGAAAGGATTGGTAGGGGAAAACAAACAAACATTTGCCCTGAAGCTTTTAAGAGAAACTCCAGAAGAAGAGAAAAGGACACTGAATTATTAGGAAACGCTGCCTTTTGGGAACCAGGCCTCCAGGGGATCAGCTTAAGGATCTCTCTCTCCTATGTATTCTCTCCCTGTTTCGCAGTTTATCATTATTTTGTGGACATTTTATCCTGGAACAAGAACATAAGAAGGGGGTCCATTACAATCAAACTGACAGACCAAGATGGAAACACCACAGAATCCAAAATCAACCAGTAAGTTGAGTTGTTACCAGCTTGCAGTCCTTAAGTTACCTTTTATATTTGGAAAAATTAAATGTCAGATGTGGCGACTTATTTATGAGATGATACTTTTCCCTGTTTTACAAAATTCACCGTGGAATATACTGCTTAGTTGTTTCCTTTGGCTTTTGATCTCTCAGGCTCTCTACAAATGTAATTGGTGCAATGGCTTTCTTTCCTTTCCTCCATCCTTCCTCTTTCCCTTCTTCCTTACTATGCTGTTTTTCTTCCTTTCCTTCTTTCTTTCTCAGATTAAATATTTATTTATTGTCAGCTGTGGGACTTAAATTAAGGGCCTGAGCACTGTCCCAGAGCCTCTTTGTGCTCAAAGCTAGTGCTCTATCACTTGAGCCACCTCATCACGTCCAATTTTTGAGTGGTTAATTGGAGATAGGAGTCTCACGGGGACTTTTCTGCTTGGGCTGGCTTTGAACTGCGATCCTCAGATCTCAGCCTCCTGAGTAGCTAGGAGTGAGCCACTAGCACCTGATGAATTAAACATTTAATTAAAAAAAATCAGTCTTGGTACTGTAAGGCTTAAAGTATATAGGAAAATGCTGATTTAATTATCCATGTTGTATACATACATCAAAATATCACAGTGTACTGTATGAATATACAATGTTTTTTTTCCCTCTATAACAAAATACCTAAGACAGTCAACATTAGGGAAAAAAAAGATTTATTTTGACTCAAGGTTTCAGAGTTGCAGTCCATGGTCATTTGGCCCATTTGAGCCTAAGTCAGGCAGTTTATCATGATGGAAGGGCATGGCGGAGCTGAGCACTTCATGGAGGGGGGTGGGGAAAAAGAGGGATAGAAAGGGAAGGAAGGATAGAGGGAGGGAGGGAGGGAGAGAGAAAAGAAGGAAGAAAAGGAGGGAGGGAAGGGAGAGAAGTGGGGAGTGGGGAGAGAAAAAAACAGAATCTGAGAAAGTTGTCTTGGGACAAAAATTAACCCATTGAGGAAGATAGAGTCCACATGACCCAATCAGCTCAGATCACTGACTGCTTTAGGATCCAGCCTTTAGTGAAAGAACTCTTAGGGATATTTCCCATCTAAACTATGAAAACTACTGTTGATTAAAAAATATTAATTTAGGGGCTGGGAAGGTGGCTCAGTGGTAGAGTGCTTGCCTGGCATGCATGAGGTCCTGGGTTCCATTCCTCAGCACCACTAAGCAGAAAAAGCTGGAAATGTCGCTGTGTCTCAAGTGGTAGAGCACTAGCCTTCGTCTGAAGAGCTGAGGGACAGTGCCCAGACCCAGAGTTTAGGCCCCACAACCAGCAAATAATAATAATAATAATTTAGGGGCTGGGAAGGTAGCTCAGTGGTAGAGTGCTTGCCTTGCATGCATGAAGTTCTGTATTCAATTCCTCAGCACCACGTAAGCAGAAAAAACCAGAAGTGGTGCTGTGGCTCAAGTGGTAAAGCTCTAGCTTTGAGCTGAAGAGCTGAGAGTCAGTGCCCAGGCCCAAAGTTCAAGCCCCATGATGGCCAAAAAAAATTAATTTAAAAACCATAATGAGATATTCAACATAAAAGACAAAGACTTGTTCCACCTACAACCTGTATCATTTCCAAAGGAAAAAGGCTCTAAGATGAAACACAAACACGCACATCTCTGTTCTTTTTTAAAATATACTTTTATAGTTATTTAATATAGTTATTTCATATTGTTATATTTTATTGTACAGAGTTGTTTCTATGCCAAAAGTCAGGTAATCAGTACAGTTCATTTTGGACAAGGTCACCCCTTCGTTCACTTACCCACAGTTACATTTCTATTCTTTCATGAGCTCATACTATATATACAAACACATAACACATACACATATGAGTATATATGTATATGTATATATAGTTTTGACACTCAGGAAATATATTTACAACATAGATGGGAAACATACTAAAAACCCAACAATGGGGAAATGGTTAAATATTAAAATTAATGGAATATTATTCATGTATTGAAGTTCTTTTGAGGCATACTAAGAATTTACATTGAGTGAAAAATATAGATTATCAAATTATGTCAAGTATAAAATAATCTCAACAATACAAAGAAATATCTTAAAAAGTTCTGAGAAAGTTAAAAGATTTTCTTTGTTTTAATTAAAATCTACTAAAAAATTTAAAAAATAACTAAAGAGGTGGGAGGGAGGATTGGGAAGGGGGGGGGAGGCTGGGAAGGGATGTGAAGGGTAAACAAAGGAGGAGGCTACAATGCTTGATAAGAAATGTACTCATTATCTTGCCCATGTAATTGTAACCCCTCTGTACAGTATGTTCACAATAAAAAAAAATAAAGAGATCCTGCCAGGCGCTGGTGGCTCATGCCTGTAATCCTAGTTACTCAGGAGGCTGAGATCTGTGGATCATGGTTCAAAGCCAGCCAAGGCAGGAAAAGTCTGTGAGACTCTTATCTCCAATAAACCACTTAGAGAACTGGAAGTAGTGCTGTGGCTCAAGTGGTAGAATGCTTGCTTTGAGCTGAAGAGCACAGGGACAGTGCTCAGGTCCAGAGTTCAAGCCCCATGACCAACAACAATAAAAATCAACAACCGACCCCTTTCCCCCCAAAAAACCTAAAGAGATCCTATATTTTTAGCCATGCTTTTGACAAAATCACCACCACCCAGAGATCCTCTGGCAAAGGAAATAGTTGTTCTTTTTCTTTGTGAAATTTTGATTGCTTTTCTTTTATGTTTCAAAGATAAACTTTAACATATCAAGGGGAGATATATTAGAGCATGTTTCCTGAGTTTATCTAGTCTTTCTGATACTGGAAAACTATAACACCTGGATTGAGTTCTTTCTATGATCTTGAAGAATGAGTCCACAGACAAACAGAACTCCCACTAGACAAGAGGGGTCTAAAGAGGAGGCATTGTTTGTGCCATTATACAGGGGTTAATAAAGTGTCTCAAGTGACCCCCCAAGATTTCATTGGACAGCCTGAGAGCCATATCAGTCCCCAGACCCAATCAGAGGCTGCACACATCCTGCATGAGCTCTTGGTGCATCCCTTGTCCTCTCTGACTGCCCATTTAGGCCCCATCTCTAGAATCCAATCAGCCCTGTTACTAATATGTGCAGGTCTTCCAGGGGTCAGGGGCTATGACCTGATACCCAAGGGCCTGAAGGTGTGATTGCTCAAGGCCATGGTGATGTGATATCTAGGGGCCTGAACACAAGCCTGTACAAGGCCGTGGTGAGGGATACAGAGTCTCTATGGAGAAGCCTGTGCCCTGATTGCCTAGCCAGGTTTTTTCCTGCTCTCATTTCCGCACTATGAGACTAGATGGAGTCACAGGCAAGATTATCGTCTGTCTTCTGACTTTCCCTGTAACCTGTAAAATCCCCAATTGAATTGTCCTGTCTGTAAATCAAATAGGAAAATGGCACCCACCTTACTGAATCTTTCAGGATTCAGGGAGACACATCCAGAGATAAGGACTCCATCTGGCACATGGTAGGCCAGCTGCAGAATCATACTTCTCCAATCCATCTAGGGGTCAGTAGCTTTATTTAGGTAGTCTTTGGAAATAAGTTCACTTTGGTCCAGAAGACAGCTAGTATGGTGGTCAGGTGGATGCCTGTTAACCAATAATTTGAAGGGTGCAAAAGCATCCTGCAAAAAAGAAAATATGTATACAAAAGAAATAGTTCTTTTCTTTTCCTTTTTTCTTTTGCCTGTGCTGGGGTTTGAACTTGGGACCTTACCTTCTTACTCCATTTTTTTCCCCTCATGGCTAGCACTCTACCACTTGATCTACAGCTCTCTTTCTGGCTTTTTGTTATTCATTGGAGATAAGAGTCTCATACTTTCCTGCCGGGGCTGGCTTTGAACCATGATCGTCAGATCTCAGCCTCCTGAGTAGATAGGATTACAGGCATAGATCACTGGTTCCTGGCACTGAAAAGCTCCATTTTAAGACACCTCTTCATTAGATAAATGACAATCAGCATAAAATGGTACTAAGCCAGGTACTAGTGGTTTTTACTGCTTAATTGGAGACAGTCTCTCCAATTTTTCTTCCCAGGCTGACTTTGAACCTCAATCCTCTAGGCTTCAGCCTCCTTAGTAGCTAGGATTGCAGGCATCAGTCACTGGCACTCAGCTTATATACCCAAGTTTAAATGTTTTCTTTTTTCCCTCCTCTTTCCAGTGAACCAGCTACATTTCAGAAATATCAGCAAGTGAGTCTGCTGGCAAGATTTAATCAAGATCTGGATAAAGTGGCAGCTGTGTCCTTGGTGTTTTCTACAGGGTCTGTGATAGGCCCGAAGTACAAGCTCAGGATCCTCCGGATGAAACTCAGGTCCCTTGTCCATCCAGAGAGGTGAGCTGAAGGCAGGGTTTGACAAATTTTCTTCTCCCTCATATTCTCTCATTTCCTTCCTCTCTCTCCCTCCCTCCCTCCCTGCCTGCCTCCCTCTATCCCTTCCTCCCTTCCTTCTTTCCTTTCTCTCATCCTCTTTTCTTCCTCTTTCTTCCTCCTCCTCCTCCTCCTCCTCCTCCTCCTCCTCCTCCTCCTCCTCCTCCTCCTCCTCCTCCTCCTCCTCCTCCTTCATCTTCCTTCTCCTCCTTTTTAGACATAGAATCTCCTAATGTAGCCCAGGATTGTCTCAAACTCTCAAACCTTTTACCTTGGTTTCCCAAGTGCTGGTATTACAGGCATGCACTACCAAACCCAGCCCAGACCCTTGTTTTCCAATGATGTTATTGAATACTAACCAGTCCACTTGGTCTGTTTTTTTCTTTGGTTTGGTCCAGGTACTTGGACTTGATCTCAGGGGCCCTCTCAAGGCTGGGTGCTCTACCATGTGAGCCACATTGTTACTTCTGGCTTCCCTTCTTCTGCCCACCTTGGTTATTAGGTGATAAAAGTCTCACAGGCTTTTCTGTCTGGGCTAGCTTCAAACCTTGATCTCAGATCTCAGCCTTTTGGGTAGCTAGGATTACAGGCATTAGCCACCAGGCCTGGCTGCTATGACATTTTTGTGAGGATTCCAGTATTCATAGTGAAGAAAGTAATAGGCTTTCCAAAAAAGCAGGCTTGATAAAAACGAATAGGCTGGTTAGGGCTTGGTGTTGCACTCCTGTAATCCTAGCATGCGTGAGGCTGAGACAGAAGATTCTGAATTTGAGACTAGCAAGAACTATGCAACCAGACTCTCCCTCAAGAAAACTAAAGCAAATAAAACCAGTAAAAACAATTAACTGGCCAGTAATTCTAGAAAATGATGTGCTCAGGGCTGGGAAGGTAGCTCAGTGGCAGAGCGCTTGCCTTGCATGCATGAGGCCCTGGGTTCGATTCCTTAGTACCGTATAAGCAAAAAGAAAAAAGCCAGAAGTGGCGCTGTGGCTCAAGTGGTAGAGCACTAGTCTTGAGCTGAAGAGCTGAGGGACAGCGCCCAGGCCCAGAGTTCAGGCCCCACAACCGGACCAAAAAAAAAAAAAAAAAGAAAAGAAAATGATGTGCTCAAATAGCCCCCAAATCTAAGGGGATTTAGAGTAAGACAGCCCCCTAGACCCGCCCATGCTACTTGCAAGGTGATGCTTTGTTGTAGAAAAGAAAGCTCCCTGCCACTTGGCAACTGCCATAACAAAGCCTAATATATATATATATATTTTGTTTGTTTGTTTGTTTGTTTTTTGTTTTTGTCGGTCATGGGGCTTGAACTCTGGGCCTGGGCGCTGTTCCTAAGCTCTTCAGCTCAAGGCGAGCGCTCTACCACTTGAGCTACAGCGCCACTTCCGGTTTTCTAGTGGTTTATTGGAGATAGGAGTCTCTCGGTCTTTCCTGCCCGGGCTGGCTTTGAACCGCGATTCTCAGATCTCAGCCTCCTGAGTAGCTAGGATTACAGGCGTGAGCCACCGGCGCCCGGCCTAATATATTTTTTTAAAGTGTCAACAAAATTGAATTTTCTTCTTGTTGACAATGTACAAGCATTATGGGGATAATATAAAGTTGCTACCTGCACTGAGTAAGAAAATTCATGCTGAAGTATTTAGAAGTAAACAATTTATTCTCAGAAAGTCATTCACTGGCCAGCTGCATGTGTTTTTGACAAATACTATTCCACCACTTAACCCTGGCATTTAATTTGTGGGACAAGACAGGAAATGACAGGAGCAGATACTTTATGCTTATGGATTTCTTTGTCTTGAAAGTTTAGTGTACTATAAAATATTTAATACATATTTCTTCTCAGAGAAGAGTGATGCTATCACAACACTTTTCAAACCTTTTCTTCCTAGCTTTTCAAGGAATACATGTTTATTTTTAAAAGTACAGATTCAGGAAGCAGAAAAATACCAGTATTCAGACATAGCCACTGCTGGGCACAGGAGGCTAAGATCTGAGGACTGCATCTGAAACCTGTGTGGGCAGAAAAATCAGAAATGGGGGTGTGACTCAATTGGTAGAGCAACAGCCTTGGGGTGAGAGGAATCCAGTTAAGGCCTGAATTCAGGCCTCAGTACTGCGGGGAGGGAGGGAGAAGGAGAGAGAGACAGACATAAACTTGTAATACTAGATTTTACAGATGTTGTCTTCTTGCTGATGTATTACCATCAACGTTTCCCGATTCCATTAGAAATAACTACATATAATTGTGTATATAACCCAACGTCCTTGATTAGAAGGAAGTACTTGTGTTATTTTATTGACAAGGACATTGGGTCTTACTTTTGCAGGGCCCAGTTGTGTCGGTATGATCTTGTCCTGATGGAAAATGTTGAGACAGTCTTCCAACCTATTCTGTGCCCAAAGCTGCAGATGTAGCCACTGGCAGCATTCAGAGGCAGCGGCAATGTCAAGCAAACAGCATCTCCAGCCTCTAAAAGCTTCACACGGCCTCTTCTGCAAGGCTCAAAAAGTACAGAGAAACCTGAGGTTATTTTCAGCAGTGTCCTACTAATGTCACGTTGCAAAATGTCAACCGACCTGTGGTTCTGGAATGATCCTGGGGAGGGAGCTCCTAACTAGGGCAAGACAGAAATAACCTGGCTCACACAGCCCAGAGCTTTGTCTGGCTGCATCCCGGGGCCCTGTTGGTTTGTTCCGATCTGTCAAATCTGCTGCCCATCATGAGGGGCATTTCTGTCCCTCAGAAGTGGGGACAGGCATCTTTAAGGGAAGGATGATGAGCTGGAGACATCATGGACTGTACATTTTTCTTTGTCAGATTCTCTACTGTCCCAGCTGACTGGCAGAGAGGGAGAAACTGACCTCATGAGGCTACTGTGTAGGTTTGGAGGCAAGTCCTTTGAAATCCCATGGGTCCACATCTGTAAGGTGTGTGATGGATGTGAATGTGCTTTTATTTATTATGATAGAGTTTAGTTCCAATCTGGAAGTGGCAGCCTCTTTTCATGAGCACCAACTTCTCTCCTAGACTATTTGCTCCAAGGTGCTAAAAGAGCCACACCCCTGGCTTTTGCCTTCTCTGTGAAGGGGTGCAGATTGCTGGAGGGGCCTAACAGCCCCTTGAGCAGTGCTGGGGGAGAACACAGGCACTGGGGATGGAGCAAGATGCAGGAGAGGCAAGTGCTTGCTTTTCCCTGGGGTGAGGGGGAGGACCTCTCTGCAGATGGAACCAGGACCTTGAGCCCACTACTCCAGTGCTGTAACTACGAGCTCCAGCCCCGGCCCCAGGCAAATCTCATTTTAAGCAATCCTTCAGCAATGTGTACTCTTCCTTACTACTAGTATAATCCATGATTATCGAAGAAGACTGAAACACCGCATAAATACAAAATGGAAAAACATCAACTCTACATCATCATGCCTGATTGAGGGGACTAATATTCACCTTTTGCAATGTTGCTGTAGCTTGAGTGTGAGCACTGGAACTCTGGGAGTGCACAGGTCTCTACATGGCACATCTTAGGCTTCCCCAAATCTGAAATGACAGAGAAGCCAAGACCAGAGACAACAGAACCAAGGGTGCGCAATCCCAGAGGCCCGATGCATCCCACAGCTGAGGACACCCGGAGAGCATCTGGAATTGCTTATGGCCACTAGTAGTTTCCCTCATCTTCCAAATGACTTCTTCCTCCCTACTTTCTGTGAAAAGCATCCTTATTGTAGAGATACACCTTCTATTTCATAAATAGTACAAGTGTCTGTGTGTGGCATACGTTTTCCATATTGCATCTGGATCCATTACTGTCTGTTCTACTTATGGAGGGAGGCTCAGCTCTGAATGAAGTGAGGCTCAGCCAGTTTGCTGGGCCATGCATACATCCAGTGAGTCTTGTACTTTTCCTCAGCAGTTCTGGATAGAGAATAGCATGAGAGGCCTCAATTGCCCTTTGTATTTTATTATTTGATTAGTATACATTAGTTGTATAAGGGGAATAGGCTTCATTATGACATCTGCACCCTGGCAAACAAGGTATCCTGATCAATTTCACCGCCTCTACCACTCTCCTCCATCCCCCCTGCTACCGTTTTTTAGTTGTGCAGTTATTGAGGCTTGAACTCAAGGCCTGGGCACTGTTATTTAGGCTTTTGTTTTTGTTTGAGGCTGTTGCTCTACTACTTGAGCCACACCTCTACGTCAGCTTCTTGTTGGCCAACTGGAGATAAGCATCTCATGGACTTTTGTACCAGGCTTACTTTGAACTTTGATCCTTAGGTCTCAGGTTTCTGAGTAGAATTACTGGCATGGGCTATGGGGTTCCTGGCTCACTGGATTACTTCTGTGTCATAATTCTTTCAAGACCATAAACCCCATAGAGCAGCAACTGTCTTCCCTGCCCAGTGCCAGACATAAAGTAGCTGCTTAACAAATGTCTGTGGAGAATGGAATGGAATGAACTTACCTCCTCTCTGACTGAGAATCAATATACTTGTGTGACAGTTCCAAAAAATCTAACTTAAAACCATAAAATCTTGGATCCCTATACCTGCTCTTATTCCTGCACAGATCCTTTTTAGCCAGAGAGACTCTGAGCCCAGGAACAGAAATCCCTCATATGAGTTCAAATCTTATTTTACAGAGAGAGAGAGAGAGAGAGAAAGAAAGAAAGCCACATGTCTGTCAGCTGTTCCTATTTATAAGTTGATTGTGTCAGGATATTTTGCTACAGCAGCAGGAAATTGACTGATACAACCTCCAAATCTGTTAAGTCTGAGCTCCATATTTTTACCTGAGTGGCAATGTGTAGGGTACCGGAAAGAGCATGAGCTCAGGAGGAGGCAGGTACAGGCTTACTTCTGTAGACTTTGTACAAGGGACTTTGAACATCTGTTCAGCCACTCAGTGATGTGTGAGAGAATGATTCTTGTTTCACTGGGGTGGCATAAGCTTTGTCATGCCTAGTCCTAATAATGCTCCATTATATCTCCCTTCAGGCTCCTCCCCAGCCAGTGGAAACTTTGCTTCCTTCTTCCCTACTCCATTCTTTGCTCCAGAGCTCACCCAGGCCAGGCCCAGTAATGTTAATTTCTCATCTATTCTCTTTCTCCCCAAATCTTGTGGATTTTGAAAGTCAACATGTACCAAGTCAAACTGTCATTTTCTTCCTAGACTTAATATGCTAATTTAATAAACATTTATTATGTGCCAATTATAAGAAAAGATTGGGGCCAGGCAAAGACAGATGAGATGGTCTTACTTATGGAAACACCCTCTGCTGTCTGGGGAGATGTGTATGTAATAGGGGTGCAGGCATTTCTCAGGGAGTCCTGGCATGGAAAGAAAACAACTTTCTGACTGTGGAATCTGAAGAAGGCGGCTTCTTCTTCTTCTTCTTCTATTTTCTTCAACTTTTTTTTTTTTTTTTTGCCAGTCCTAGGGCTTGAACTCAGGGCCTGGGCACTGTCCTTGAGCACCATTTGCTCAAGGCTAGCACTCTACCACTTTAGCCACAGTGCCACTTCCAGCCTTTTCTGTTTAAGTGGTACCAAGGAATCAAACCCAAGGGCTTCATACATGCTAGGCAAGCATTCTACCACTAGGCCACATTCCAAGCCCCTGAAGAAGTTTCCTTTGCAGATCAACAGTTGTCCTGAATGTCGATGAAAGACTCTTCCTGCTAGAGGGGGACAAGAACATTGTTGGGGGCACGAGTTGACACGGTGTGTGCTCTGGAAAGCAGTAAGGAGGTTCCTCAGAAAACTAAACATAGAACTAACCTCTGACTCAGCAATTCCACTTCTGGGTATTTATCCAATGGAGCACAAACAAACAAGTAAATCCACCATCCATCCATTCAGTGGATGAATGGGTCAAGAGAATATGGTATATATAAACAATGGAATTCTACTTAATCCCTCAGAAAGAATGATAGTGTACCATTTGTAAGGCAATGGAAAGAGGTGGAAAATATTATATTTAGTGAAGTAAGCTAGATCCAGAGAAACACAGGTTGCATGGTTTCCCTTATTTGTGGTAGCTAAGAATGTGCCTATAAATCTATAAGTAAACATGCTGAGTGGTATGCAAGTAGATACAAGTGAATTAATGTTATGAAGAGCTCAAATAGTATCTTCAGAAAGATTAACTCAAAGCCCAACCAAGTAAGTACCAGCAAATGGGCTGCAAGGGGGAAGGGAAGAAAAGAAGGGTAGAAGAATGAAGGGGGAAAACGGGAGAAAGACAAGAATTAAGAAAAATAAGAGAAGGGGTAGCCGAAGAGGGTGAAGATATTGAAGGGATGACACAGATCAAGATGTGTTGTATATATAAACTCTTTGTTAAATGACAAAAATCTTCAATATCCTAAATATTAAGAAAAGTGAGTGAAGGGGAGGGTTGGGTGAGAATGTTGAAAGGGGTGACATTCATCAAGATGCACTGTGTTCATAAACTGCTTTGTTGAATGGCAACTCTTTTGTACAACAACCTAGAAATAATAAAAATATTTTTAAGAAAAACTCCATGGTGTGTGTTCAGCTGGAAAGCAGAGTTGAGAGCCTTCATCCCATCTCCCCCCCACCCCCCACCCCTTTATTTTGTTGTTGTTGGTCCTGGGGCTTGAAGTCTTGAACTCTAGGCCTGGGCACTGTCTCACAGACTTTCCTGCAATCCTCAGATCTGAGCCTCCTAAGTAGCTAGGATTACAGGCCTGATTCACTGGCACCTGACTTACCCCAACTTCCTAAATGGAAAGTTTTAAACATTTAGAAACAGAGAAAATACTATATAATCCACCTCCATAAATCTATTACCCAAGCTAGGTGCTAGTGGCTCACGCCTGTAATCCTAGCTACTCAGGAGGCTCAGATCTGCCACGGACCGGGTTCTGTCAGGACGACGGAGGATACCTAGGGGAGGAACCTGGAATAGGATGGGGAGATGGCAAACAGACAACTCACACACATTAGGAGTGGATGCTGAGTGCTGAGTGCGATTTAATGCAGAGGATAACAAACTTTTATAGCAAAAGTCTTCATAAGAAAGGGGCAAAAGGTTACACAATCTTGCTGCAAGGCTTCGTTCTTGGATGGTCACCAGCTGGTCGCCTGAAAGGGCAAAAGTTTACACAATCTTGCTGCAGGGCTTCATTCTTAGGTGGTCACCAGCTGGTCGCCTGAAAGGCACTTGTTTCCGGCTTATCTCTAAGAAATATAATGGGTCTCGACATTTGTCACCAACTAACCATTGCCTTATTTCTTTAGAGGCCTTAATTATCCCATAAGATTTTTCCTGTTCCTTCTTTAATAGTAAGGTCACGGAGGCCTAGATCTAGCAAGTCTCAGTAAATGAGAGTACCAGGAAGTTCTTTCTCCTAAGTAGTTATCTCAGCAATTGCCATACATTCCTTCTGTTCTAGCCGCGCCTACAGCTTCTTGTAAATTTCTTACAATTCCTTCTGCTGGAGTGACTTTGTGAAACCCCCAATACTTTTATATTTGCTTATAACTTGTCTACTAGCCTTCATAAGAGGGGTTGCAGGGTAGCACTTAACTCTGGTGAGTTAGTCATATTTTTGAGACATTCATCAGATATTGGAGTCGTCAACACTCTTAAGAAAGAGCTTTGAATAAGGAAACGTTGACAATGAGTAAGCACAATGAGCAGCAGAAACAGTAAAAGATTAATAGGCACTCTTATACAGTGAGGAAAAGAAAGGCAGAAACACATCTTTCCCAGGGGCTTGCCAGCCTTTTTCCAGGAGTAGGCCTCTTAGAAGCCCTATTCTCCGAGGTAGACTTCAGTGAAGTCCCAAAACTTGGAGATAGGTTTCTGTAAAGCCCCATTCTCTGAGGTAGACTTCAGTGAAGTCCCAAAACTCAGAGATAGGTCTCTGAAGCCCCTATCTTGGTCTGATAATGGTTTCCCATGCTAAGCAGACTCCACTGGAGTCGGCGTGGCACAGATCTAGGATCATGGTTCAAAGCCAGCCAGGGCAGGAAAATCTGTGAGACTCTTCAATTAATTATCAGAAAATGGAAATGGTGTGGTGGCTCAAAGTGGTAGAGTGTTAGCCTTGAGCAGAAGAGCTCAGGGTCAGTGCTTGGGCCCAGACTTCAAGCCCTACATCTGACCAGAAGAAAAAAGAAATATTACTCAGCGTCAACAATAACCAACTCATGGTCATAGCCAATCTTGTTTTAGCTTTATCTCTATCCACAAACCCTTGTCTTATTATTTTGATGGCAATTCAAGACATTGAATACTTTCATTTGTAAATTTCTCGGCTTTTTTTTTTTTTAAGAAAAAGTTTCACTGTATAGCCCAAGCTGGCCTTCAACTCTCCATCCACTGCCTCATCCTGTATGTGCTAGAATTACAGACATGTACTATTATGTCCAGCTACAGACATGTACTATTATGTTCAGGCTACTTTAGTAGCCTGAAAAGATAAAATATATAATTTTTTACTGGAAAATGAGACAGAGTATACAATTAGCCCTGCAACTTGTTTTACTTAAATCCTAGCCATTTATCTAGCAATTGCTTATTTACTTAATTATTTTGTGCTGGAATTGGGGCTTGAACCCAGGGCCTTGGGCTCTCTCGGCTTTTTTCAGCTCAAAGATATTGCTCTACCAGTTGAGGGAAAGCTCTACTTCCTCTCTTTTAGGAGGATTTCTAGTATTACATTTGCAAAATACTATAATTGACCTATCTGATGCCCAAGTGATAGGCATTTAGGTTGTTTCTAACCACTTAATATCAAAACAAAGCCAATGAAACATCTGTGAACATCTTTATCTACCTGTGGGCACATCTGTAGGTTAAGTTCTTGGATATGCACTTGAATACCTCTGTTGGTGTGTTACCATCTACAATATTAAAACCCCAACCTCTGTCTGGCTTCTAGTATTCTCCAATTTGTTCCCAACTTCCTATTCCCTTCTCATATCCTTTTGGCTTCACTGAAGGTGGGCTTCACCTAGGGTCATCTCATCTGCTCCTCCTTACTCTGCTATTGGGATTTTGACTCATTCTTGAGAATAATCATAAACTCCACTTCCTCCAAGATCTACTATGTGTAAGGACCCTGGTGGTCCTTTAGACCCAGGTTGACTTGAATTTTTATCTTGGTTTCTTTTGAGGGATGCTATTTTAATATTTCTGAGATTGTGCATGTGTATCAAATCCAGGGCCTTGTGCTTGCTAGGCAAGTGTTTTGCCACTGAGTTATTTTCCAGCTCTGAGACCCCGATTTTTCATCCCTTAAATACAGTGAAGGAAATCAGGCCCCAGTAGCTCATGCCTGTTATTCTAGCTACTCAGGAGACTGGGATGTAAGGAACACAGTTCAAGGCCAGTCCGAGCAGAAAAGAGTCATATCTCCAATAAACTACCAAATATCCATAAGTGGAGCTGTGACTCAAATGGTAGAGCCCTAACTTTGGAGCAAAAAAGCTCAGGGACAGCACCTAGGCCCCTGAGTTCAAGCCCCAGGACCTGCCCCCCCAACATTCCTCCCAGCCCAAATACAGTGAAAGATACTTACCTTACAGGTTGGTTGTAAAGATTAGGGATAATGGACACATACGTGCTGAACCTAGGAGGCCACCACGCTCCATTATATATAGCATCTAGGTTCACATTCGCTTTGTACGTCAGAGGCTGTGGGCAGCACTGCATGCTGGCTGTGGGCAGAACTCGTGTGTCACCCCTGGATCTCCTAGCCCTGGCAGCGAGGTGGCGTGGTGGGTGCTCAGTACTTGCAGAGTACGTGCAGAAAGAGGGAGGAGAAGCCGAGTGCTGGTGGCTCACGCCTGTAATCCTAGCTACTCAGAAGGCTGAGATCTGAGGATCTCAGTTCAAAGCCAGCCCAGGCAGGGAAGTCTGTGAGACTCTTATCTCCAATAAACCACCAGAAAACCGGAAGTGGCGCGTTGGCTCAAGTGATTAGAGCATTTGCCTTGAGCTGAAGAACTGAGGGACAGTGCCCAGGTCCAGAGTTCAAACCCCACGACCGACAGAAAAAAGAAAAGAAAGAAAGAGGGAGGGGTAAACTTCAAAATCCACACTGGAACAAATCAATGAAAAGGCGCTCTCCAGACTCCCAGACTGACAGACAGGTTTTACCCGTGTGGCGGGTCCTGGAGCTTAGCGTAAGAGGGGCGGGGCTGATGCAGAGGACGGGCGGGGCCTGGAGAGGAGCCTGGGCGGGGCGGGGCCTGGAGAGGAGCATGGGCGGGGCGGGGCTGGAGCGGAGCATGGGAAGAGACTGTACATGGGCAGGGCTGGGAGCGGAGCTTGGGTGGGGCGGGGCCTGGAGCGGAGCATGGGCGGGGCCTCGGGCGGAGAGTGAGCGGAGTATGGCTGGAGCGCGGGAAACGGGCGGGGCCTGGAGCTGATAAGGGGCGTGTCCTGACTCCGACCCTGCCCCTGTCCGTCCCCGAATGGGCTCCGCTTGCTCAGTCCATGCGCCTGGAGTTTTCTGCGCTGCGGGATTGGCGAGCGCCCCCGTGGCCGGTGTCTGAGGAGCGACGCCGACATGCGGCCGCTGCTCGGCCTCCTCCTGGTCTTCTCCGGCTGCACCTTTGCCCTGTACTTGCTGTCGACGCGACTGCCCCGCGGGCCGAAACTCCGTTCTCCCGAGGAGCCCGAAGGCCGGTGCGTGGGGGCGATGGTGGGATGTGGGGTCGGTGGACGCGAGCCGGAGCCGATGATGGGGCGTCGGGACCCGAGACCGGATCCGGTGTCGGCGCGCGTCCGCCCGGCCTCAGGCCGGCGCGGCGGACCCGGGTGTCCCGGGGACCCAGGCTGGGCCATGCATCGCGGGGCGCCTTTGGGAAGATCTGACTTCCGGAGTGAAGACTGCTCAAGAAGTGATGATCGGCTCTCGCCTTGTTTATGGCTGTTCCTACTTTTCGGCCTTCTCCGGCGAGGCCGGAAGCAGCACTACCTTACCTGGCCGGTTTTCACGATTGCTGCTGCACACTGTCTGCCAAGTGTATGGAAGTGTGCCCGGCACGTCATTGCGTTATTGAAGGGTTTACTGATATTCAAATATTAAGACAACTGTATTCAGTTACTGGGTGCTTTTGCTCTAACTGGGAAGGCGCTGTTGTGGGTGTTAGATATACAAAGTCAAGCATTCCCTTGAGAATAATTGTAATTGATCATTGATGGGTTCAACGATTGTTCTCAGGACAGAGGCCGAGTAGCCTTTACACTGTGACCTTTACACAAGATTCAGAGTCTATTTGGTAAGAACCAGGTGAAGAAAACAGCTCTCTGAAAGGCTTGGTTTCAAGCCTGCCACATAGACAGCTGTGTGTATAGTGTGGGAAAGATATACTTGGCTTGTTAATGAATGATAAAATAATCTTTTACCCAGTACTTCAGTTGGGCAGAAGAGTGATGTCTGAATTGTTCAGGGCTTGTGGGGGAGGGGCTGCAATGTAAGATATTTAGTGCTTGCTGGGAAATGAATCAGTTGCCTCTTAAGAATAGATCAAAAAGATGCTGAGGATGTAGCTCAGGGGTAGAGCTCATGGCTTGGCATGTGAGAGGACCTGAAGTTCATTCCCAGCACCAAAAATAAGTAAATCATAAAATCTTAAGAGCCCCTTCCCCATTTATAGATGAGAAAAGTGAGGCCCTTGGACCAGCGGGGTCCAAGCTAAGGAAAGTAGCAGAGGGCAGTGCCAGCCCAGGTCTCGCTTTCCAACTGGGGCTCTTGTCTCTGCTATGCTGTATCATGTCACCAGTCATCTTGAGCTCATATGTTTCCTGCAGTCCAGATGCTGGACATGTTTATAAATATACATTGTAAAGAAGACATAGCAAGTAACTTTCTTAGGCCCTAGGCTGAGCTGGACCCTTGTTTCTGTATGATTTTCTACCTCTCTTCCCCTCAGGTTGCTGTGGTTCCCCTCAGACCTAGGAGAACTGCGGGAGCTCTCGGAGGTCCTTCGGGAGTACCGTAAGGAGCACCAGGCCTATGTGTTCCTGCTCTTCTGCAGCGCCTACCTCTACAAACAGGGCTTTGCCATTCCTGGCTCCAGCTTCCTGGTCAGTGTCCTTTCCTCCTTCCAGGCCTGCTTCCCCACACATGACATGCCTACAGTGAACCTCCCACAGTTCTTGCACGGGAGGATGAGGTGAAACAGTAGGTGTTCCAGTGATGGAGCAGGAAACCCCCAAAGCTTCCTTTTGTTCTGCTTCCTTTCTTCCTCCCTGGCTCATTTCTCCACCCCAGACTCAAGCTGGATCTACCCCAGCAAATTTTTATCTCAGAAACTGAAACAAAAGCAAGTGTATCCTAGGATGGCAGGTAGCTGTGTGGTGCTAGAGGTCAGGAGTGCACTCCTTGGATCTGCCTCTGTATTGTCTTTTTCCTTAAAGGGATCGATCCTGAGTGTGCCTGGTGTGTTCTTGGCTGTGAGGCTTAATCTCTCACCAGTAGAGTGGAAGTAATGATAGTCTAGGACACAGGTTGTAGTAAGGAATTTCCCCATGAGCACTTTTTATTTTCTTTCTTGGGTCCTAAGCTTGGGCAGGATGTTTGTCATCCAAATGCATTTAGGAAGTATGGGTTCAGTTTTCCATATTGTCAAACTAAGTGTGTGTGTGTGTGTGTGTATGTGTGTGTGTATGTGTGTGTGTGTTGGTCTTGGAGCTTGAACTCATGCTGTCCCTGATCAGTCATGGGGCTTGAACTCTGGGCCTGGGCACTGCCCCTCAGCTCTTCAGCTCAAGACAAGCACTGTATCGCTTGAGCCACAGCACCACTTCTGGTTTTCTGGTAGTTTATTGGAGTTAAGAGTCTCATGGACTTTCCTGCATGGGTTGGGTTTGAACCGTGATTCTCAGATCTCAGCCTCCTGAGTAGCTAGGATTACAGGCGTGAGCCACCAGCACCCCAGCTTCCCTGAGCTTTTTTAAATCAAGTGTAGTGCTCTAACATTTGAGTACCAATTCACTTCTACTTTTTTTGGTGGTTAATTGAGAAGTCTGGGAGATAAGCGTCTCATATACTTTCCTGCCTGACCTGGCTTTGAACTGCACTCCTCAGATCTCAGCTTTCTGAGTAGCTAGGATTACAGGTATGAGCCACTGGTTTCAGTGGTAGCTAAGCCTTCTTTGAAAGGCTAGAGCCGGGTGCCAATGGCTCATGCCTGTAATCCTAGCTACTCAGGAGGCTGAGATCTGAGGATTGTGGTTCAAAGCCAGCCCAGGCAGGAAAGTTCGTGAAACTCTTATCTCCAATTAACCACCAGAAAACCAGAAGTGGCGATGTGGCTCAAGTGGTAGAGCGTCTGCCTTGAGCTGAAGAGCTCAGGGACAGCTCCCAAACCCAGAGTTCAAGATGCCTGACAGACAAAAGAAAGAAGTGTCAGCTAGAGCTTTGCTGAACAGGGAACCATGTGTTAGCAGACTACATAGATGTAATTCCAGCACAAGGACAAAAAAAGAAAAGAGAAAAAACAACAATAAAGAGAAACAAATATCTTATATATAACTTGCTTGGTCTTACTGAAAGAACATTCATGATTTATGTTCATTCTTTGGAAAAGAAAAAATATACTGATTATCATTTATTTTGTGTGTTTGCCAGGACTAGGGTTTAAACTCAGGACCTCCACTTTCTTGTTCATGCCAGTATACTACCGCTTGAACCACTCCAGGCTAGCTTTTGGCTGATTGCTTTTTGGGTTTTTTGGGGGGTCCGGTCGTGGGGCCTGAACTCTGGGCCTGGGCTCTGTCCCTCAGCTCTTCAGCTCAAGGCTAGCGTTCTACCACTTGAGCCACAGGGCCACTTCCGGCTTTTTTCTTTTTGCTTATGTGGTGCTGAGGAATTGAACCCAGGGCCTCAGGCATGCAAGGCAAGCGCTCTACTACTGAGCCACCTTCCCAGCCCCTTGGCTGATTGCTTTTTGGAGATGAGTCTCTGCCCAAATTGACTTTGAACCTTCAATCTTAGGCTCCAGAGTGGCTAGAATTATAGGCATGCGCCATTGTTGCCAAGCCCCTCTTATTCCTCTTAATCCCATCCTGTCCTCTGTGGCTTTAATTCAGTCCTTACCCTTATTTCAGAAGTAAAGAGACTGACATTTGCCAGATTGTTTCTTTGTTATTTATTTATTTGGCCAATCCTGGGCTTGAACTCCTGGGCACTGTCCCTGAGGTCCTTTTGCTCAAGGCTAGCTCAAGGCTAGCACTCTACCACCTACACTCACTCTGCTCACTCTGCTTTCTTGCTCATGCTGGTACTCTACCACTTGAGCCATTTCTAACTTTTTCTGCTTATGTGGTACTGAGGAATTGAACCCAAGGCTTCATGTATAGTAGGCAAACACTCTTACCACTAAGCCATATTCCCAGCCCTGTTTCTCATGTTTTTATTCATTCCCTTAAAGTAGGGGTTGAATTTTGGCTTGGAAAACCCCTGGAGGAGAAGGAATTGATGATTAGTAGCTAATTAGTTGCTGAATAGTAGCTGCCAGACATTTTCCTGGCTTAAGTTTTGCTTTCTTTGCAGAATGTTTTGGCTGGTGCCTTGTTCGGGCCATGGCTGGGGCTTCTGCTGTGCTGTGTGCTGACCTCAGTGGGTGCCACAATCTGCTACTTGCTCTCCCATATATTTGGTAAACAGCTGGTGATCTCCTACTTTCCTGATAAAGTAGCCTTGCTGCAGAGGAAGGTAAGGAGGAGGCATACATGCTGAGGCCCTGAGTAGCATCTCATGTCCCTAGAGGGGAGAGGAGCAGGGATTTCCCATAGTACTCTCCCTGCCCTGGAGGTCCAAAGGGTTCTTTGATGTCTTCAAAAGGGACATAACTGGGATCAAATCCCAGCTCCCTACATCATCTTCTTTATGGCTTTGGGGGATGTTTCTGATTTCTCCGATCTCCTGTACCTTTGTTTTTAAAATGGAGAAAACAAGTCTCTATCGCTAGAACGGTTCCTGAGACCCTGTTGGCTTCCTAACCATTGGCTCTTTGCTGCAGGTGGAAGAGAACAGAAACAGCTTGTTCTTCTTTTTACTGTTTTTGAGACTTTTCCCCATGACACCCAACTGGTTCTTGAACCTCTCGGCGCCAATTCTGAACATTCCCATTGTGCAGTTCTTCTTCTCAGTTCTTATTGGTAAGATGCTCTGTAAGTCTGAAGCACACATTGCCTTCTTGTTAACCTTCCTTAGAGTGTGGAGGGATTGTCATAGAGAGCTTTTAGATCAAGCATAGCTGCTATTAATAGGGAAGGCCTGAAAGAAATCAGGTCTGAAATCAGAGCTATTCTGGTCATATCAGCTTTCAGAGTGCCCAGCATCTCAGCTAATGGAGGTAAACAGCTTGCCATTTCCCAGGCCTGAAGCCTGGGAAGACTCAAGCCTGCGTTTCTTCCTGTCTGATAAGCTGTGTGACCTTAAGTGGTCGGTGCTGCTCGCCTCTCATAAGCTTCCTCTACTACGGAGGAGAAATGGATTATTAGGGAGTCAGCAGCTCAGTGGCAGAGGTGAGAAGAGCTTCTAAAATGCAGGTTCCTGTACCCTAGAAACAAGTAGCTGAAGTCTCTGGGGCAGAGCCTGGGAATTTAGTTTTTATTCCTTCTCCTCTCCCCTTCCCTTGTCATTCCCTCCCTTCCTCTTTCCCTCCCTCCTTCTCACCCTCTCTTCTTTCTTCCTTCTGTGTATGATGCTTTTCTGAGGTAGGATCTTGCTATGTAGAACAGGCTGACCTTGAACTTGTAATATTCCAGTTTCTCCCTGAATGCTGGTATTACAGGTGTGTCCTACCATCAGTCTGCCCAGCCATCACCCAGATTTTTGGGATCCAGTTGCTTTGATGACTTTTTAGAGTCTGAAAAATATGAAAGGCGTATGTCTTGGAAGTGGAGCTGTGGCTCAAGTGGTAGAGTGCTAGGCTTGAGCTGAAATGCTGAGGGACAGCGTCCAGGCCCAGAGTTCAAACCCTATGACCCACAAAACAAACAGAAAAACAAAAAGAAAAGTGTATGTCTTTTAAGGAATCATCGGTTTTTTGTTTGTTTGGTTTTTTTTTTTTTTTTTTTTTGGTCAGTCGTGGGGCTTGAATTCTGGGCCTGAGCGCTGACCCTCAGCTCTTCAGCTCAAGGCTAGTGCTCTACCACTTGAGCTACAGCACCAATTCTGGTTTTTCTGGTGGTTTATTGGAGATAAGATTTTCATGGACTTTCCTGCCTGGGCTGGCTTTGAACCATGATCCTCAGATCTCAGCCTCCTGAGTAGCTAGGATTACAGACATGAGCCACCAGTGCCTGGCTATCGTTTTGTTTTTTAAAAACCTTATGCATACTGTAAATTTCATAACAACAGTGGTTCTCTATATTGGCTGGTGGGTAATCCGCAACCAAACTTACTCAGAACCAAATATATGAGCTTCATTGTGCACTAACTTACTCCGAGTGACATTTTACTTTTGCATTCATTTGATTTTGCTATTGAAGTTTTAACTTTTATTTTTCTTTTTGGTGCTGGGGTTTGAACTCAGGACCTTGAGCTCTTGTTGGGTTTCCTTGGCTGGTATGCTACCACTTTAGCCATGCACCCAGCCCAGTTTTTTTTTGCTGGTTATGATTTTCTGTATCTCTGCGTAGCTAGGATTACAGATGGGAGCCACAAATTTTATCTTATTGTAATGTATGTGTATTTGTGTACATCATCTCAAGTTCTTTTGTTTAGAAGAGAAGGGAAGAAAAGGAGGGAAGAGTAGAAAGGAGAGGAGGAGGGAATATTTAGAGGTCAGGTATGAGTGAACACTGGAGTCACTGCTCCAAATTCTTGGTCATTGTTGAACTATTATTTTCCTAATGTTTCTGCTGCTATTAAATAGCACTTTCCCCTTTTCTTCTTCCAGGTTTGATCCCATACAATTTCATCTGTGTGCAGACAGGCTCCATCCTGTCAACCTTGACCTCTCTGGATGCTCTATTCTCCTGGGACACTGTCTTTAAGCTGTTGGCCATTGCCCTGGTGGCCTTGGTTCCTGGAACTCTTATTAAAAAATTTAGCCAGAAACACCTGCAGTTGAATAAAACAAGCAACACTAACCACATTAGTAGAAAAGACACGTGAGCAGGTTTTCTGCGTGCTACAGCTCTGGACTCTCTGACTGATCTGTGTGATGGGCATTTTCCTTTAAAGACCCTCACTGTTTTTCGGGTACCCTCAACAGGTGATATGGACGCTATTCATCTGTGTGCTGTGTCTTGCCAAAACAACCCAAAAAGGCACACTCTGGTCTAAAAAGTGAACCGTATCCTGTTCTCAGTTTGGCACTGGTTTAGCTGGACTCTGTGAAATGGATGAAGTGGATTGCTTCCTAGAATTCCTGTTTCTGTTTCATGCCATTACAAAGGACTCTGGATAGTCTGTTGGGTTTGCCTTTGCACACCCCTGGGTGCCTTGGGAGAAGATGCTGGTTGGCTTTGTCCAGATTTCCTCTTGCAAAGTAACAGGTTGCGTGACAGGTGTTGTCCTGTTCAGTCATGTGGATGTTATTAGTATCACTGCTTCACTCTTGATATCATTAATGTCTCCAAGAGTGTTTCTTCTGTTCTTTTTTGCTGATGATCTACCTCTTTCATAAGCCAAGGGAAACAAACTGACCAACTTCCTAGGACTCATACATATAGCTCAAATGCACAGTGATTTCTGTGATGCTCTTGTATGCAGACACACTGATGTTACCCTGTATGTCAAATCTTATGGTTGCAAACAGACTATTAAATATGAATGGAACAAACTCTGGGATATGTTGTGGATAAATGTTTACCCATCTGGATAGGACAGGGTCCTTGTCTCATCTGAATGATCATTTTCTAGTATGTTCTTTCTGCATGGGGGTATTCCTTCTACCTCCTTCTGCTAGAGTAGAGTTAGTATTCTGGGCTGTCAGTGTACCCTATGCATGTATTTCCTCTTGTAATTTGCTGAGGATAACTAAAGAATGGTTGTATTTTTCAAAGAAGTTGGTCTTATTATTTGGTTGTGCTATATGGTAATTGCCTAAAACTGTCACCACTCCCTGTAACTGCAATACTGGAATGTAGCCTTTGGCACCTGAACTCATGGGCTCTGTGGTCTTGTATCATATAGGAAGAGCTCACTGGCACTGATTGTCATTTGCTGAATTTTTATTTGATTTAGCCAAGAATTCTGCTAAAGTTTTTTTTTTTTTTTTTGTCTGTCGTGGGGCTTGAACTCTGGGCCTGGGCGCTGTCCCTCAGCTCTTCATCTCAAGGTGAGCGCTCTACCACTTGAGCTATAGCACCACTTCCGGTTTTCTGGTGGTTTATTGGAGATAGGAGTCTCACGGTCTCTCCTACCCGGGCTGGCTTTGAACCTGGATCCTCAGATCTCAGCCTCCTGAGTAGCTAGGATTACAGGCATGAGGCACCAGCGCCCGGCTTCTGCTAAAGGTTTTAATGTAGGCATCTTGTTCTACATAAATTCTTAGCGATTCTCATATTCCATAGGAAGAATAAGTTACCAAGTGATGTTTTTTTGGGGGTATGATATGATCATTCCATAGCAAGGCTCTTAATTTTCACTGTGTTTATACTTGGGATCTTGCCTCAGCTTCTTGAAAGCTGTTTATGTAGCTCCCTCCCCCACCCATACTAAGGTTTGAACTCAAGCTCTCATACTGCCTGGCTCTACCCTGTGAGCCATGCTTCCAGCTCTTAAGATGGTGCTTCTTTTCAAAAGAAGTCTTGATAATGTGGGTGGAGGTGTGAAGGAGGCAGACTAGACTTTGAAAGTGGTAGATCTTAAGAGTTCTGGAGTAGGGAAAGAGAAAGGACTTTTTCTACTCTGTTGTAAATGTGAGTTGTTGGCCCCTTTCAAAGTCATTATCTCCCTTCCCTCCCCCCTTTTCCCTTCCTCACTCTCTTGTCTACCTGCATCATACTAGAAAATGTGCCTTACCTGTACAAGTTTACAGGTAAAAGGATTTCTCAAAAGACAGAAATCTCTAACAAATTAATGGATGTAAAAGCTTGTTTGTACATGTTGCTAACTTTCAACTGCCCTTAACAATGGGAATCAGAATTGACTGAAAAATCAGATGATCCAAAATGGTATTTGGCTTTTTCCTCTTGAAATAACGGTACTGGGCTTAATCAACATGCCTTGTCCTCACAGCCATTGTGGCACCTAGCTGGGTGAGGGGAGCTTTCCACCCAGCTCCAAAAAGCCTAGAGGTGAGATAAGAATTGCAGATGCTTACCTCCAGAAGGCTGCTTCAGAGAATGGGCGGAAGGCATGCTGTTTAGCCCCCGTAAAGTTTTGCTCCAGGGAATGCTTTTCCTTGACTGTTCCTACCCCAAGCAGGTGGTTTTTGCCTTTAAAAACTTTGGGCGTGACATTTCTGGGTTGCAGGTTTTTGAGACAGGAGTCCATCTAAGTTGTGGGCTAATAAAGACTCCCACGTTGACCTCTCAAAATGTAGCTTCTCTTTCCTGTTATCAAATTCCCATAAAATACTGACCAAAATCATTCCAGCTTCCTATTTTCCTCTTCTCACCTTCTAGAGAGGTCACTAGTAACACAGAAGAGCTACAGATGGGCAGCCAAATAGAAGAAACAGAATGCCTGTCTAGGCTTTTGTGGAAGACACAGGAAGAGACTGGAATGAAAATGCTTCCCCTCCTTTAGCTGCGGGAAACCCAGTCCTCTTCTCTCGGAGGTTCTGACAAGCTGAGACCAACTGGGGCAGCTTACAGGACCCAAACAGCACCTTTAGGACAAGACGAGACGAGACACAGCGAAGTACACTTTTTGTTTAATTTCATGCATTTGTGTTTGCGTTGATAGTCATTCTTGTTCCCACTGCTGTTCAACATAAAGGGAGCCAGTATCAAAACACTATAGGGAACTGACAGTACAGGAGATGACAAGGGAAACAGAGAAGGGGATTCATTTTGAGACTTAAGACACACACACACACACACACACACACACACACACACACACACACACACACACACACACACACACACACACACACACACACACACACACACACACATCATTTCCTCTAAATGAATAGGAATTTAAATCTTATAGAATCAAGGAGGGTCTTCCTGTTCCCAGAATCTGGGAAGTGGTCACTCGGGAGGTGGGAGGCCACTGGGGTGGCTTCACAAGAGGTGACATCTTCCTGATTGTGCACTGTGGCTTGTAAGCACTGGAGGACCATAGGCATTGAACAGAGCAGTGGGGGGCCCCGAAGCCAGTGATCCTCTGAGTGCTGAGAAGTGTTTCTGTAGAGCAGATTCTGCTGGGAGCTTCTTATAGTAGCCTTGCCATCTGCTTGGTGCTAGGCTTGTGAAATCTTGCCTTCGTGCCAGGGCCACACGGCTATCAACTCCTTTGTTTCTCAGAGCAGTGGTGTCAGAGCTCCCCTCTTCTGCCATGTCCCTGAGAAATGCTCCAGGTTCCACAGTGGCCCTCCACTTAGCAGCCTAGTGCATTGTGATTCAAACAGGCATTTGCAGTATAAGTCAGATCATGCAAACAAGCCAACTCAGGACTGTCTTAGGCCAGCCTAAGAGGTTGGTAATACAGAGTTGTGAGTCCCCTGGGACATCTGTTCTAGGACCTCAGCAAAGAAAAACCTTGCTGCCTGGAAAGGCACTAATTCATACTGACAGTACAAGACAATGTCTTGAAAAGAATATCACACATTAGTTTCACAGCATCTGGAGAGGAAGCAAGTAGCTGGGGCTCCATACAAAAACTGTTACTACAAGGTGGGGACACAATTGTTCAACAGAATGTGAATGAAGAGACATTCTGAAATTCAGTTCATCAGGCATTGGTGGCTACTCAGTTGGAATTGCAGTTCAGAGTAGAGGCAAGTAGCTGTTGTGTCATGGGACTGTCCCTCCAGCAACCTTAGGTGGTGGGGTGTATAAAGAGAACACGCGAGCTCTTCTCATTCTCCCCTCGGGGAAACGGAAGAGCTCAACCACCTTCAGGAAATGAATTATGAGCTTAGAACTGAGATGGCAAACAGATTTTGCTTTGCACACCAATCCAATCCAGCAGTGATGGATGCTCTAAATGCCAGGTTTTAAGAGGTTCTGAGGCTGTTCCTAGGCTCAACAGGAAGGAACGTGACGCTCGACAAATGATGTTCTTCTTGGGTGTTTAGGACAGAGGTGGAAGATGGGAGTTTTGTGGTGGTATCTTGGTTTCTAGCCTAGTGGAAAAACTAAACTTATACCATGGGATAGGGGAAACATTCCCTACATTCCACATAGGTTCTGTGCTTGGCAATCCAGTGTCGGGAAGGTCAAGTAGGAATGTTTTAAGAAAAGGAAAAAGAGCCAGGTGCTGTTGGTACATGCCTGTAATCCCAGCTACTCAGGAGGCTGAGATCTGAAGAGGATCATGGTTCAAAGCCAGCCAGGACATAAAAGTCTCTGACACTTTTATCTCCAATTAACCACCAAAAATCTGGAAGAGGCTCAAGGGGTAGAGTTCCAGCCTTGACTGAAAAAGCCAAGCAAGAATACAAGGCTCTGAGTTCAAACCCTGGTGCTGGCACACACGCACACACACACACACACACACACACACACACACACACACACACACACACCCCAAGCATGGGGGAAGGGGAAAGCTAGAGCATTTGATGAGTAAGTGTACATTCACACTGAGAGGATATCCAATGCTACCTAGTAGGGAATAGGACTGAAAACCTAGTCTAGTACCAGGATGACCACAAACCATCAGGATAGAGGAATTATTTAGTTCAATGAGGCCCTGAAGTAAATGCCCCATATGTACTAAAGCCCATGAAAAGTGTCCTTAATCCTAGAAGGATAAATGTATTGAGAAGTTTTAACAACACTTGAAGGCCATCTGAAATGATTTCCCAACCCAGCTAACATCTTCATCTTTCTGGATAGTCTTGCAAACAGCTCTAAGCTTCCGTGTGGTAAGGCTTCTCCTTTGCTAAGCAATTTTTAAGAGGAATTACTATTCAAGGACAGGCTCTAGAAAAAGAAATTAAAAGCAAATGTTCATCTGGGATACAAATAGAATTTCATCTTGTAGTTTGTCAAAAACAGACACTCAATGAATATGGACATTCATCCAAAGAGGCTTACACTTATAATCAGTCATGAAAAATTGAAATCACAGTCTTATGGGCTCCTCAAAGCAGTGTCACAGCTGAACAGGACTGAAGAACTGGCTCTTAAATTCCCTGAGCTCTTGATCAACACTTCTGATGACTGTGCAGCTTTTCTCTAGCAACACAAATCAATTGAAGATTTTCCTGATTTTCCCAAGGCAGGCAGTGAAAGACAGGTTATCGGGATAGAGAGTTTGTTAACTTTTAACCTTGACTGAGGACATCACTCTTCTTCAAAACTTCTAGTCAATTCTACTTAAAAAGTGTTTAATGTGGACACTATTCAAATCTTGACAATGCAGTGAACGAAAATCCAACACTACTTCCCTAACATGCACAGAGTCGTTAATCTAGATAAAGTGACATTAACATGGCAGACAGTCAAGATCGGAATGCAAAAAAACTGATCAACATTGGGAGTTGTCGGGGTAGGTTTTCTAGGAAGACCATCACTGAAATGTGTAAGACAGAATAAGTTGATCCTAATGTTTTGCTATTGCCCTTAAAGTTGGCAAAGACACAGAAACAGCCTCAAAAATGTGGTGCTTTACATTGAACAGAAAGAAGACACAGAATAATTACATCTCCATTTCAAGAAGTAAACCAGAGAGATTCAATGTACTGGGTGATCTGAAGTCAGAGGAAGGGAAATAGAGCCTTTCAAGATTCCTTCCCAGCCTTGGTCCTCTTGTTTAATTTCTTGTAGGATGGTATCATAACTAGGCATTTTATAACAAGCCGGAAGTGTATATGTATATATATATATATATGTGTGTATATATGTATATATGTGTATATATACACACATATGTATATATTCTACATATACATATATGTGTGTATGTATATATAATATTCCCCTTAAAATTTGTTTCCTGTGCTGGGCGCCAGTGGCTCACACCTATAATCCTAGCTATTTAGGAGTCTGAGATCTGAGGATCACAGTTCAAAGCCAGCCCAGGCAGGCAAGTCCGAGAGACTCATCTCCAATTAACCACCAGAAAAACCAGAATTGGTGCTGTGCCTCAAGTGGTAGAGTACTTGCCTTGAGCTGAAGAGCTCAGACACAATGCCTACAAGCAGAGTTCAAGCCCCATGACTGACAAAAAAAATTTTTTTTGTTTTCTTGTTACTCTAGATTGGGAATAAAAGGCTGGTTTTGTGGGATCTGACAGGAAGTCAATTACCTACTACATTGCCAGTTCTTCAATACAACACATGAGTCTCATGAAGAAGCTTTCTAGGTCTGTTTGTTCCTTTCAGGGTATTAAATCATTCTCTGTTTGCTTCTAATGTAGTCCCATAATTTTATTTAAGAAATTTAAGACAGTTTACACTTTTGAACTACTACTGGTTCAAAAGTCACCTGCCCACCTAAGAGCTTCCATGATTGGATCAAGTGCAAGGTCACAAGGTATGCACTGGACTTTAGGGCAGAGCAACTACCTCAGGTCACTGCTGCTATACACAGACCATCAGGGGATACAGCTACCATGAATATATATATATAACTGGAGCTCCCAAAGGGCAGTTCCATTTTCAAGCTTTAAATCACAAAATCCATACTAATTCATAGTTAGCAATAAACAATCATTGTGCTACATCGTAAACCACACCTTCTGATCGACAGAAAATGAGAATGAAAATATAAAATAAAATAACAAAGACAAAATAAATGCCATAACTTAAGGTCTTACATGTAGTCCAGCTACAGAATTTGATACAAAATGGAATAATTTAATGCAACAATACTGTTCTTTGTATAAATTAAACATTTTCCTTCATCCTACCGATGGACTGTAAATTAGAGACACTAAGTTTTAAGTCAGTGTCTCAACACAAAGTGTAAACAAATGGAGGAAACAAATAAACAAACAAAAGAACTGTTTTAAACTCCCTCCTGCCTTTCCTTTTTGGCTGATTCAGTTAGTGATGCTTAGGGGAGGGGTGCTTTCCACCTGTGTTGGAAATGCTTTTAATACAACAAGCAAGCGCAAGTCTCCCAAAACTCTCATAGGCTTCATTGTGAGAATCCAGCCAGTCAACAGAGGCTGTCATAGCCTATCTCAGAGACACAGGTGAGACTTCTACACAACATCTGCTTGTACTAGATAAACTTTTCCTTAAGCTGAGCATGGACGGCACATACCTATAAATCCCAGCTCTCAGGAGGCTGAGAGAGGATGGTGAGTGTGAGGCCATTTTGAGCTACCTAGTGAGCCCCTGTCTCAAAAATATAACTTTGTTTTCCTTAAAGGCTCCATGAAGTACCTTTGGATGCTCAGGACCTCTGAAGACAGGAAAGCCCTCATGCTTTGACAATGTAAAGTATTTCCAATACCTGCTCAGCATGATTTGTTCTTTCTACAAATTTCCTAATTCAGCTAATCAAAACTACAGCGATTCAGAGTGAAGTAAGATACAGTTTACAAGGTAGTGTTGAACATAAATGCCATTGTAGTGGGAGAAGGGTTGTTTCTATTCTGGCAGTGATGGCTAGACACTAAAGCTTCCAAGATAGGATGAATTAATACATAAAAACAAGGGGCTTGTTTGGGATTGGACGTTGGACAGACAAACACACACATACTAGCTGCCTTCAAAATCTATCCTCCTGTCTGAATCAATAGGATTCAGCAGAAAAACAACCTGCGTCTAGAGAGGGGTGGGTCTACCTTCACCATCCTGAGCACGCACAAATTCTGCATTTCTTTTTTTTTAACATTGTTATGAATGTTTGTTTTCTTCTCTTACCCTTTTCTCCTTCTTCCTAGGAGACCCTCCTCTCCACCTTCCTAAAGGAAGTAGTCCACAGGTGGAGAAAAATGGCACTGAGTCTGGAAAGATCAATATCTTGGTCAAGGTAATGTCAAGGAAAATATTAAAAGGGGAAGTGTCTGCCATGGACAAAGTTGGGCTTTATCTATAAGCCTCACTGCCAAATGCTGCTTCAAGTTTTTTTTTAAAAAAAAAAAAAGTGAAATCCACATATACAACTTTGTTCTTTTGATTTTCCTCCTTAGAAGGCACGCACCCTCAGAGATCTCAGGGGGCTACTATCTACTCACCAAACCTTGCCAGGCCATTTCTATCCCCCACCTGGACAAGCTGGGCCAACACAATGGGTCTGTTCACAAATGACATAGCATTGCTTTTTCTCTTGCTATTCTTTGTGTTCTAAAAAGCTTACTATGTTTGTCTTGCTGTGGTTGTTTAGTCATTTATAGGCAAAGGATCTGGTCCCTTGTTCAAGCAGCAGCAATCAGTACCCTCCCTTCCCCACAAACTCCCAAGGATGCTGCATCTAATCCATTTCATTTTCTCTCTTTTCCCTTTCTTTCTTTCTTTCTTTTCTTTCTTTCTTCCTCTCTTTTGCAAGAAATTATTCTTTCTATATACCATATATAGTTCACTCTTTACAGTACAAAGTGTTAAAATGTCCAACAAAAATAAATATCAATGTTACAGTAGATAGAATATTCAATAAAATATATCCCTGCCATTCTTGATTGAAATGTTCAGTGAGACTTAAATTTCATTTGGATTTTTTTTTTTTTCCTGGAGATTTCACGAAGTCTCGTGTTCCTGTTATTGCAGCTCATTTCTAGGGGTAATAAAGATGGGGTGGCTCTCCTCCCAGACGAAAAAAGCGGGGAGAGACAGGAAACGAGGTTAGGGCTGGGGTGGATTTGAAACACCAGTGTCAGGAGGTCTTTCAGAGGGTTTTCCTTCATCACCAAGTAGCAGAGCTGTAGAGCTTGTTGGTCCGAATGGTGGCGTCGGAGCACTCCCCATCTGAAGAGTCGCAGTCCGAGTCTTCAAATTGCATAGGGTTCTGCAAAGGAGAAAAGTTAAGTCATTTCTACAATTCCTCTGCAAGCACCTATTGAACTGGTACTGTGCTGGGTAAAGGGGGATAGAGAAATGTGTCTGGGTCTTGTCTGTGTGGGACAGAATTAATGAAGGCTAACGTGAGGTCTGAACAGGGACACCTCCCTCTTGGCTGTTTCTGCCCAGCATCTGTTACCTTAGGTAACGGCCACACCTGTGAAGCAGTCACTTTCCCCTCCTGCTAGGTCACCTCGGGTCACATGCCTCCATCTGACTTTAGGAGGGTCCCAGACCCTGAGGTCACATCCGGACCCAGTGTGGCCACACCTCTTCCTGTCCCTGGCCTAGATAAGTCCTGGCCCAGGAGTGGGTTGCCTCTCCCTTCCTTTTCAGCCAGGCCTCTCCACCATGCATGGTGGGGGCAGCAGTTCGGTAAACAAACTTCTCCACCGTGTGATGTTCTCTTCATCGGCTACCTAATGAAACCTACCTATTTAATATGCCTTACAGCTATGACATGGGAGCTGTACCTCCACACTTCTACTTGCAGGGCGGAGCTCCAGGCCCTGTGGTGAGTACTTTACATCAGTGAGGGCATTTACCTCATAATAATCTACTGAAACAGATAATATCTCATAGATAAGATAGATCTGTGGGGGTCATTTGGCAAATAGGGAAGCTGATCTTCCGATAGTTTAAGCAACTTGTCCAAGGTCACACATCACCTAGAAAGGCTGGTGTACATCTAGGCAGTCTGACTCCTGGGGACACACTGAACTACTATTGCCCCTCCACCCCCACTATCCCGGTCTCTTTCATGGCAAAATTGTACATGAAATAAAGAATGATAAGCTGAGTACTGGTGGCTTGTGTCTGTAGTCCTAGCTACTCAGAAGGCAGAGACATGGATGACTAAGGTTTGAAACCAGCCTGGGCAGAAAAGTCTATGAGACTCCATCTCCAATTAACCAGCAAAAAGCTGGGCTGGAGGCATGGCTTAAGTCCAGCCAGAGAACAAGAAGGTTGAGCAAGAAGGAAGGATCTTGAATTCAAGCCCTTGTACTAGTACCAAAAAATTTTCTTAAAAACAAAGAATTATGTGTGCTATGGCAGGGGGGATAGGGACTGAGGGGAGGGTCCAAGTTGGGAGATGGGGTGGAGAACCAGTGGGGTTTGAGTTAAATTCTGCAGTAAAGAGCGCTTGAGTAGTCCAATGCTTGTATCTGATTTGGGAAAAACTGGCCTTATTTCTGGAGCTCTATTGGTCTGTATTTCTACCTACTATATGGAGGTGGGGGTGTATTATATTCACTCTAAGAAAACTGTAAGCTGGGCACCAGTGGCTCACAACTGTAATTCTAGGTACTCAGGAGGCTGAGATTTGAGGATCATGATTTGAAGCCAGTCTAGGCAGGAAAGCCTGTGAGACTCTTGTCTCCAATTAACTGGCAGAAAGTTGGAAGTGGTGCTGTGACTCAAAGTGGTAGACTACTCTTAAGCCAAAAAGCTCAGGGACAGTGATGGGGCCCTGAGTTCAAGCCCCATGACTGACGAAAGAAAGAAAGAGGGATGGGAAGGTGGCTCAGTGGTAGAGCGCTTGCCTTGCATGCCTGAGGCCCTGGGTTCGATTCCTCAGCACCACATAAGCAGAAAAAGTCGGAACTGGTGCTGTGGCTCAAGTGGTAGAGCACTAGCCACAGGACAGCACCCAGGCCCAGAGTTCAGCCCCCACGACCGACAAAAAAGAAAAAGAGAGAGAGAGAGAATTGTAAAGGTTTCAAGGGCTTAAACAGATTTCAACCCGAAAGAGTCAGAAATGTGATAGAGAGGGAGAGGGGCCCACCTCGTAGCCACGCTCCTCCACGCAGAGCTTGCCCAGCGACATCTGCGTCTTCACACGGCGCACTGCACACTCCTTGTCAGAGAGCCCGTCCGAGTGTGAAGATATCTCAATGGGGATCTCGGGGGTCTGGGACAGAAGGTCATCCAGCTTCTCTGCCAGGCGGTCTTCAAGTTTACCAGCTAACTCATCGGGACTGTTTGAGTGGTCACTAGTATTTCCTTCCTCTCCATCAGACACGGAGAAATTCTCAGAGCTAAAGGTTGAGTAAGACTGGCAGCTGCTGATACAGCGGTGGGGCCTAGAAGCACAGAGAGCCAGAGGACCTGAGCCACTGGAGAAACCACATGCCCACATTATCAGTGAGGGTCTAGGGGAGAGGCAATCTAGTTCCCTCTGCCCCCAGAGCAAGGCTACAAAGCAGAACCAGTGGGTACGATTTAGTTTTAAAGCAATAAAGAGGTAACTCTGCCCTGAATCTTACCTCCTCACATTCTCTCAAGAGCTCTCACTAACAACAGAATCAGCTGTAACTTTGCTCTTGGATTATCACAGCCTCCGTGATTTGTTATTGAAGCCACCCAGTCTCTGGTATTTATTATAGCAGCACAAGAGGGGCTGCCTACAAACAGCATGGCCATTCCTCCCGAACTTCCCGCGGTAACCTTAGCTAGCACTGTGGAAATCATGCTTCTCATCTTGAAGTTCCTACAGAACACATTCTGATGACCTCGGGCCTGCTGTGCAGAGGTGACTTTGCAAGGCAGCCATGGACAAGCATGCACACAGTGAGTTCAAATCTCCCTATAAAGGTGGTGTCAGAGAGAGACCTGTGGTGCAAGGGCAGATGTGCCAAACTCAGGATTTCTCCCATTCCACTGAAAGCACCACGTGCCTGTTGGTTTTACCTCTGTCTTCGTGGAAATTCGACTTCACTATCTACTTCCCCTTCTTCTTCTGAGGAGTCATCGCCACTCTGGGGAGAAGAAGAAAAGACTTATTTATTTGGGGCAGTACTGGGGTTTGAACTCAGGGCCTCATATTTACTACTATTTAAGTTATGCACCCAGCCTCTTTTTTTTCCTCTAAGTTACTTTACGGGTAGGGTGTAGCACGTTTTGCTGAGGCTAGCCTTGGGCCATGATCCTCCTATCTATGCCTCTTTTGTAGCTGGGACTATAGGCATGCACCACCATTTACTTACCTAGCTATTTACTTATATAGGTGTTGGGGCTGCATGCTTGCTAGGAAAGCACTCTACCACTTAAGCCACAATCCTTAGCAGGACTTCTCTCTCGCTCTCTCTGCCTTCTCTTCTCCACTCCCCACTACCGGTAAAGGACTTAATTTTTATTGAAAGGTATTTACTAATAACTTGATCAACGCTTTCTTTAGGCCTTCATTCTTTAACAACTTGTCCTGGGTTTTCTCAATGAGAGGCTCTGTGCCAGAAGCTGGAAGACGAAGAATTGAGTACAACTTTGTGTCCTCAGGGACATAAAGGTCCCATGAAAGTGTCCAGAGGTGAGTAATGAAGATAAGCTGGAGAAGAAGGTGTAGATTTGGAGACAGACTCTTGTAATCATTGTCAATTTTATATATATATATATATATATATATATATATTTTTTTTTTGGTCGGTCGTGGGGCTTGAACTCTGGGCCTGGGCGCTGTCCCTCAGCTCTTCAGCTCAAGGCGAGCGCTCTACCACTTGAGCTACAGCGCCACTTTCGGTTTTCTGGTGGTTTATTGGAGATAGGAGTCTCATGGTCTCTCCTGCCCCGGCTGGCTTTGAACCTCGATCCTCAGATCTCAGCCTCCTGAGTAGCTAGGATTACAGCCATGAGCCAACAGCGCCCGGCTTTGTCAATCATTATAATCATTGGTTCCAGGCTCTTGCACAGAAATAGTTCAGGTTTTTCAAAGCCCAGAAACGATCTTCCCCTTTATATGCTAATTATTTTGCCACCAATGTTATAATTATATTAAAACATACATTACTTAAGGGTCAGACTATATCTTGTTTGTACTGTATTCCTCACTGCAATGTAACATTGCAAATAAAATATATGTTTAGCCAGGTGCTGGTGGCTCATGTCTATAATCTAGATACTCAGGAAACTGAGATCTGAGGATCACAGTTTGAAGTCAGCCAGGGCAGAAAAGTCTATGAGACTCTATCACCAATAAACCACCAAAAAGCTGGAAGTGAGGCTGTAGCGCAACTGACATAGAGCCAGCCTTGAGCAAAAAGCTAAAGGACAGTGTCTTGGCCCTGAGTTTGAGCTGAGACACACACACATACACAATTAGGTGTTTATCACTATAAATGTAGATAACTATTCTTTTCAGTTATAAATAGTGCTCCATGCATTTTTATTGAGCCAGAATTCTGGCAGGGATAAGAGAGCTCTGGTTGGGACACCTGAGGCCCAGTGACTGCTGGCCCAAGGTTGATCTGGAAGGTTGGGGCTGAAAGATAAACTCTCTCAGCAAAGGTTGCACCAGGCATCAAGTACTGAAGAATAGCCAAAGTCAAGATCAACTGTCCTTGATACACTAGATTATTTAAGGTCTCATGAGCTTGAGTCTAAGCAACAAAATTTGCCAAAATTTCAGAGCAATTTTCCTTCTTGAAGATCAATTCTACAACCTCATGATTCCTTCCTTCCTTCCTTGCTTCCTCTTCCTTCCCTCTCTTTCTTTCTTTTCTTTCCTTTTCTTTCTGGGTAGTTGAGTCTAAGTAACAACATTTGCCAAAAATTCAGGGCAATTTTCCATTTTGAATGTCAGTTCTACAACCTCATGACTTTTTTCTCTTTCCCTCCCTCTCTCCCTCCCTTCCTCCTTCACTCCCTCCCCTCCTTCCTTCCTTCCCTCCTTCCTTCCTTGTCCTGGGGCTTGGACTCTGAGCCTGGGTGCTATCCCTGAGCTCCTTTTGCTCAAGGCTAGCACTCTACCATTTGAGCCACAGTGCTACTTCTGGATTTTTCTGTGATTAATTGGAGATAGGAGTTTCATGGCTTTTTTGACTAGGCTGGCTTCGAACCATGATCCTCAGATCTCAGCCTCCTGCATAGCCAGGGTTACAGGCATGAGCCATGGGTGCCATGGCTAACTTGATGACTCTTAACTCATTTGTATTCTGATATATATTTTTCTGAATAAGAAAGGGATGGAGTTATCTTGACTGCTGAGATGGGAAGTTTCCCAAAGACCATCTGTGGGAGAGGATCTCAGTAAGAGTGAGTGAGCTGCCATTCCAGTGAGGCCCACTGTACAAAGGGTATGTTCTGGGACCTACACACCCACAGATGGCATCAAAATGGTTCAAAGGTACATGTTACACGTGGTAACTGAAATGTTTTAGAATTGGTCAGACTGATTAGAGAATTGTATGAAAACAACTTTGAATTGTGTATTTTAAATGGGAATATTGTAAGGCATGAGAATTATGTCTTAATGTTACCAATGTAAGTACGTTACTGGCCACAGTAACATACTGGGGGAATGGAAAATACATTATTAGCTCAAGTCAGCTGAGACAACAAATAGTCCCATCTTAAACTTGTTTTCTACTAATGGACTAGTTGACCAAACCTGCATGGTTACATTTTAGACCTTTTCTTTTCTTCTAAGTACCTGATCAACAATGAAGAAATGAAACACTACTTAGAACTGAATGGCCAATTATTGTATTCTAAATACTTTTCATACATTTTTAACACAATAGCAAGATAAACTATAGTTTGGGGAAAGTTGCTATGTTCTCGGCCCTATTCTAAGTGTTGCCTGCATGTTTAACTCATTTAGTCCCTACATCAACCAATCACGCCATTGGTAGAGAAGGAAACCGAGGTTCAAAGAAGTGCTGAGTGGGAGAGCCCAGCTTTGAACTAAGGCCTGGCTGACTCCCACTATGGTAGGATGGCTCCCAGTGGATGAGGCTCCCAGGTCTCATGACTAAGAACTAGCTGGGTCATGCTGGTTATTCATTAAGGAACTATTTTTCAAAGTATATTGTGGAGAAAGCTAACTCACAGGGGATTAACAGATGCTATTTTAAAAGCTGTCTGGTCAAATAGCTATGGGAAATGCTGTATTACACCAGTCTACCAAATGAATTCTAAGCCCCTGGTCTGTCAGTATACAAGGAATCTCCCAGGAAAGACAAAGAATGCTGCATCTCTAACTCATTTTATAAGGGAATCTTTCCTTGCACCATCTTTCAGTTCTAGAGAGCTAGGTAGTGTTTTCCAAACTTTTGCTAATATATCCTCAATATATGATTGCTCATGCATCCTTTACAGCTGAATCAGTCTCCCAGTTTAAAGTATACTGCCTAGTCCATCTCTTAAGCAGTGTGGGGAAATTTAAAGTGAAAGAAAGAAACTTCTGGTGTGTGTGTGTGTGTGTGTGTGTGTGTGTGTGTGTGTGTGTGTGTGTGTGTGTGTGTGTGTGTGTGTGTGTGTGTGTGTGTGTGTGTGTGTGTGTGTGTGTGTGTGTGTGTGTGTGTGTGTGTGTGTGTGTGTGTGTGTGTGTGTGTACTTGAGCTTGAACTTAGGCTCTGGGTGCTTTCCCTTAATTTTTTTACTCAAGGCTGGAGCCACAACTCCACTTCTGGCTTTTTGCTGGTTACTAGAGATTAAAGTCTCAAAGACATTCCTGCCCAGGCTGGCTTCAAAGCATGTTCCTCAGATATGAGCCTCCTGATTACAGGCATGAACCACCAGTACCTGGCTCAAAATGTACACTTTTTTTTTTGCTGGTTCCAGGGGATCCTTTTGCTCAAAGCTAGCATTTTACCAGTTGGGCCACTGTGCCACTTTCAGCTTTTCTGTGATTAACTGGAGATAAGAGTTTCACGGACTTTTCCTGCCCGGGCTGGCTTTGAACCACGATCCTCAGTTCTCAGCCTTCTGAGTAGCTAGGATTACAGGCGTGAGCCACTGGTGCCCAGCTCAAAAAGTGTACTTCTAATGAACATTTTTGTAATGTGTACAACATGACCGGCTCTGTCATTGGCCTGGCCTGCACATCATCACACCTTACCTTCTGAAGGGGCCTTGTTTTCCGAGGTAGCACTGAGGGGGTGACGTGATGAGGGGTCCCAAGGGATGATGCAGATGTACAGCCACTGAATTCATTTTCTCCCATTTTCTCAGAGCCTTGAGCGTTTTCTGAGAGGGGATTGTGTGCTGGTGACTTGGAAAGGTCAGTGTTTCTCCCCACTGGCTCAGTAGTGGGAATGTCCAAAGACCCAGACTGTTCTGGCCTGCACTGGAGGCAGGGGTCATAGGGGTCAGCCTGACAACAGTCCCAAAGACCAGCCTGGCCCTGATCAGGCCCAGAACTTCTCCAGCAATCTGCGGCCATGGCTGTGGAGATGAGGTCAGGGCTAGAGCCAGGCATCTGTCTTTGAGCGTGGTTGCTGAGTGGGCTCCGCAGGGCTGCAGCTGGTCCAAAATATCTCAGGTTGTTAGCGCAGGTTGCGATGTCCTGTCTATGCATACTGAGTCTGGGCTGGTGGCTCTGAGACTCGGCAGGAGGGGGTTGCTGGTATTGCTGCTGCACAGGGTTATGGTGATGGAGAGAAGGGGACTGGGGTTGGGCTTGGTGTAGGTAAGAAGAGTGGGGTGAAGTGTCCTGGGCTGGTTGGGTTTTCAGGATTGCTGCAAAGTCACTATGGCTGCCTCTGCTGTTTCCCCGGCGGTGGCGTGGTTTGCTTCGATATCGGCTCTTGCTGCTTGAGGTGGACATTTTGGGACTTCCAGACAAAGGGGATGTGGTGGAAGCCACCTCTGTACTAGGAATACCTTCAGATCTCAATAGATCTGGCCTGGAGAAAAAAAAAAAAGAACAGGTTTAATTTTTAAACACGCAAACTCATTAAAGCTGGATGCCAGTGGCTCACTCCTGTAATCCTAGCTACTCAGGAGGCTGAGATCTTGAAGATTCTGATTCCAAGCCAGTCTGGACAAGAAAGTCTGTGAGACTCCAATTAATTAGCAAAGAGTTGGAAGTGGCTTAAGTGGCAGAATGCCAGCCTTGAGCAAAAAAAGCAAACCAAGAGTATAAGTCCTAAATTCAAGCTCAAGAACCAGTCAAGCAAACAAAACAGGCAAACAAAACAAAAACCCTTCATTCAAATTTGTGAAATACTTCCCAAACTTTTTTATTTATTTATTTATGCCGATACTGGGGCTAGAACTTTGGTCTGGGCACTGTCCCTGAGCTCCTTTACTCAAAGCTAGCACTTTACCACTTGAGCCATAACACTACTTCTGGCCTTTTCTGTGATTAATTGGAGATAAGAGTCTCAAAAACTTTCCTACTCAGGCTGGCTTTGAATTACAAGCCTCATATCTCAGTTTTCTGAGTACCTAGGATTACAGGTGTGAACCACCCGCTCCTGGCTACCTCCCAAACATCCTTTGATTGTTTGTGGTGTTGGGATCAAACCCCATGATATTGGGTGGTCCAGTGTTGCAGCATGGAAACAACAGGAATGAGCCGAAGCCTTATCTTAGGAACAAGAGCTCAGCCTGAGCTGGTCAGCTTCAGCCATGAGGATCTGGTGGTGGAAGGATGTCACCTAATGATCCAATCCAGACCAGTGTGCCAAGACAATACCCACTTAAGCCTTGGAAAGTAAAAACTAAATTCCTAAGTCCATGCCACACTGTCATCTTTCTACTCCTTTTTCCTTTGGTCTGGAGTGAAGTGTGCGAAGGCTGAACCTCAGAAATGGTCACATCACCATCCTCTAAGAATGTATTTTGTGACAAGAAATGTACTCATTGCCTTACTCATGTAACTGTAACCCCTCTGTACAACAACTTTACGATAAAATAAAACTTAAAAAAAAAAAAGAATGTATTTTGCAGCCCTATCCTCCCATTTATCTGAATGCCAGGTGGGTACAAGAGTCTCACCGCTTGGTCTGTAGCCCGGCTTTGTGAGGGACACCTTTCCTTTTCATGAGTTTCTCCATGGCATTTGGGTGGATTATTGGGCGGACAGGGTGCCGTTTGTAAGTTCCGGGATACTTTTTTTCCACGGCTTGCTCTCGCCTGCAGGATGAAAGAAAAAGTTCCATGTCAGTCACAGTGGATAGAAAGGATGGGCAGAAAGTTCTCACAGACTAATTCTTCCCACAGCGGTCTCGCCACACTTAACAGACATAGATCATTTGAAAAGCAGGTTTAGAAAACAAAACAAAATCCAAGAAGATACTAAATTCAAATTCGCCTAACTTCCTCCTGCCCTGCAGCTCAGAACTCAGGCAATGCCTACCTTTCTCTTCCCCAGAACAGAGTGAGGACAGAAACACTGCTGATTTTCAACAGCTGTTGTTCTGGTTAGGGTTTAGGGATTTCTGGCCACCATCAGGGGTAGCTTAGGCCATTTGCAGCAGCCACTTGACTTCCCTGAGTGGCAGTAAGCACCTTGTTAACAATACCAAATTATTATTATTTTTTATTGTTATTATTGCCAGTTCTGGGCTTGAACTCAGGGCTTAGGCACTGTCCCTGAGCTTCTTTTGCTCAAGGCTAGCACTCTACCACTTGAGCCACAGCACCACTTACATTTTTTTCTGTTTATGTGGTGCTGAGGAACCAAACCCGGGGCCTTCATGAATGCTACTACTAAGCCACACTCCCAGCCCCTACACCAAATTCTTGATATGAAAACCCAGGGTCACTGGACCCTGGGTTGCTCTAGTGTGTGGTCCTCGTTATCCAGCTTTGCAGCAGCTTTGCTCATTCTGCCTCACCCAGGTAGAGACCTGTGCACACCCTAGGACGAATGTTGAATGAATGAACTATCTGCCAGTTCAGAGTAGCAGCAAGATGTAAGAGCGGTATCTCTGCTAAGGACCAGTCCCTAAGGACCTTCACTGGTCTGCATACATACTTAATGAGCTCCTTCTCCCGCATCTCCAGCTGCAGCATGATGGCACTCAGCTCCATGTATAAATTATTAGCCCGCTCAAGCTTTCTCTCATAATGTTCACGAATGTCCAGTGCATGCCTATCAAAGACAACACAGGATCAGCAAAGATGACTAATTTAGAGAATAAAGGTCCACTGTAATGAAATAAAAACCAGGATGGCTTATTTCTAAAGCATTGGCCCCAAGGTCCTCTATTTTTAAAGCTTTCTTGTTTAACTCAGACAAGGAGTAGAAGATGGAAAATCCAGGCTTTCCACATGTTTTACCCTTAAGGCCTAGTCAGTACAAAGCCAGGTAGATCATAGATTAAAATTAGAATTTATGGGCTGGGAAGGTGGCTCAGTGGTAGAGCGCTTGCCTTGCATGCATGAGGCCCTGGGTTTGATTCCTCAGCACCACATAAGCAGAAAAAAAAAAGCCAGAAGTGGCGCTGTGGCTTAAGTGGTAGAGCACTAGCCTTGAGCTGAAGAGCTAAGGGACAGCACCCAGACCCAGAGTTCAGGCCCCATGACTTGACCCCCCCCCCCAAAAAAAATCAATAAAATTAGAATTTATGCATTGCTTGTAGCCTTTATTTTTTTCTGTATCTGTCCTGGGGCTTGAACTCAGGGCCTTGGCACTGTCCTTGAGCTTTTGTGTTCAAGCTAGCACTCTGCACTTAAGCCATAGCTCCATTTCTGATTTTTTTGGTAGTTGGAGATAAGAGTCTCATGGACTTTCCTGCCAGGGCTGGCTTTAAACCATGATCCTCGGATCTCCACTTCCTGAGTAACTAGGATTATAGGCATGAGCCACTGGTGCCTAGCTTTGCTTGTAGCATCTGCTTATGTTAGTTTAAAAAAAGTATAACATATTCATACATTAATGGAAATAAGAATTTGAAGAAAATACTATGATTATACCTCTCCATGTCATGTATAGCTATCTTGCTTATTAGTATGGAATTGTGTGGCCCTGACAAATGCACATTCCAAGGTGAGGATATTAAGAGGTGGGCCTTTGGGAGGTGATTTTCTCATGAGAAAGGGGACCTCATAATGAGATTTGTGGCCTTATAGATAAAGTCGAAGGGCCTCTTCTCTTCTAAAAAGTGTATTAATGTATGAGGATAGGTCTTCAACAGACACTGAATTTGCTAGTGTCTTGATCTTGAACTGCATTGCCTCCAGCAATACATTTCTTTCATTAACTTCCAAGTCTAAGAAAGCATGTCACATCAGCCAGAATAAGTCAGTGGTTGTCCATGAGCATGTCTTGTATTCCTTAATAGATTATAAGCATCGTGAGGTCAGGAACTAAATCTTCATACATTTCTAGCTTTCTTTGGCAGCTAGAACAGTGACTGAATGGACAAATAGAAGCACTTTGTTGCAGAGTATCACAAATGAAGAAAACAGAGTTTGGAAAAGAGAAAAAAAAGAATCTTTCTCTTTCTCTTTAAAAAAATAGAGGAGGGGGGAGGATGGGAAGGGATGGGAAGGGGAAACAAAGGAGGAGCCTACAATGCTTGATAAGAAATGTACTCATTATCTTGCCCATATAATTGTAACCCCTCTGTACAGTATTTTCACAATAAAAAAATAGAGGAGGAGACAACAATGCTCAACAAGAAATGTACTCATTACCTTACTCATATAACTGTAACTCCTCTTGCCAGGTGCCAGTGGCTGACGCCTGTAATCCTAGCTACTCAGGAGGCTGAGATCTGAGGATCACGGTTCAAAGCAGAAAAGTCCGTGAGACTCTGATCTCTAATGAACCACTAGGAAACTGGAAGTGGCTCAAGAGCGCTTGCCTTGAGCTGAAGAGTGCAGGAACAGCGCTTAGGCCCGGAGTTCAAACCCCACCACCGACCAAAAAAAAAAAGTACATCTTTATGGGATACCATCTGATGTTTCAATACATGTACACATTGTATATGTTCAAGTCAGGGACAACTTATCTTCTCAAATAATTATTACTTCTTTCTGGTGAAACATTAAAAAATCTTTATTGTGGTGCTGGGAAGGTGGCTCAGTGGTAGAGCGCTTGCCTTGCATGCCTGAGGCCCTGGGTTCGATTCCTCAGCACCACATAAGCAAAAAGAAAAAAGCCGGAAGTGGCGCTCACAGCGGTAGAGCACTAGCCTTGAGCTTTAGAGCTGAGGGACAGCGCCCAGGCTCAGAGTTCAGGCTCCACGACCAGACCCAAAAAACAAACAAACAAACAAAAAATCTTTATTGTAATTTCCTAAATAAAAAGTATAACGCATTATTACTACCATAGTCAACCTAGTGCACAATACAACAGACATTCTTTCTCCTATGGAATTGAGTACCTATTAATCAACCTTTCTTTGCCCCAACCCCAGCCTCCAGTAACCATCACCCTCCCCATGCTAGACTTCCAGGACAACCCTTTTAGATTTCACAGAGAATTTCAGAGCGAGTTTTAAAGAGTATAAGGACACAGGGTAGAGGCAAAAGGTGTGTAGAAGGTGAAATGGCCATTCACAAGGTGTTCTTGCTAGTATATGAAGACTCAGGCCGGGTGGGGAGCCGGGGAGAAGAGGTAGACCACAGAGATCAGCTGACCTGAGCTCTTCTCTGCGTCTTCGAATCAGTTCTTCATCTAACCGATGTATACAGGTTCCTTCGCTTTTGATCTTCTCAAAGTGTTTTTTTACTTCTTCTCTCCATTCAGCCTGGATAAGAAAAAAAAAAAGATGGAAGAAGAGGGAACACAACCTTCTGGCAGCAGACCCATTGGCCATAAAATTATAAACCTGCCAGAAACTCCAAGAGTGGCAGGACACTGGTCTTTGCACAGGCATAGATTTTAAACCAATCTAATTTTTAGGAAACAGGAAAAACTCTGCTAGGATAATAGTTCCTAAACAATAGCTAAATGGAGATGTTTCATTATGTATCAGATACGTTCCAAGAGGTAATGAGAACACAATAATCTCCAGTGAAAGCTAATGCCTTTAATTATATAACAGTTCCAGAGAATAACTCCATTACCTTCATGTGTATGTTAGGCAGTATATCTCAAAATCTCTGGTAGTTCTATTTTTAATTTGTTGAGGAACCCCCTCAGGCTATTTTCCAACAGCGTACAAATTTCCAGATTCTCCTCCCCTCATTAATACTTAATGTCTGTGTTTCCTTGATTACAGCAATCTCATTTTTGGGCCATTTATGCAAAAGAATTGATATATGGATTTTTTAAAAAAAGAAATCTGGATCTTGAAGAGATATTAGTATCCTCATATTCATTGCACTATTCATACTAGCCATGATGTCCATCAGTGATGGATAAAAAATATATGGTATATATATATATATATATATAAAATAGAATATTATTCATCTTTTAGAAAAATCATGAGTATGTGACAACAAAGACAAAGCTTGAGTAATTTATGCTAACAATAACTCAGTTATAGAAAGAGAGACACTGCATGGTTCCACTTACATGCAGTATGAAGAATATAGTTAAACTCATGAAGTGGAGTTGAATGGTGGGTTCTGGAGGGAATGGGCAGAAATGGAGAATTGATAATTAACAGCTATGAATTTCATCTACATAAGAGGAATAAGTTCTAGGATAACATATAGTTAACAATCTTGCACTGTACATTTAAAAATGTTTTATTAGAGGCATGGCTCAGAGGTAAGAGAGCCTACCTTGCAAGCATGAAGCCCTGAGTTCAAATCTCAGTACCACCAAAACAAAAAATAAAACTGATTAAAATCTTTTAATCAGCAAGGTACTGGTGGCTAATACCTATAATCCTAGCTACTCTGGAGGCTGAGATTTGAGGATTGCAGTTCAAAGCCAGCTCAGGCAGGCAAGTCTGTGAGACTTATACAAGAAGCTATAAGTGGAGCTGTGGTTCAGTGGTAGAGTGCTATCCTTGAGCAAAAAAAGATCAGGGACAGTGCCCAGGCCCTAACTTCAAGCCCCAGGACTAGTGTGCGCGCACGCGGGAACACACACACACACACACACACACACACACACACTTTAAAAGGGTAGATCTCATGTAAAGTGTTCTTAGCACAATAAAAATATTCATCTAAATCACAAAAAGTTATATTCAAGTAATTGTAAATTTATAGAGAATTATCCTTAATTATCACTCTCCTTCCCCCTTCCTCCTACCTAGAGGATTGAGCCTGGTCCCTTGCTCATGTTAGGCAAATGATCTATTATACCTCTAGCCCTCACCTATTTTGAGGGGAAACCAACTTGCATTTATTTAACTTATAGATACACCAATAGAATACTAAAATCAACTTTTTTCAAGAGATAACCAAATGTTGGAGCATTAAAGCTGACTTTCCTTCTGCAGAGAGCTATTTACCATGAACTATGACTTTCCACTACATAGCCAAGTTATGTTTGATTCCATCTAGCAGGCTAAATGGAATCAAATGTGATGGTTTGGGAACCATGCTCTAACCCTGTCAGCAGTAAGGGACTGGGTAACCCATGAAAGGCTCAGTGTGGCTCCATTGATTTATTTCTACATGTTGTTCAGAGGTTGTGAACCAATAATAGGAAGCCCTCATCTATTATTGCAGATGAAATTATATTATAATTATTTAGGAAATGATTGTCTTATTTTTTAAATGATACACTAGGTGTTCATATGTATGTTGCGAGAGAGGATTCTACTAACTGCCTAGCAACTTTCAGGTGCCCAAATTTTCCCAAGATTGAGAACATTTTATCCTATTGTTAAGTGACAATTTTATCACCTACATTAACAGCATCTAAATGAAAGGTTCAGGCAAGTGCTAGGCAATTCTGTTCTCCCAGTCACTAGATCAAAGTCATGCACTAGGAAGAGAACAGTTGAGCTTTATGAGTGCAAGAGGCCTGAAGTGGTTGTGCATGCCTGTTATTCCAGAGGTAGAGTCACAGTCCAAGGCTGACTAAAACTGAGAGAGAAAGAGAGTGGGTGAGAGAAAGACAGAGAGAAAAAGAGACAGAAAGAGAGACACAGAGAGAGGAAAAAAGAGAGACAGAAAGAAAAGGATGGCACGTAAGAGCTGATAAAGGACAGATAAGGGAGAGGGTCAAATTTGGGACTTAAACTATCCTCAGATGCAAAAACATGTCAGTAGATTCTAAGACAAAACTTTATGTAAGTACAGCATAATGAAACCTATCACATGATGTTTGAAAAAGGGAGGGAGAGAGAGGGAGCAATAGGAATACACTGGAAGGGTGAATTTGAAGAACTCAAAGTACACCGTGTGCATGTATGGAAATATCAAAACAATTAAACTCCTTCATATTACAAATGTTAATTAAAAAAAAAAAAAGGAATCAAGAAAAGGACTATCTCCCTCTGCTGGTAAAGAATCAGAACACAGATCAGGTTGATTTTTTTTTTGTTGGCTGGTTTGTTTTTTGCCAGTTCTGGGGCTTGAACTCAAGGCCTAGGCACTGTCCCCAAGCTTCTACTGAGTCAAGGTTAGTGCTCTACCACTTGGGTCACAGCACCACTTCCAGCACTTCTGAGTAGTTTATTGGAGATGACAGTCTTACAGACTTTCCTGCCCAGGCAGGCTCTGAACCACGATCCTCGATCTTAGCCTCCTGAGTAGCTAGAATTATAGGCATGAACCACTGGCTCCGGGATAAGATGAAAGCTTTTAAGAGAGTAGCTTTCAGGATTTCTCTTTGGGGTCTCTTGCTGGATACAGTGTCACTACTGTATTCTTTCATGGTTTTCCTTTCACTTTCAAATAAATTTGTTCTGTTTATCTTTTTATTTCAAGAGTAGATTTCCAAAAAGGAGTTCTCTTCGGTGAAGAGGTAACAAGAAGTATGAGAAAACACCAGGGGCTAACCAAAACTGTGATTTTCTCAAGCATACCATATTCCTGGCAAATGCTAATTTAGTTTCATAGAATCTGTGTGATAACACAGTTCCAAATTGCATTTCCTCTGTAATTCAGCTGTATGTAGGCATAGCTGAAGAAGTGGTGGGTGGGCAGACTGGACATTGACTGCTAACAAAGCCACAGATCCCAGTGTCTCACTAAAATTCTTGAAAAACACTGAGCCATGGCCAGGGAAAGGAAGCATGGGCTGCATAACCAGCATCCTGTGTGGCTCTGGACTTGAGAACATCAGCTTCAGTGGCTCCCAGTGGGGGATGGCAGTGTCTTAAGGTAATGGCAGCATCTATGGACAGAAGCTAGGGCAGCCTCGTTACAGAGATCATCATGCTGGTTCACCAAGAAGGCAACACCTAGCAGATTCCAGGCAGAAGATGGCTATATCTAGCCAGAGTCTACGGAAATCAGCATGAATGTTAACATGAAGTTATACTTAAGATTTCCATTCCTCACTGAGGACACCTCCAAAATGCATGTGTGGTACCACAAAGAGGTGCTTCCTTTTGTAAACTGTGTAAGCAGGTAAGGGCATGGAAAAAAGGTGAAATTTGACACCATTAATGATACTGTCTTATGTCCAGAGAAGGCCTATGAAAGCCCAGAACATGGGAGGAGGGGTCTGTCTGCCTTTTCAAGTCGTCTAGATATTCAATTAATAGACTGAAGCTCTTGTACCCAAATGTCACTTTTTAAAATTTCTCCACAGTATAGATGTCAACATGAGGTTGAATTAAAAGATGACTGGATAAACAAAAGTGGTATATGTAGTGGAATGTTATCCAGCCATAAAAAGTCATGCAATTCTGACACACATTATAATATGCATGAACTTTAAATGCTTAGTGAAACAAAACCAAACAGTAAAGGACATATATTGTATGACTCCCTTTAAACAAAATAGTTACCATAGGCAAATGTATAGAGACAGAAATTAAAATAGAAATTATTAGAGCCACCGGGCGCCGGTGGCTCACACCTGTAATCCTAGCTACTCAAGAGGCTGAGATCTGAGGATCACGGTTCAAAGCCAGCCCGGGCAGGAAAGTCCATGAGACTCCTATCTCCAATAAACCACTAGAAAACCGGAAGTGGCGCTGTGGCTCAAGTGGCACAGCGCTCGCCTTGAGCTGAAGAGCTGAGGGACAGCACCCAAGCCCAGAGTTCAAGCCCCACGACCCACAAAAAAAAAAAAAGAAAAGAAATTATTAGAGCCTAAAGGAGGAGAGAACAGGGAGACAATGCTTAACAGAGTGAATAAAAATTTTTGGAAAGGGCTGGGAAGGTGGCTCAGTGGTAGAGCGCTTGCCTTGCATGCATGAGGCTCTGGATTCAATTCCTCAGCAACACATAAGCAAAAAGAAAAAAGCCAGGAGTGGTGCTGTGGCTCAAGTGGTAGAGCACTAGCCTTGAGCTGAAGAGCTGAGGGACAGCGCCCAGGCCCAGAGTTCAGGCCCCACGACCGGACCCCCCAAAAAAATTTTTTTTGGAAATAGTAGAGGTACTTGCATAACCTGAATGCCATTGAATTATACATTGAACTGGTTAAAATGGCAAATTTAAAACTATATTCATTTTACCATAATTTTATTTATTTATTTATTTATTGGTCATGGGGATTGAACTCTGGGCCTGGGCGCTGTCCCTCAGCTCTTTAGCTCAAGGCTAGTGCTCTACTACTTGAGCCACAGCATCACTATTGGTTTTCTGAGTGGCTTATTGGAGATAGAGTCACATGGCCTTTTCTGCCCAGACTGGCTTTGAACTGACATCCTCAGATGTCAGCCTCTTGGGTAGCGAGGCGTCAGAAAACCTTAGAGAACATCTAATTTAGTCCTTAACTTGACTTGAGTCCTCTTCATCACTGCCTTCCAAGGATGAGTGTCCACAACTGCACCCACTTATTCTTGAGATTACCCACAAGGCATTTCAGGCTAGCCCTCCAATGAGCTTGGTCTCTGTATGTCCCAAACCTGAATCTCCGGGTGGTCTTTTGGCCAGACTGGTGCAAAGGCAGAGGGAATAGGAGACATTGGGCACATAACCCACCCCGCAGCTGGAATGTGGGACAAAGCCAAAATGTTATTCTAAAGCCTCATAAAATGTTATTGGATACTGAGAGCAGTAATAGCTTCCTTGGAGAAAATGAGTGATTGTCTGGGAATGAGGCAATTGCCTTAACAGAATCTAATCTTGTATGAAATTGCTTGCTTTGTAATCTCTGCTTTGTGCATGCTGCATTTTTATACACATGCTGCTCTGAGAGGCAGATGAAGCATGTCTCCCAGGAAGAAGTCAGCTACACTCCTGGCAGCACTTTTGACAGACAGTTTTGGTGGCAAATGGAGATCAATGAATAACAATAATAACAATAATAACAATGAATGACTGGTGCTAAGAGCAGCCTGTCAACAAGCAGGAGGGGTAAAGGCCTCAGGTTCAAGACGTCTATGATAAGAGCAAATCCATGTGTGTGAAACATCAGTTCTTCCCTACTGGAGCAAGAAAGTGTTAAATGCAGTTAATTAGGCTTCCTAGCTGACATCTTATTGATTTCAAGTGGTCAGCAGGAAAGCGCCCAGAAGGTGACAATCCAAAGGAGCCTTACATTTGTATAACTTTATGGGAGATGAATAATAGCATCCCAGAATCAAAGAGATCTTAATAGTTTGCAATGTACCTGCATTTTTATCTTCTCATTTGATCCTCACAGAAACTCCCTAAGTAAGGGGAGTGTTTATGGGAGCAAGGTGAGATTTGGAGAAATTTAGTGACTTAGTCAACATTGTACAGTGCTAAGTGGTAAGAGGGCTTCAGGCTCCAGGTCCGCTGCTTTTCCCTAGAACCTCACTAGCCTGTCCATAAAGGTGTTATTGTCAGAGAAAGCCTTCATTTCAGATATAGAGATGTATCAGAACTAGGAAGGATAGGAGATTTGGAACTATTTAGACAAAAATGAAATTTTATGTGAGGTGAAGATGTGGAAGAATTAATGAATATTAAGTGATGCTACCATGTGTGCGGCTCCCCATCCCAAAGTCACCTGTTGAAATCTTAAGTTCCAACGTGAAGGTATTAGGAGGTGAAGTCCTGGAAGCTTATTAAATCATGAGGGGCTCTCCACTTTGAATGGGGTAACTATCGTTAGAAAAGTGGACCCAAGGGCGTTTGTTTGCCCTTTACCATGAAAGGACACAGAGAAGGGTAACCAGAACTCTGGCCTTACTAGACACTGAGTCTAGTGATCTTGGGTGGCCCACTCTCAGAATTGTGGGCCATAAATTTCTGTCATGTACAAGCTACCCATTCTACAGTGTTTTGTTACAGCACCCCAATCTAAAACATGACCAAAGTATTAAGGCCAGTCTTTCCTCTCAAGAATTCTCCTTTCCTCTCCACTCCTCCCTCAAGACCACCCAATCTCTCCTTTTCTCCTTTACACTTACTCCAAGACCTTTCATTTTGCTCAGTGTGAGCACTTCATTTATTGACATGATTCCTCTCAACAATGCAAGTGAGGTATCCTACTGAGATTACGGACTGGAAGTATGGGTTGTTGTGCACAGTACTTTGCATATGGTCAGTTCTCAGAAAAGCTATGCTGGCTTCAAAAGTAGTGTTTTTGATCCAGGTGTGGTACATGCTTCTTGAGAGGCAAAGCAGGGAGATTTTGAGTTTGAGGCTAGTCCAGACAAAGTGAATGAGACCCTACCCATAAATTAAACACAACAAAAAGAGCTGAGGGCATGGTTCAAGTAGTCAAGCACTTGCCTAGCATGCATGAGACTGTGGGTTTGATACCCAGTACTATGCAGAAGTGATATTTTAGGAGCATTTAAGATCTCTTTAGAATTTGAAGCTTTCTTTTTTTCTTTTCTTTTTTTTTTGTCGGTTGTGGGGCTTGAACTCTAGGCCTGGGCACTGTCCCTCAGCTCTTCAGCTCAAGGCCAGCGCTCTACCACTTGAGCTACAGTTTTCTAGTGGTTTACTGGAGATAAGAGTCTCACGGACTTTCCTGCCTGGGCTGGCTTTGAACCGTGATCCTCAGATCTCAGCCTCCTGAGTAGCTAGGATTACAGGTGTGAGCCACCAGCGCCTGGCTAGAATTTGAAGTTTTCTAAATACAAAAGGTTAAACTGACTGCCTCAGTAGCAGGTGGTGCAGGACTATCACCAAAATATGCTTTTCAAAATTGTGACATATGCATTTTTATTGTACAGGATGCAAAGCTGGGGTTTTACCCACAGCTTAAGGTTTAAAAGACTTCTCCATCTCTCTCTTTTCATGAGGGACCAAGTCTTGTCGGTAGACTAGCAGGAGAGGAGTCAAAGTATGTTGCTAAGATTCACTGAAACATGTACCATATTCTTAGCTTAAAAACTGTGCCAATGATGTCTTAGATGTCTACTTTCTCTTCCCAAATTAGCATAACTTTTTGTTGCATTTTAGTCTTTTATTTTTTATTTTTTGTCAGTCGTGGGGCCTGAACTCTGGGCCTGGGCACTGTCCCTCAGCATTTCAGCTCAAGACTAGTGCTCTACCACTTGAGCCACAGTGCCACTTCTGGCTTTTTCTGCTTATGTGGTGCGGGGAATCGAACCCTCATGCATGCAAGGCAAGCACTCAACCACTGAGCCACATTCCCAGTCCCTTTTTCTTTTTTTTTTGGTCCAGTCGTGGGGCCTGAACTCTGGGCCTGGGTGCTGTCCCTCAGCTCTTCAGCTCAAGGCTAGTGCTCTACCACTTGAGCCACAGCGCCACTTCCGGCTTTTTTCTTTTTGCTTATGTGGTGCTGAGGAATCGAATCCAGGGCCTCATGCATGCAAGGCAAGCACTCTACCACTGAGCCACCTTCCCAGGCCCCAGTCCCTTTTTCTTTTCTTTTTTTAATTAGTTGGTAATGTCTATTCTGAGAAAAAAAAATCCTTCAAATAATTCTGGAAGCCAATGGGGAGAGAGAGTTACTTCACAAAAATTCATTTTAGAAACACAAAAATTCAGGTTAGAAACACAGTAAGGGAATAAAAAGCTAAATGGTAAATAACCAATTTCATTATAATATAGTTAAATTCTGTAGTATGAAGCTACAATTTAGGTTCACCACACTTCAAAAGACATACTCCTACACTTTTGATATTCCCTGTGGCTGGTGGAATGAGGACCTTGAATGTATTCATCTCTCTCCATTCCCTATCTGCAGTGAAAATTGTTAAGACACTATCCTTGTGACATTTACACTTTTATTATTTTTGTGTGAGTGCTGGTCCTGAGACATGAACTCAGTGCCTAGGTTCTTTCTGTCCCTGAGCTTTATTTATTTATGTTTTTATTGTTATTATAAAGTTGATGTACAGAGGGGTTACAGTTACCTAAGTCAGATATAGAGTAAATTTCTGTGGACTTGAACTCAGGGTCTGGGTGCTGTCCCTGAGCTTTTTTGCTCAAGGCTAGTACGCTACCACTTTGAGCCACAGTGCCACTTCTGGTTTTCTCGTGATTAATTAAGAAGTCTCAAGAACTTTCCTGCCCTGGCTGGCTTCAAACTGCAGTCCTCAGATCTCAGCCTCCTGTGTAGCTAGGATTACAAGTGTGAGCCACTAGCACACAGCAGGAATGCATTTCTTTTTGGACAATGTCACCCTACTTAGTTTTTTTGCTTAAGGCTAGCTAGCACTCTACCACTTGAGCCACAGCTCCACTTCTGGTTTTTTTTCTTGGTGGTTAATTGGAGATAAGAGTCTCACAGACTTTCCTGCCTGGGCTGGAAAGTCAAACAGCGATTCTCAGATCTCAACCCCCTGAGTAGCTAAGAATATATGTGTGAGCCTCTGGCACATAACCATTTACAATATTTTTATTTTAATAGCACATGCTTCTTATATCGGTATCCATTACCTTACAATGTATGGTTGAAATTCTCTTGTCAAAAGGTGACTTTTGCTGGGTGCTGGTGGCAGGCATGGCGTAGCCCACTGAAGGATAAGAGGTACCTGGAGAATGGAGGTGCTCCAGCTAGTAGGCAGACTACCAGCAGACTTAGAAATGAGGCTATCTGGGGCCAGCAGGCCTGCCTGCCAACCCAGCAACTGACAGCAGGAATGTGAGTTGAAGACAGAAGAATTTCCTAGCCCAAACTATCAACTCACAGAATGGTGAGCTAAGTAGAAGTTATTTATTTATTTATTTTGCTACATCTATTGAGAAGGTTTTTAGCACAGTACAGGCTAATGCACAGTAAATTATGTTTTATGTGGAGCTATAAGAAAATAAATTTGGAGTTAGAGAAAAGGTTTTCTCTGGGCCTAGTTCTATCATGGTGTTTTCTATAATATAACTGCCTTCTTCTGTATTTCAGTTTTTGTGTTTTAAGGAAAAGCACTATTTTCATAAAGATCAGCAATATGGTCTCTTTTCTTCTTCAGTAATTTCACAAGAACCCACTAAGAATGACATTCTAACAGACATTCTTTTCAAATGAGAGAATAATATATGTTAAGTACTTAACAAACTCTCAAATTTCATACTATGAAGTATCATAATTATTATTTCATATTGAAGTTACATTCCTGCCATAAGGCTAGGCACGGCACCCTTCTGAGAGTTCCCATTTCTCATTGAGTGTTCCCATCTGTGTGTTCAGTCCCTCTCTGGCTTACCTGAGACTTGAAGTAAGTTTCTTGCGGAGTGGCAAGTACATCTGCAGATGCAATGTCTAAATGCATGAGCGTCTGCCGGAACGAAGGCCGGTTGCGGGGTTTACTCTGCCTAAAGTGAAAAAAAAAAAGACATGTTTGTGCATTTCCAAAATTGTGTCCAGGAGGATGAAGCTCTTATTCTATTTTATGAAATATTTTTAAAAATTTGTTTTTCAAACAGCTTTGCTGTCCTGAAAGGCAAAAGGAAAATATATTTAGGAGATCCTTACACTGATGTAATGGAAATTTACCTTCAGTGACCTTTTTCACTGGTAAAATAATATAGCTCTCATTTGCTAAAGCCTACTATTCCAAAAGTCATATCAGATTCTTCATTCATACATTTTGATCACAACACAATAACTCCATGAAGAAAGGCTATCTTTATTTTATAGATGAGAAAACTGGTATTTGGATGACATGCCCCAAATTATAATAATTTTATTTTGTTTTATTATTTTTTGGGTCCGGTCGTAGGGCATGAACTCTGGGCCTGGGCGCTGTACCTCAGCTCTTCAGCTGAAGGCTAGCGCTCTACCACTTGAGCCACAATGCCACTTCCAGCTTTTTTCTTTTTGCTTATGTGGTGCTGAGGAATTGAACCCAGGGCCTCAGCCATGCAAGGCAAGTGCTCTACCACTGAGCCACCTTCCCAGCCCCTATAATAATTTTTAAAAGGCAAAGCCAGTATCTAAACCCAAGGTTCTTAAAGTGCAAGGCTCTTAGTCTTTCTACCACTTGTGTGTAAAAAGTGTCCTCTCTCTCTCTCTCTCCCTAAGTAATTCAGTTCCTTTCTGTTAATCTTGACAGAATTGTTTTTCTGAAGGGTTCCTGCTTTGGCCAGGTGAATTGGTCCTTGCTAATTACATTTTAATTACATACATCATTTTCCTCAGCACTTTAATTAAGATATCCTGTTAGAGGCTCCTTGACTTTTAATTACTTCCTGTTAATTGAGCTGCATCCTTTTGATTGTCAACCTGAACTCAGCCAATATGAGCAGAGGGGCAGGGCCTGCTGGGTTAAAGGGCAGCCTGCTTGATCTATGTGCTTGCTTACCAGATTTTTGGTGGATGGTGCATCCTTCCCCAGAAGTAAACCTTGCCTTGTTGAATTCCTTTCGAGTTGGGGGTCTTTATTCCTACGTGACACCCCAACATCCCGAGCTATTTCTAACAGGTAATTTATTCCTAATACACATTGTAGACCTCTTTGCTGTTTTAGAGCCATTTTACATATGTCTTTGAGAAAGAAAGTAAAGAAAAACATTGGAAGAGATATCTTACCATGTCTGTTTCATAAGGATTTTGAATCCATCTGGACAAGTGGAAGGAACTGGGAGGTGCAGGCTATTGCTTCCAACTCCCCAAATAATGGCTGATGAATCTACATCTTTGTAGGGGATCTCTCCTGTCAGCAGCTCCCAAAGCACCACACCAAAAGACCTACAGTAGTACCAGGAGCATGCATAAAAGACATTTCAGAAGGACTCATTTGTACTTCAGTTCTTTATTCATTTTTAATCAAGCTGACACGTGCACCTAGCTTGAAAATTTTAAATTCAACTATAAGGAAAACAGAAAAGCAGGATAGATCTATGAAAAAGAAAACTAAGAGAAACAAATACTGTCAGATATTACAACATAAAGTCTCAGTAAGTAACAATGGTTCACGAATAGATAACCACGCTAATGAACCAGCATAAAATCCAGAAAGAGACCACATACATATAAGGATTGAGTATATAATTAAGCATCATCAACTGCTGAGTGAAAACTGCTTGGTTAATAATCACTGTTGGGACAACTGGAGCAAGCTAAGACGAAGAGAAGCTCAGAGTTACAGAACTGCTTAGCATACTCAAGACAGTGGTTCCTAGTACTGGAACGAAGACATACACACACACACACACACACACACACACACACACACACACACACACACACACACACACACACACACACACACGCACACCAAAAAACTGGATGCTAGGGGCTCATACCTATATTTCTAGTTACTCAGGAGGCTGATGTCTGAGGTTCTCAGTTTGCAGCCTAGGAAAGACAAACCTGAGTGACTTATCTCCAACTAACCAGCAATAAGAAGTGGAAGTAAGGTTCAAGTGGTAAAGAACTAGCCTTGAGTGAAAAAGCAAAGCAAGAGTATGAGGCCCTGAGTTTAAGCCCCAGTACTGGCACGCACGCGTGCGCGCGCACACACACACACACACACACACACACACACACACACACACACACACACTAAAACAAACCACACCTTATCATGCATCAAGATAAATTTCAAATGATTCACAAAATTAAATGTAAGAATAAAACCATAAAAATCTTGACAGAAAATGAGGAACAATTTTAAAATAATTTTTAGAGAGATAAAGGCTGAGGAAATCAAGAAGCCATAAAAATGATAAATTTCTGAAGTGAGAAAAGCCAACATAATGAAAAATCAGTTAGAGGCTGAGATTGGGAGGATATTAGTCAGTTCATGGCTATCACCAGGCAAAAAGTTCGCAAGACCTCATCTCAACCAATGAAAAGCTGGACTTCGTAGCTGCACCTGTTATCCCAGTGTTAAGAGGGAAGATTTAAGTCCAGGCTGGTCAAACATAAATGCAAGACTCTATTTGAAAAATAACAAAATCAAAATGAGATGAAGGTATGGCTCAAGCAGTAGATTGCCCTTTGACAAGCATGACGCCATGAAACTCTGAGCTGACTAATGACAAGACTCAGTTGTGCACACTTGTCATCCCAGCAATGCAGGAAAGCACAAATAGAAGGATTGCAGTTCAGGCCGGCCACACATAAAGTGAGACCATCAGTGGAAAATAACCGATATTTAAAAGGCTGGGGGAGGGGGAGAGGGGGGAGACTGGGAAGGGATGTGAAGGGTAAACAAAGGAGGAGGCTGCAATGCTTGGTAAGAAATGTACGCATTATCCTGCCCATGTAATTGTAACCCCTCTGTACAGCATGTTCACAAATAAAATAAAATAAATTAAAAAAAAAAAAAAAAAGGCTGGTGGAAGCTGGGCATCAGTGGCTCACACTTGTAATCCTAGCTACTCAGGAGGCTGAGATCTGAGGATCACAGTTCAAAGCCAGCCTGGAAAGTCTGTGAGATTCTTATCTCCAATAAACGGCCAGAAAACCAGAAGTGGTGCCGTGGCTCAAGTGGTAGAGCACTAGCCTTGAGCTGAAGAGCTGAGGAACAGCGCCCAGGCCCAGAGTTCAAGCCCCACAACCAACAAAAAAGAAAAGAAAAGGAAAAAAGGTGGGTGGAATAGCTCAAGTAGTAGAGTGCCTGCTGGCCAGTAGAAAGGCCCTGAGTTCAAACCTCAGTACCACCAGAAACTCCACCAACCAAACAACCCAAGATACAGAAAAGTAATCTCTTCATATATAAAATACTCATACTTGGTAATAAACATTAGAAATTACAGCAAAAGGATATAAGCAGTTCACAAATAAGAAACTGCAAATGATTCTTAAGCATATAAAGTAACAAATAATAGGAGGAAATGAAAACTATATCTAAGATACCATTTTTTACCCATATGACTGTCCAAAATCCCACTTTTGGGCATTTACCCAAATGATCACAAACAAGTCCATACTAAAGCTACCAGCACAACTGTGTTTATTACAGCATTATTTACCATAGCTAAGATATGAAACCAACCCAGATGCCCCTCAGTAGATGAATGGATCAAGAAAATGTGGTATATATACACAATGGAATTCATGCCTCCATCAGAAAGAATGACATTGCCCCATTTGTTAGGAAATGGAAAGACTTGGAAAAAATTATATTAAGTGAAGTAAGCCAGGCCCAAAGAAATATAGGTTCCATGGTCTCCCTTATTTGCAATAACTAGTATATCTCTGAGACAAGCAGAAATGGTCAGATAAGTTGATGTTAGGCGAAGTGAACCCCAAGATGAGGACTCAAATGTTTTATTTTTCTTTCTTGCTATTGTTTCTAACATATTTATAAGATGAATTTTTTTGTTGCTTTGTATGTCCCTCCCCCATGGTATAACCCCTGTTTTCACTGTATTTAATGTTGGTATAATTTGTGGAGGGGAAGGGAAAAAACAAATCATTTAAATAGGGATACAGGTGGACCTATTGCAACAATGAGATGTACAAGACGGTATGTTGAAAAATGAACTTTACAACTTTGGCTTGGGGAGGGTGGGGGTAAGGGAGGGGAAGGGATGGGAAGGGGAAACAATGGAGGGGGCAACAATACTTGATAAGAAATGTACTCATTATCTTGCCCATGTAATTGTAACCCCTCTGTATGGTATTTTCACAATAAAAAATTAACATATTTTATTGAGAGACTGAGAAAATGCCCTTATAAACTTCTGGTGGGAACATAAATTGGTATAATCCTAAAAAATGGAAACTTCAGTAATTATCCAAATTACAAATGATCTCATTCCTATTCAGCCTATTCATTATGCTGTTATACGCAATTTTAACACTTGCTATTATTTTTGATAAAGCCTAAAATTTAATTGCTAATTTTAAGGGCATAATAAAAGCAATTACAGGGGAAAATATTAAGAAGACTTATATCCTGAGAAGAAAAGTTGCTAAATAATGATGATGATGATAAAACTTAACAATAATAATAATAATAATAGATAATAAAGCATAGTCCAGAGCACTTAGTAAAAAGGTAATGTGCTTACACATCCCAGATGGACATAGAGGATACAATTGTGACACAGCAACAGACATTACTTATGTGTGCGATGACGGTCTTCAGTCATCAAGAATAGAAGTTAGCCAGGTGATGGTGGCTCATACCTGTAATCCTAGCTATTCAGGAGGCTGAGATCTGAGGATCACGGTTCAAAGCCAGCCCAGGCAGGAAAGTCTGTGAGATTCTTATCTCCAATTAACCACTAGAAAACCTGAAGTGGCGCTGTGGCTCACGCGGTAGAGCGCTCGCCTTGAGCTGAAGAGCGCAGGGACAGCGCCCAAGCCCAGAGTTCAAGCCCCACAACCGACAAAAAAAAAAAAAAAAAGAATAGATAAGTTGTTTTTTGTTTTTGTTTTGTCGGTCGTAGGGCTTGAACTCAGGGCCTGGGCTCTATTCCTGAGCTCTTTTGCTCAAGTCAAGCACTCTACTACTCTGGTCACAGCACCACTTCTAGGTTTCTGGTGGTTAATTGGAGGTAAGAGTCTCACGGACTTTCCTGCCCTGGCTGGAAAGCAGGGCATCTGTGTGAGTCACTAAAACACTAAGATCTCAGCCACTTGAGTAGCTAGGATTACAGGCATGAGCCAGGCATGTGCCTGGCTAAGAATAGGTAAGTTTTATTTAAAATATTTCACTAAAAAAGATGAGAATTAAGTAATATATTCCAGAAAGAGTTCTATACTACATGGTTATTGAAGTAATGTTTCAGTTTTCCAGAAAGTTCTTCATGTTCTCTGATTTACTAACTGGATTCTCATTCTAATCCCCTCCCCACCACCCGCCCTCAATCTGGCTTACCACATATCACACTGGATGGTATCTTAGATAATATGAGGCCAAAATCAACCATAAAAAATCTGGGAAGAAAAAAGGTGAAAGTGAGAAAAGGCTCTCTAGTTGGTCCAGAAGATGCCACTCACCAAATATCAACTTTTTCAGAGACAGGTTCATTCCGTATCACCTCTGGTGCCATCCATGCAACTGTGCCAGCAAAGGACATCTTGGTACTTTTATCACTGAGTTCCTTAGATGTACCAAAATCTGAAATTTTTACTGCATCCGTGTGAGTCACTAAAACACTAAAAGAAAGAAAGGAAGAAAGAAAGAAAGAAAGAAAGAAAGAAAGAAAGAAAGAAAGAAAGAAAGAAAGAAAGAAAGAAAGAAAGAAAGAAAGAGAGAGAGAGAGAAAGAAAGAAAGAGAGAAAGAAAGAAAGAAAGAGAAAAAAAGAAAGAGAGAAAGAAAGAAAGAGAAAGAAAGAGAGAGAGAAAGAAAGAGAGAAAGAAAGAAAGAAAGAGAAAGAAAGAGAAAGAAAGAGAGAAAGAAAGAAAGAACACATCCAACCATTAGTAGTCATCATCACCATGATTCTGAAGGCAAGTAAAGATTTTGTTTACTACCTTCTACTCTACAAAATTCAGCTAGCAAGTTCCAATGTCCTGGGGCCTTTGCTCTGCACTAGACACTGCAACATGGACACTGGTACGCAGCTGAGCAAGAGACCTTTTAACACCCTATCTCCATCCTTTGCTGTGAATTTTACCAAGTTACTTTAACTCATCAAAGCTCATCATCTCCTCTCTCTAATAAAATGGAGACAATTCAGGCTATAATGTTTTATATGCAATTCAAAAAATGCAACAAAGCTCTCAAAATGGTTTACACATAATTTTTCACATGCTTAGAGCAAAATAACTTCAGCCTATTGATTGTGTGTATATTTCATAGAGTTTTGCTAAAGGTATGTTCATATGGATGATTACAGGATTTAGCTCCAGATTTACAAGCTGGATGTCAAAGGAAATGCAATGGGTAACCTTTCTGAAACCATCTCATTCCCAAGTTTTGGATAAGGGATTGTGGACCTATAATGACCTAATAAAATTTCAGTCTCAGCCAATCTATTAAAAAATTTTTTTTTTGTCAGTCATGGGGCCTGAACTCTGGGCCTAGGTGCTGTCCCTCAACTCTTCAGCTCAAGGCTAGTGCTCTACCACTTGAGCCACAGCACCACTTCCGGCTTTTTCTGCTTATGTGGGGCTGAGGAATGGAACTCAAGGCCTCATGCATGCAAGGCAAGCACTCTACTACTGAGCCACCTTCCCAGCCCAAGAAAAACATTTTTAAAAACATTATTTAAACCACAGCCAACTAAAATCATGAACAGGACCATGACACTAATGATTCATTACACTAAAGGGCGAATGTGATGTCTGGGATTTCATCAGTGCTGATTAGGGTGAAAAGGAGTAAATCGAAGCTTAAGTAAGTTCCTTACAAGTCATGTTTAACTTTGTATAGGAATTAATCTGAAATGCCTATTAGAACCAACTTTTTCTTATTCCTTAAAAATAAATACATATCCAAAGTACTGACAGCCCTACATACTACTAGTCGGGTTCAAAAGATCTGGGTTTTAAGTTCTAGCTTCCTGTTTTTCATATCTACAAGAATAATGATATTGTCACATCTATTCTAATTTTGCCAGAATCCAAGAAGATGTGATAAATGGATATAAAAATGTTGCAGTGGGTGCTGGTGGCTCACACCTGTAATCCTGGCTACTCAGGATGCTAACATCTAGGATTGAGGTTTGAAGCCAGCCTGGGCAGAAAAGTCCATGAAACTCTTATCTCCAATAAATTACTCAGAAAAGGCCAGAAGTGGTGGCGTGGCTCAAGTGGTACAGCATTAGCCTTGAGTACAAAGAGGCTCAGGGACAGCACCCATGCCCTGGGTTCAAGCCCCAGGATCGGCAAAAAGAAAAAAAAAAGATATTGTTAACTATGAAACTGTTAGGCAAATTCTTAAAAATTTACTATACCAAACCAACCAGTAATAGAAAACAATAAAAATAATGCTTAAAAAATAGGGGGTACAGGGCTGGGAAGGTGGCTCAGTGGTAGAGTGCTTGCCTTGCATGCATGAGACCCTGAGTTCGATTCCTCAGCACCACATAAATAGAAAAAGCCAGAAGTGGCGCTGTGGCTCAAGTGGTAGAGCACTAGCTTTGAGCTGAAGAGCCGAGGGACAGTGCCCCAGGCCCAGAGTTCAAGCCCCATGACCGACAAAAAAGGGGGGGGGGTACATGTAAACAATCTATTTAATCAATTCCTTTCTTTCCTTCATGAAATTTTGGGAATTGAATAAATACATCTCAGAGTGGTTAGTTATCAGTTACCAATTAATTATTTTGAAAGAGGAGACTACTAGAACAGCTCTGTTGTTGTTATAACTATTTTCCTTAGAGCTACTGTGAACTGAGTAACTGTTGATTTCTTCCTGCTTGGACTCACAGAACTTCAAAACCACATCTTTAGTCCATGTCAAACAACTGTACAGAATCTTATGGCATACATTCTGTGAACAAGTTTTAGTCCTCATATTTTCACTTTCTTTTACCCTGTTTCTTATTCACCCATTTTTATCCTGTTGTATACATTTTTAAAACTCATCAAAAATACATTTTGAACACAGTAGGCAATCTTCAAGTAGGAAGTCTGGCATGAATTATCTGAACTGATAAAAGAAAATACTTTACAGGATAATGAATTTTACTTCACAGTCAAAACTTTATAAGCAACAAAACAGGAAAACTAGTGCATGTATCCGAATGTACCTGCCATGAAAATAACAGTAATGAAAGGGGATGAAAATAAAAATTACTCATTCTGTTGACACAGACTGAACTTGAATTTAACTCCAACTAAGGTAGATAAAAATTCCCTATTTTAAGAAACAAAGCAAAAAAAGGTAGAAAAAAAAAGTTGACTCCAACACTCACTTAGGTGATTTGAGATCACGATGAATAATTTTATGCAGGTGTAAGTAATTCATTCCACTCGCAATCCCTGTGGACCAGTCTACGAGCAGTCGTGGGGTGATCTTCCTGCCAGCTCGCAAGACTTCGTAAAGCTGTCCGTGGGCACAGTACTCCATGATGATACAATAACATGGGGCCTGGGTACACACCCCCCTTCCAAGAAAATATAAACATGTACAAATACATACAGATACATAATATTTATTAAGAGTGTTTAGGGGTTGGGACTGTAGCTTAGGGCTAGAGTGCTTGCCTAGCATTTATGAAACCCTGGGTTCGATTCCTCAGTATCACATAAACAGTAAAGGCCAGAAGTGCTCCTGTAGCTCAAGTGGTAGAGTGCTAGCTTTGAGCAAAAGAAGCTCAGGGACAGTGCCCAGGCCATGAGTTCAAGCCAAAAAAAAAGAAAGAAAAGAAGAGAAGGAGGAGGAGGAGGAGGAGGAGGAGGAGGAGGAGGAGGAGGAGGTAGAGGAGGTGGAGGAGGAAGAAGAAAGGGGAAAAAAAAGAATATTTAGGTAGGGCCAATTCTTATCCAAATGATCTTGTTTGTTTTTTTTGCTGGGCGTGAGACTTGAACTCTTGGCCCTGGCACTGTCCCTAAGCTCCTTTTACTCAAGGCTAGCCTTCTGCCACTTGAACCACAGCTCCACTTCCAGCACTTTCTGTGATTAGTTGGATATAAGAGTCTCACAGCCTTTCCTGCCTGGGCTGGCTTTGAACCATGATCTTCAGAGCTCAGCCTCCTGAGTAGCTCTGATTACAGGTGTGAACCACTGATGCCCAGCCCCAAATGATTTAAAAACTTCATATAGAAAATAGTTCTTGAGTCTTAAGTTAGCTTTAAGATCTATAGATTTCTCTGTTTTGCATATAGACAATTTTTGTTTTGTGCTTTTCAGTCCAGATATCCACATGTTGTGCTGTGCCTGATGGTTTTATGTAGGACCATGGAGTCTTGGGACTGAGTATCTATTTTTTATAAGCTGGAGTAGTTTTATTGAGTAGTTTTAAAATGTTAAGAATAATTTAATTTTTTTCAATTTAAACAAATAGAAAGTTTTATATATAGTTTATAGAAAATTCAAACAAAATACTGCTATTTTACTTATTTGTTGAATTGCTTTTTGGTATGGGACTGGGACTCAAACATGGTACTAATATTTTGACTCATTGGTTAGTGCTCTAACAGTTGAGACATGCCTCCAACCCCATTTATTGAATTTAAAATTGCTCAAAGCTGATGACCATTAAACAATAAAAAACCATCTTTCTGTCTTATATAATCTTTGAAAAATGTTTTTGTTTAGAATAAAAGTAGGGTTATATTTTGTACATCTATGTAGTCTATATTTCCATCTATTTCTGCACCTTCTGTAAAGCCTTCCCTAATTATGTCAATCCCTGATTTATTCAGTAGCCATGATTTTGTGTGTGTGTGTGTGTATGTGCCCAAAGGGCTTGAACTCAGGCGGGGCCTGGGCACTGTCCCTGAGCTTTTGAGCTCAAAGCCAATGCTCTATCACTTGAGCCATAGCTTCACTTCTGTTTTTGCTTTTTTTGTGGGATTTCTTTTGGTGCTTAATTGGAGATATGTCTCTTGGACTTTCCTGCCCAGGCTGGCTTTGAACAGTGGTACTCAACTCTCAGACTCCTGAGTAGCTACAATTACAGGGGTGAGACGCTGGTGTCTGGCTAGCTATGAATTTTTGTTGTTGTTGTTGTCGGTCATGGGGTTTGAACTCTAGGCCTGGGCACTGTCCCTGAGCTCTTCAGCTCATGGCTAGTGCTCTACCACTTGAGCCACTGCACCACTTCCAACCTTTTCTGTTTATGTGGTGCTTGGGAATTGAACCCAGGGCCTCAGGCATGCAAGGAAAGCACTCTCCCGCTGAGCCACCTTGAATTTTTTTTATATGCACATTTTCTCTGCCCATATAGATTACAGACTCCTTGCAGAGAAAGATCTTTGAGTTTTTTTTTTCATTTTCTTCCATGAGGCTTTGGGGTTCATGTCAAATCTTTGACCAATTTAAACTTGACCTCAACTTTCATAGCTGGAAAAGATCTTCACAATAAAATATGCAGAGCATGGAGTAAGAGGAATGACACTAATATGAAAGAACATCTCACAACTTTCAAGCATGTTTATGTGTTTATTTGTCTTTGTCCCCAAACCACTGTGTAATGAGTAATTTTGATTGCAAATTTGATTGGATTAAGAAATGCCTTAGAAGATTAGCAGAGTACATTTCAGGGCATGTCTGTGGTGGCATTTCCAAGGACAATGAGATAATGAGGACTGGCCTCATGAATGGATAAATCCTTTGACGCCTTCAAAACATGTTATTCTTACTGGGAGATGGTAAAGAGTGAGAGGTGAGTCTAGCTGGGAGAAATGGGTTGTTGGGAAAGTGTCCTTTGGGGCTATGTTTGGCCTTGGCTTCTTCCCTTATTTTTCTCTATTTCCTGGCTATCATGATGTGAACTGTTTTATTCTACTATGCTCTCCTGTCCACCGAAGGACTGATGTCTCTGTACCTGGAAGCCAAAATACATAATGCCTCCTTAAGATGTTTCTGTAAGATATTCAATCACAGCCCTGTGAACACTGACTAATGAAGGTTGTAAAATAGATTATGACCTCTTCTACTTTTATAGGGAAGGCTCAGCGTACAAATGACTTGTCTTAATCAGAACTAGTTCATACTACTAAGTGACAGAATTACATTGGAACCCAGTCTAACTCAAAACCTAGGCTCCTTCTTCTTACTATACTACATTGCCTCCTTCTTACCTTTTAAACTTCTATATAGACAAGAATATCCACAATTCCTATTACACATATATACCATTAGGTATTACATTGTGAATAAGCATAGCATTTTCACAGTTTTGTACTCAATATGAGAAGAAAAATGATTACATGTAAATTTGCATGTTCTATCTCTTATGCTTCTCCCTTTGAAACTTTCTAGAGATTAGAATACTATTTACAAGACACCTAATTAAAGTCATCAGCCAGCTACCAATTCATGTCCTATCTCTTAAGCAGCTCTAAGTGGTGAAAGAATTTGGATGCCATGGCTTGGGGTAATGATCATGTGAAGGTCTTGTAACAATAACAGGTTATGAATTAGTCTTCATTTTCCTGCCACGATGGACCTGTCAAATACCACCAAGCCCTTTCTACATTCTCCTACATTCATTTTCTCGGCTACCTGAATTTCTTACCTTGATCTTTAATTTTTTTAAAAAAATTCTTTTTTGAGTGTGCCAGTACTGGGGCTTGAACTCAGGGCCTGGGTGCTATCCCTTAGCTTTTTCCCTCAAGCCTGGAGCACTACCACTTGAGCCACACTTCCACTTTCAGCTTTTTCCTAGTTAACTAGAGATAAGAGTATTAAGGACATTCCTGCCCTGGCTTACTTTGAACAAAGATACTCAGATCTCAACCTCCTGAGCAGCTAGGATTACTTGAGCCATCAGCACCTGGGAGAAACAAAATCCAGGTTCTGTTATTTGACTTTCAGGAAAGCTCAGTAAAGCACAATTATACACCAACTATAAATAGGTACTTCAATTAGAATTGCAGAAATCACGAGTAGATCAGGAATAATGTCATGTGCTTAAAATATTAAGATAAATATGGTTTGCAGGTACGCAGTAACTTACTCAACCAGGTTTTAATTTGTCATACAAACAGAGCCAAAAGGTTCTAATAGTGATAATGTTATGAACTTTTCATTTTTCTTGACTGTAGAAGGAGAAGCAATCATTCCATCAGCTCTGCACTCTGACAAGGCTTTTCAGCCGCTATAAATACCAGCTCTCTAATCACTTCTAATTGCTATCCTTTCTTCCTTTGGCATTGAATTTTATTAGGAACCATCAGGATGGGGTTTCTTAAAAGACTACTTTCAAAAATGGAAAGAAAAGAGTCTATAGTATTCTTATCTCGCATTTCCCTTTCTGACACGATTCTTACTAAATGCCAAAGAAGCTGTGAGCACAGAAGTCAGTATCCATAGAGATGTTTTAAAATTCAATCATGTCCTCATATCTTCCAGACGGTCTTGAATGTGATTCATTGGCCAAACAACACATGGCACAGATGGCTGCAAAGATAACACTGCACAATGACCCAAGAGCGTGGTGTAAGGGGCAGGGACACAGTCTCACTATTGTTTTCCATGTAGAGGTAAAGACTGTTCAAGTACAGTCAGTCTAAAGAGCCGGGCACCAGCACAGCCATACTGGCCCAACGATGCCTAGCAGGTTGGGAGGGTGAAGAGGGTGAGGTGGGAAAAAGACTGGAGGACGGAGGAAGAAGCAAAAGAAAGAAAGGAAAAAGAAAGCTTTTCACTTCCTCACCCTCTTAGAATATATTTCGACTTTCTATTACCCACAGTATCTTTCTGGAAAGCTCTCCTGTCTGGGACACACAGCTGAATCAATTTGGGAGGTCAAAAAGCCATGCTAATCTATACAAAGTTCTTTGAACTGTCTACTAATCTGAGTTCAAAAGCTCTTGGTCCATTCTTCCATTGAGGACGACATAGCATACAGGAAGTATGATCATCTCAGTGAAGTAAAATGAACAAAAGATGATTTCTTGTCAGGGGCCAATGGCTCATGCCTGTAATCCTAAACTACTCAGGAGGCTGAGCTCTGAAGACCAAAATTTGAAGCCAGCCCAGGCAGTTAAGTCTGTGGGACTCTGATCCAATTAACCAGCAAAAAAAGCTGGAAGTACAGGCTCAAATGGTAGCACACCAGCCTTGAGCAAAAAAGCTAAGGGACAGTACCTATGCCTTGAGTTTAAGCTCCAGTACAGGCACCAAAAAAAAAAGTGGTCTTTCCATTAGTCTGTCTACTTAATCATCCTGTTAACTTCTGAAATTTATCATCTTTGAAAAATTATAATTGGTTTGTATAGGATTTTATTTTAGTCACTCATCCTCTGAGCCCTACCAGGACAACCAATGGATAGTATTATAATCACAGTTAAAGCTCTCTCCCATATTCTCTTTCCTGTGGTCTAGTATACAAGCTGATACTTTTCTTCTTTTCCTCTTAACCCTGATCACAGTAGGTCTTGTAAGGGATTGAAATTTTAATATGCATCTAATAAATCCATTTGATAAAATGGATTTAAATTCATTTGATAAAATTTCTATCTTTACTCTGGGGAAAAGATTTCAACGAAGACAATCACATGACATTTTTAGTTTTACAGTTAACAGTTTTTTCAGAGAGAGGTTCCTTCTTGGGGCTGATGGAGAAAGTTGCTCCTAAGTTTAGGAAAGGGGAAGTTGAGGGTTATTTAATTTTAATTATGGCTTCATTGGCTATACTATTATACAGGAATGAAAAATAGCACCAAATATACCAAAGGCTATCATTTCCAAGCTTGCATCCCACTAGAGCCATGATTCCTATAAAGACAATTAGCATTCATCTGTTGGACTTTTGGCCTATGGAAACACTTAAAAGGCTTGTGAAGGAGGAAACTCAAGGAGATGTTCGGCAAAAGAGATTACACCAGTTAGAACTCAATGTTTCCAGCTGGGAAGGTGGCTCAGTGGTAGAGCGCTTGCCTTGCATGCATGAGGCCCTGGGTTCGATTCCTCAGCACCACATACGCAAAAAGAAAAAAGCTGGAAGTGGTGCTGTGGCTCAAGTGGTAGAGCACTAGCCTTGAACTGAAGAGTTGAAGGACAGCGCCCAGGCCCAGAGTTTAGGCCCTACAACCAGACTCAAAACAAACAAACAAAGAGAATTCAGTGTTTCCAGATTTGGTAACTTCCACAAATTTGTGTTTGATTTTCCTTTTTTTGGGCCAGGGCATTGTCCTTGAGCTTCTTTTGTTCAGGTAGCACTCTACTAGTTGAGCCACATTGCTACTTCCAGGTTTTTCATGTTTGTTTGTTTTTTTCTGTTTTATGTGGTACTGAGGAATTGAACCCAGGGCTTCATGCATGCTAGGCAAGCCCTCTACCACTAAGCCACATTCCCAGCCTATTTCTCCTTTTTTTTTTTTTTTTTTTAAAATTAGGGATCTTTACTACATGTTCATACATTCTTTAAAGCAACCACTTTGTGAAAAGAATATAACAGATACTGATACTATCAAAAATTCCACTGTCATTGAATTTAGAAAGCTTTGTCATTACTAGAAAAATGATATAGCAAAACCTGACGCTATAGTCTAAAGAAATCTATTCTAAGTTAATATTTAAGAAAGAATGCTAATGAAAACTAATAACTGTAAACCAGGGACTAGTCATTCTCTGATTACTTTGGATGTTAGCTTTTGTCATTTTTGTTCTTGTTTTCATTCAATCCTTTCCTGTACCAGGGCTTAGTTTGCTGGGTTTCTTGTTCACAGTTGGTATTTTACCATTTGAGACACATCTCCAGTCCAGCATTTTGTCAGATAATCAGAGATGGAGTATCGAGGCTGGCTTCAAACTAAGATTCTCTGGGTCTCAGCCTCCTGAGTATCTACGATTACAGGCATGAGCTGCTAGCACCTGGCTACCTTAAAAAAAAAATAAAAACAAAAACCACCTGAATTTTAGGATGTTCACATGATTCTAAGTGACCTGTGATGGTCCACTGACAAACGAAGGTTATACAGAAGACCTGACTGCTTGGCAGGGATCCACTTCCTTCCTCCCTGCCTCATACACATGCTTTCAGTTCATCACACACTCTAGCAAATCTAGAAGATGCTTAAGACTCAAGCACAGTACTAAGTTTATCAAGTGTCTGGGAAATACCTTTCAAACCAAGAAATTGTGTGTATATTATTGAGAGAAAGAAAACGCCTCCATTTCCTTTTCTTTTTTCTTTATTGTTTTTTAAAGCCTTGACCTACTTGAATGCGATGATGTTAGGGTGCTTCAACTTCCTCAGATGCTTGATATCCGTCTCATTCTGCTCTCTCACTTTCTTGATGGCCACCTCTTCAGCTCGGAATTTGCCCAGGAACACAGCTCCCTGGGCTCCACTACCCAGCCACTGCAGCTCTGAGATCTCCTCAAATGGCACTTCCCACGTATCTAGGCACACAAGCAAGAAACAAACTTGACATCTTGGAATTTCTCTCAGGGACCATTGTATGGACTGTTCTGAAGGTACCAACTTCATTCAGAATGACCCTACTGTCCAATTCCACCCCAAAATACAACTTTTCTAGGGGTCCTGGTAGGGGAGAACAGATACTGTTGTATATTAGTTTGAATCAACTTTTAATGCTGAATTGAAGCAGTTCAGAGATCTCTAGTATAATCTCCCTTAAACAAAACATATCCTGATACTCCTACAATGCCTCCACCTTACCATAAGCTTGCATATTTTTGGTTTTCTTTTTGTGCTGCTACTGGGCTTGAACTTAGGGCCTTGTGCTCTTGGCTTGGATTGTACCACTCAAAGCTGGTACTCTACCCTCAGCCATATCTTCGCTTCTGCCTTTTTTTTTTTTAAAAAAAAAAACAGGTTAATTGGAGATAACAATCTCACGGATTTATCTGCCCCAGCTGGATTCTAACTAGGACCCTCAGATCCCAGCCTCCTCAGTAGCTAGCATTACAAGCATGAGCCACTGACGCTCATCATCAAGCTTGCACGTCTGGCCCACTTTCCTAATTTCTCTATACACGTTAGGTGTTGTTTTATCCTATGAATTTCTACTTCAGATGCTCAATGAATCCTCACTGAGTAAAATCCTAAGTTTCAAGTTTCCTAAGAACCTAATTTCGCATAATACTCACGTTAGCATTTACCTTTTATAGAGTAGGTCGATACCAGAAACTAGCAGAATGCTTTACACGGACCATACATTTAATCTTTACAACAATGCTACAAGCCTGGCCTTCTAGTTCTCTAAAGATGAGAAAACAAAGGCATATGCTGGTTAAAGAAATTATCCATAGTTTTGTGTCTGGTAATGGCAGAACTGGGCCAAGGAATCCTAGAATCGACCAATCCAGGGACAGTGTTTTCTCCACTCTACTATACTGCCTTCTGTGAAGCAGTTGAGAAGGTCCTGGCCAAACACATAGTTGTAATAGTTGAGGTTTCTCTTTTCCTTATTATTTAGATTTTTTAAAAAAAATATTTATTACATTTTTTTATTGTCAAGGAGATGTACAGAGGTTTTTTTTTTTGTGCTGTTTATTTATTTATTTATCTATGTATGTCAGTTGCAGGGCCTGAACTCTGGGCCTGGGTGCTGTCCCTCAGCTCTTGAGTTCAAAGCTACAGCTCTACCATTTGAGCCACAGCGCCACTTCCAGCTTTTTCTGCTTATGTGGTGCTGAGAAATCGAACCCAGGGCCTTGTGTATGCAAGGCAAACACTCTACCACTGAGCCACCTTCCCAGCCCTTGCACAAAAATTTCACAGGGTCGATTTTAAGTAGTGAATTGTTGGTGAATTCATATTGCTGTTTAAAATCCTTTCCTATATTAATTTTTTGATATAAACACTTTGTATTTACATAATAAATAGCATGCTATTTTAAATAAAGCGTCTCAGAAAATTAATCCAATGTGCACTTTTAATCTCATGGAATTTAAAAAAGAATGCAACCTATCAATCCTCTTTGGTCTTCTTTCTTCCTTCCTTTCTCATGATTTCACTGGGCTTCTTTCCATCACAGCTGGGGCTCTACCACTTGAGCCATGCCTCCAGTCCAGCTTTTTTTCTGGTTAATTGGAAATAAGAGTTTCTCTGACTATTCTGCCCAGGCTGGCTTCAGACAATGATTCTAGATCTCATCTTTCCTGAGCAGCTAGGATTATAGATGTGAGCCACTTGTGCTTAGTAATAGTTTTCATTATAAATGTTAGTAGTTGTTTACAGATTTTCCTAATTGTAGCTGGTGACAATGATAGATATGAATGTATTGGTTTCACCACAATTCTGTCAGCAGTATTAGTAATTATCTTTTGGTTCTAATTTAATTATATGTATAATAGTGTTTTATAATTTTGAACTAGATTAGTTGTCAGTGATACAGTGTTTTCACATTTCACATTTGTGCTTTGTATGAATTATCAATACTTCTTTGTCCAGTCATCTATTTGTGTCTGTAGTTTCCAAAAATTTCAAGAATATCTCTTTGATGCAAATGAGAACATTTTATTTTATTTTATTTGTTGGTCATGGGGCTTGAACTCTGGTCTTGGGCGCTATCCCTCAGCTCTTCAGCTCAAGGCGAGCACTCTACTGCTTGAGCCACAGCGCCACTTCCAGTTTTCTAGTGGTTTATTGGAGATAAGAGTCTCATGGACTTTTCCTGCCTGGGCTGGCTTTGAACCGTGATCCTCAGATCTCAGCTTCCTGAGTAGCTAGGATTACAGGAGTGAGCCAATGGCACCTGGCTAACATTTTATTTCTTTTCTTCTAATATTATTGTTTGGTGCTGGTGCTAGATCTTGATCTCAAGGCCTGGGTGCTGTCTCTTAGCATTTTTGCTAATCTAGAACTCTACCACTCTACAGCTTCACTTCTGGCATTCTGGTGGTTAATTAGATATAAGTGTCTCATGGACTTTTCCGCCTAGGCTGGCTTTGAGCAGTGATCCTCAGATCTCAGCCTCCTGAGTAACTAGAATTATAGGCATGAGCTACCAGTGCCTGGCTTAATTTTATTATTTCTATACAAAATGTTTCATATAATTTATATATTTATATTATATACAATTCTAAATATATTTATATAAATTATATATTTATAATTTCCTTTGTAATTTTCAGTATCTAGTCTTCTAAAAGCTCTATCTTCTAAAATTTACTATCTTCTAAAATTTATTTGTTAATATTTTTCTTTTTAAACTTTTTTGGGGGGAGGGGGTCAGTCATGGGGCTTGAACTCTGGGCCTGGGCACTGTCTTGCAGCTCTTCAGCTCAAGGTGAGCACTTCTGGTTTTCTGGTGATTATTTGGAGATAAGAGTCTCATGGACTTTCCTGCCTGGGCTGGCGTTGAACTGTGTTTCTCATATCTCAGCCTTCTGAGTAGCTAGGATTACAGGTGTGAGTCACCGGCACCCAGCTTTAAACCTTTTAAAAAGTATTCTTTTTTATTGTAAAAGTGATGTATAGAGGAGTTATATCCATGTGGAATTTATTTTAATATATAGTATGAAAAAGATGCAAGTTAATTATTTATATTGCTGGTTAGTGATTACAAAATAATCCTTTTTTACATTGACTAATGATGGTTACATTATAATTATTATATTATTAGAAATAATGTCCATTATTAATGCTTAGTATTTTTATAAAATGAGAAAGAAGTCATTATTAAATGTAGATGATAAATACACTTGACATACAAATACTAGCTAATCACAATATTATAATAAAGAATAAAATTCTCCTCTACTAATGGTAGCTCATGCCTGTGTTATGTTCAGGCAAGTCTTAATTATCCATGGCAAAACAAAAGCATCGAATTACCCTGGCAATTCAAGAATAGAGTAGAAAACAAAGAAATACTTCCGCTATGTTTCTACCAATCTTTTCACTTGAACTAATAATTATCAGAAGTAAAATTGTCTGATGTGAATTTACTCCTCATGTCTCATGGCCTTCTGTCAGTGTCTAGGAGCAGGCTAAGGAGTAACAAAGAGGCAGAAAAAAACCATAATAGGGACATGAATTGGGCGCCTGGTGACTGTTGAGTGAGACGAGAGACAGCTAACCTAATAAGTAATAGAGAACTGGTTGTACTCTCTAGGGTTAGTCCCAGACTTCTTGCTGCTTTCAACCTTTTCGTTAGATTAGTACTCTTCCTAAGCTGTTAATTTTTTATTTGATTAATCACATGACCACTAACTTTGTGTGTGTGTGTGTGTGTGTGTGTGTGTGTGTGTGTGTGCGCATGTGCATGCTGGTACTGGGGCTTGAGTTCAGGGCCTAGGCACTGTCCCTTAATTGTGGTCACTATGTCTTAATTCCAATATCCACCATGATCCACAGGACAGAGAACACCCTCATGCTTGCCTACTTCCTTTCTCTTTTTCTCTTTCTTTCTCTTTCTCCTTCCTTCCTCCCTCCCTCCCTCCTTTCCTTCCTTCCTTCCTCCCTTCCTTCCATCCTTCCTTCCTTCCTTTTTTCCTTCCTTTCTTCCTTTCTTCCTTTTTCTCTTTATTTTTGCACCAGTCCTGGGACTTGAACTCTGGGCCTGGTCACTGTCCCTGCACTGTTATACCCAACGCTAGCACTCTAGCACTCTATCACTTGAGTCACAGCTCTGTTTCCAGCTTTTAATTACTTTTCTTTTGGTGGTCAATTGGAGATAAAAGTCTCGCAGACTCTTCTACCTAGTGTTGGCTTTGAACTGAGATTCTCATATCTCAGCCTCCTGGTTGCTAGGATTACAGATGTGAGCCACTGGCCCCTGGCCTGCCTACTTTAAGGAAAATATTTTCTCTTTTTTGTTCAGACATGGCTGTGACAATGTCTGCTTTTTTTTTTTTTTGGTTGGTTGTGGGGCCTGAACTCTGGGCCTGGGCGCTGTCTCTCAGCTCTCAGCTCAAGACTAGCGCCCTACCACTTGAGCCACAGTGCCATTTCTGGCTTTTTTCTGTTTATGTGGAGCTGAGGAATTGAACCCAGGGCCTCATGCATGCCAGGCAAGCATTCTACCACTCAGCCCACCTCCCAGCCTCACAATGTCTGCTTTGAGACTGCAAACTATTTGGCTGTAGAAGATTTCATTACTACCTTACTTGGCCTTCACTACTGATATATTAAAAGGGAGAGGAGGACATCATTGATTATTTTTAAAGCCTAGTAAGAGTTCTGCATAAGTACCAAATATAGGGGCACATCTGTTACATGTGTTATCCTTTGGTCGATTGTGATGCAGGATTAAAGATAAGCTCTTTGATCCCAGAACAAACAAGGAAATACTACATTTGGTTTCTGGCTGGCAAATCTCTGTGTAGGCGGGCAATAGCACCAACCCTCAGTGGGATGTCCTGCAGTCGGCTAGAGAGCTAAGCGCCTGCTTTACCCTCGTAAGAATCTTAAGCTGATCAGTTCTGTGACTTAATTATTCCTGAAATAAGCCTTTCTGAAAGTTACATGGAAGACAAATTAAATGCAAATTGGTAGAACAATAAAAAATTTGTTTCTTTTAACAGACTTCTAAGTAGGGGTGGCCAGAGAATCTGAAACTTAGTTATACTCTCATTTCGGTTCATATTTTTCTTTCTTTTTTAAAAAATTATTGTAAAGATGCTGTACAGAGGGGTTACAGTTCCATGAGTAAGGTAATGAGTGCATTTCTTGTAGAGTATTGTTTCCCCCTCCTTTGTTGTCCTCCCACTATCCCTTCCCTCCCCCTCATATTTTTTTCTTTCTAAAATTTCCTATTGAGTGAATTAAAACAGAAAATCACTTAGATTAGAATATAAAGATATATAAAAAGCCTTAAAGCTGGATGGTGATGGCTCATGCCTGTAATCCCACCTAGGAGGCTGAGATCTGGAGAATCATAGTTCAAAAGCAGAGCAGAAAAGTCTCTGAGCTTCCATATCAATAGCATGGAGATGTGGCTCAAATGGCAGAATGCCAGCTGAGCACAGTTGAGGCCCTCAGTTCAAATCCTGGTACTGCCAAATGTAAAACAAAACAAAACTTGGAAAACCCTTAAAAACAACAAATCATTTCAAGCCAATGACTGCAATGTGGCTAATCATCACTAAAAATACAACAAACTAAATGTTGAACATTAGGAGAGTGCTTAACTAAATGTCAGCACATTTAGATAATTTAATATTATATGGCTTTTGGGGCTGGGAAGGTGGCTCAGTGGTAGAGCGCTTGCCTTGCATGCATGAGGCCCTGGGTTCGATTCCTCAGCACCACATAAGCAGAAAAGAAAAGCCGGAAGTGGGGCTGTGGCTCAAGTGGTAGAGCGCTAGCCTTGAGCTGAAGAGCTGAGGGACAGAGCTCAGGCCCAGAGTTCAGGCCCCACGACCGGACCCCAAAAAAAAAAATTATATGGCTTTTAAAAATATTCCCTAAAATGAGTGCTCATGTCTATAGTCCCAGATACTTAGGAGGCTGAGATCTGAGAATTGAGGTTCAAAGCCAATCTGGACAGGAAAGTCCATGAGACTATAGTCTCCAGTTAAACACTTAAAAAGCCAAAAGTGGAGCTGTGGTTCAAATGGAACAGTGCTGGCCTTGAGCAAAAAAGCTCAGGGACAGTGCCCAGGACTTGAGTTCAAGCCCGAGGACCAGCACAAAGGAAAATTGTTTTTTTTTTTTTTCAAATAACCTTTAAGAATTATGCTTCTGGTGAGTATAGTGAAAATGTGAAGTCCCAGCTCTTAGAAGGTTGAGGCAAAAGTAGCAAGGGGGCCAATCTAGGCTACATACATAATGAGAACTTGTTTCTATTTGAAATGGAAAATGTACAATTATGTAGTGAAACAATGTTACCCTTTTTCCTTCAGTGTTGAAGATCAAACCAAGGGTCTTATACACGCTAGGCAAGTCTCTACTCTGAGCCACAGCCCCAGTCCAAGATAATATATTCTTTAAACATTAATAGTGGTTCTTTTGAAAAGACTAAAGGTCTTAGATCATTTTAACCTTTGGGGGAAATGCATCTGTATTTTTCCTATTGCAAACATATATTATTCCTGTTATCAGAAAAAGGTGGTTTTAAGGGAATATAGCTAAGTTATACAGACTACCAGGTCCCCATAGTGTCTTTGTTTTGCATGCATAACACTTAGATTGGAATATATAAATATACATGTCATACAATGTTGGGAGTTAAAATTTTACTATTGACAAAGCTAAGGTGTGTGTGAGAGAGACAGAGAGAGAGACAGAGAGAGAGAGAGAAAGAGAGAGAGAGAGAGAGGCGGGAGATGCAGCTCAAGGGGTAGAGCACTTGTCTGGCAAGCACCAGGCATTAGGGTTAATCCTTAGTATGGCCAAGAAAAAAAAGCTGTGGGACCTAGAAATTATATGCTTTTTAAGATTAGATATTTTGTTTTTTTTTCTTCAAAATGTGAGCTTTACTCTAAGACAAGAATTCTATTTACTATACTCTACAGCAGTACCATAACCTTCAGGGACATTAACATATGGCATGTGGCACGCCGGCTTATGTCTGATTTTGAATTAGTCCAATGCCTCTCCTCTCCTTTCTTCTCCCTTTTCCTTTTCCATTTCCTTTTCCAGATTTTCTTATTGTATGAGCCTCTTGAGTAGCTAGGATTATAGGCATGAGCCATCAGCACCTTGCGCGAGTGTGTGTGTATGTTTTTGTATTCTCATTCTTTTCCCTTTCTTCCCCTTTCCTCTTTTCTTTCTCTCTCTCTCCTTCCTTCCTTCCTTCCTTCCTTCCTGTCTTCTTTTGAGACTGAATCTTGCTGGCCTCAAACTCCTGAGCTTAAGTAATCCTCCTGCCTCAGCCCTGACCATCAGACTATTTGATTTTATCAGAAAAAATATATACCCACTATTTTCATATTTTCACACCGATATTAAAATATTTTCATCTTTCATACGATACACCCAAAACATACATGGAAATAGAAAAATTTTAAAAGGAGCTCTAGTGTTTTCTTCTTATGATCCCAGGTATGTATTCTACTTTGAATATCATTAGCGTGGATGATTACAAGAGATGGGCTTCCACCAACAAAGGCCCACCAGATGTGACCCTGCTCCATTCAGAAGTCCCTAGGAAACTGAAATGGAGAAGACATCTGACCCAGTTCTTTATTAATTCATCCACATGTCAAAAGTTATCTAGACGCTGGAGCTGGTAGCTAAGGGGTGATTATGCAAGGGCTCTTCCAGGTCTGCATATCTGGAACACTACAGCTTACCTTGCTGCTGGAGTTTGTAATCGGTGGAATATGCTTTCCCAATGATGTTCCACACAGGTCGCAAGCATCCAAAGAGTCCTTCGAGAAACCCCCCGCTGCCACTGCCCGACCTGCTGAACTGAATCTTGATGTCCTCAGTCCCATTTGTGTTCTCACCATCTACTGTGCTGTTGTTCCCCTGAGACACAGCCACCTCTGCTTCATCTTGTTCCCTCAGTTGAAGAACACTGTTCTCAAACTGGTCCCTGGAGTCCTCGCTGACGCTGGTCAACACTGTTGTGGTGATGGGGCTGCTTACACTCTCCACTAGCTCTGCGCGTACCACGCCTCTTTCCGGCTGGTCCTCGAGGAGCTTGGGTAAAGGGTGGTTCCCCATGGCTGCGAGTTCATCTTGTAGGCCAGTGACGGTCTGGCTTTCACTCACGGGTGAGCATGGAGACGGGGAGCAGCTCAGGTGCTCCTGAGGGCGGGCCATCGTGCCATGAGTGTGGCCCAGGTCCTGAGATGACACTCAGAGGATGAGTAGAGCAGATGTTTGATGTAAGAGAGGGCTCCAAAACCTGTGGGGAGGAGCAACAAGAGGACATAGACCACTGTTAACAGGTTTATTTCACAAGATGGAATACTGTGCAGGCATAAGAAAAAACTTATCATAAAAGAGTAAACTAATGTGACAAAATGTTCATGACATATGAATATATGGGTATATATATGGGTATATATACTATATATAATTAGCTATAAATTTTAATGTATTTTATTTTTAATTGGTTTTTTTTTTTTTTTGGTTCTGGTAATGGGACTTGAACTCAGAGCCTCACACTCTTGCTTGACTTTTTCGCTCAAGGCTGCTCTATCACTTGAGCCAAGCCTCTACTTACTTTATTTTAAAAGACAGACAAACATACATCTAATTAGAGACTGGAGGGATATATCTAAAGAACAGTTAATTTTAGGTGGTTAGATTTAAGAGAGATTTAGGTTGTGATCTTCAAAATTTCCCAAGGACTCTATGTTAATTTAACATTGATTTTTTTAGCCAAAAAATAACCTCACTTTCTACAAAGGAAATTTAGTTTACATACACATGCACATGAGCGCATGCACACACACATATACTTGTTATTATAAGTTGTAACACACCCTCCCCTTTGCTTTACTGTCTTATCTACTGGACATTACTTTATTTTCAAAGACATTCATTGAACCATGTAGATAAATGTCCTTCTTGTGTGTGTATTTCTGAGATATAAATATATATATATTTTTTTGGGGGGGGGTCCGGTCATGGGGCCTGAACTCTGGGCCCGGGCGCTGTCCCTCAGCTCTTCAGCTCAAGGCTAGCTCTCTACCACTTGAGCCACAGCGCCACTTCTGGCTTTTTTATTTTTTCTTATGTGGTGCTGAGGAATTGAACCCAGGGCCTCAGGCATGCAAGGCAAGCGTTTTACCACTGAGCCACCTTCCCAGCCCTGAGATATAAATATTTTTTTAAAAAATCATACTCTACTAAATTTAGGATAACACAACACTTTAAATTTGTTATTTGCTTCTGATTTGTATATCAGCAACATTTTCTTGGGGTTATCTAGCTTCTGAAAATACAGATTTAGTCTAGATTAGCCAAGTCATGCAAAATTAGTCTTAAATTTGTTCACAGTAGGATTAAGAACCTTAAACTGGAAAAATGAAAGAAAAGTAGACACATGGGATTACATCAAAAGGCTTCTGAACAGTGAAAAGAACAACCTATAGAATGGGAAGAAATACCTGCAGGAATTAAAATCAAGCTCCAAATCCAGACGACCAGTTTCCCTTACCTTTCTCAGAAGCCTATGGAATCTCATAAGGATGCTTAATAAGATTCAAATGCTGTTATTGGGCATTATTGGATTGGAGCATTTGATCCCTGTATACCAAAACCAGTGTAAAGAATTATAAATTCTGTGTTTCACAGAGGGAAACTGGCCTAGAGAGAGATATCTATCTACCAGGTTATAGAGCAAGAATGAAATACCAGGTTATTCTCCCTAATCCCTACTTTCTCCAGTACCATACAGTCTCTGGAAGACACAGTTCCCATGCTTTAGAAATCCACAAACTACTTAATAATCACATTGAGGGAATTACTGTCCTTCCCCCATGACAAATGAACCCTATCACATTACACAGAGCTTCCAGCGATGGGAAACTGTTCAGTGCAGGCTGAAGAGAGTTTGAACATGAGATGAACATTGGTTGTCAAGTATGTGACAGAGAGAAAGAACTAAAGGAGGAATAATAGCATTAGCAGTGGCAGGAAAGCAAGAACGATCAGGGCATGTGTGAGAGAGACGATGCCCAGGAACAATGAACTAGTGGCCAGTGTTGATGAGCACCACGTTGCACATGTAACTTCTGCCTCCCTACATGGCTCTAAATGTGGTGATAACAAGGCAAGGTGATTCTCTTTCAGTGATATCCCTTTAATTGGAAGAGGTTAAGGGGCCTTAAAATTCTAGGGCGTGGAGAAATCTAGGCATTTGGAAGCTACCTAGGAATATATGGTTGGAGGGCAGGGGTAGGGGAAAGCGGAAGTCCATTGGTACCGCAGTGGCTGTCTGCTGATGACTCCATGCCCCCTACCCCATCCTCCCTCTGCCTGTTCTTTCTGTGCTCGTCTCGAAGCTTTCCTGATCATTACTCCTCATGTGGCTTTCTTACTGGTCACCTGCCACAACCTTGAGTGATCTCATCTTTAACGTCTCAAATAAGGCTCTTCCAAGCCTGTTGACTTCATGGTACTTGGCCTGGCCAACTAGCTGAGCAGGAATTTCCAATCTTTGCCACCAGGCTTCCTGTTGTGCTATTATATAGCACAAACTGGCTCTCATCAACCTTCAGAATCATGAAAAAAATGTTGTGAATTTCAGCCAAACACCTCTTTGTACAGTTTATTCTGTGAAGCAAGTATTAGGACTTCATAGTCATGCCTGGCACATTTCTGTTTCATTCGCTTTTCTCTTGAGACTGGAATGAGCTCATACACAAAAAGTTTGAAAGCCTCTTTCTGACTGAGTAGAAAGTGGACTTGGCCACACGGGCACTAGGAATGAACTGAGTCCAGACCTCACATACAGCGTGACACTTAAGACACCAAGGAAATCAGGACCTTGAAGGGATAGAACTCATCAGGATGTTTTACAGAAGAACCAAATCTCAGAGCTTCAGCAAGCTGAATATGACAACTAACTAGAGAGATGAGTTCCTTCTTCATCCCAGCTCCTTCTACTAGTCTAATTTTTTTAAAGATAGAAATGAGTGCCCGTGTTATTGAGACTGAAGAAATCTGCAGCACCTGGAAGTTTCTTTGTCTCTATGGTCTCAAAAAATGAATCCACCAACATGGGGGAAAGTACAATGGCAATAACTTATTGAAATTTAAAAGATGAGCAGAGCTCCTGTGAAGACAGAAGGAGTCCTAAGGGAGGGCACTGTTTGGGGTGCCATTGTGCAGGGGTTATAAAAGTACCTCTAAGAGAGAGCTACAGGACTCCTAAACTCATTGGACAGCCCACAAGCCATATCAGTCTGAAGACCTAATGAGAGGCTCCACGCAGCCTACACAAACTCTCTAGGCATCTTTTAGCCCCTCTGACTTGGTTGCCAGTTCAGTCATCAGCCTGTTGTTTACATGCAAGTCTTACATAGGCCATGGACTATGATGTGATGTCCAGGAACTCACTTAAGGCCATAGTGAGCGATATAGAACCTCTACAGGAGAAGCCTTTGCCTTGATTGCCTAGCCGGGCTCTTTTTCTGTTCCCAATATGAAACACTGATAATTACAATAGTACTTCAGAGCACAAGTCTAGATGCACAGAAGCTTCCAAGGAAGCACAAGCACCCACCTGGAGGAGTGACACTGAACCCCTCAACAGAGCAGGCTACTTGGCTACTGGGATTCAGTTCTACACAGAGTGGGAAGAGGTGAGGTCACCCTCAAGGTGTGCATAAAGATGTGCAAATACATTTCTCATGCTCACCTAGAATGTCAGGCCCAATGTGAACCAACAAAAGGCAGAGAAATCAAGAGGCACAAGAACAAAGAAAGAAAATCATCACCATGACTATATTCAAATATGATCACATTTAAGAAGTGTGGAGGAGGCTCAGAATATCTTAATTTTATCCATGTTTGTATGCATCCCCACCCACTACCCTGCACAGTGAAGAGGCTGCGGAGTGGAAACTGAGGGAACGCAAGCTGCCCACTATTCTTCACTGTCTTTTGCCCTTTTAAAAAGCTCCTCTTTTATTCTCCAAATTTAGTTGAGGTACCCTCCTGGCAACCGAACATTGGTTCTTTCTTTTTCTTTTCTTTTATGGTGCCAGGATGGAACTCAGGGCCGGGGCTCTGAACTTTAGCTTTTTCAAGCTGAAGGCTGGCATTCTACCACTTGAGCCACAAATTCTCTTCTGGCTTTTTGCTGATAAAAGAGTCTCACAGCCAGGCGCCGGTGGCTCACGCCTGTAATCCTAGCTACTCAGGAGGCTGAGAGCTGAGGATCACAGTTCAAAGCCAGCCCGGGCAGGAAAATCTGTAAGACTCTTATCTCTGATAAACCACCAGAAAACCAGAAGTGCCACTGTGGCTCAAGCAGTAGAACACTCTCCTTGAGCTGAAGAGCTGAGGGACAGTGCCCAGGCCCAGAGTTCAAGCCAAAAAAAAAAAAAAAACGAGTCTCACACTTTCCTAACTGAGCTGGCTTTAAACCTTGATCCTCAGAGATCAGCCTCCTGAGTAGCAAGTATTACAGGCAGGAGTCACTAACACCTGGCCATTTGATTCTTTTAAAAAATGATGATTAGCATCAGTTAATTGGAAATGTCCACATATTTACACAATGTACCTTGATTAAATTTCTTCCCTACATCCTTTTCCCTCCTCCATCTCCTTCTAAACCAATCATAAGCTTCATTGTTCCATTTTCACACATGTACATGAAGTATTTTGACCATATTCGCCCTCCTTCACTGTTCTGATTTCGCCTCCCCTCTTCTACCAGTACCCTCACCCCAGTCAGGACAAGTTTCATTTTCCTAATATTCATTTTTGTTAACAAGCATGTTAATAATTAAAGGGGGTTCACCATGGTATTTCACACATGCATGTACAATGCATTAATCAGATTAATCATATGCATGCATGTATATGTATATATTAGAAGAAAAGACAAGATTTTAATTTTTCTGTTTAATTACTTATCTATTAATTTATTAATACAAGTATCATTTATTATTGATTTATCTATTTAATTAGTTTATTATGATTTATATAGTTGAATGTATTATTTTTATCTATTTTTATATATTCCATATTAGTAGATTTATATCTACTTTTGTATATTAGAGGAGTAGGAAGAAAGGCACAGTTTGAGAGGAAAATGGAGAAAGCTGAGGAACTTCAGGGAGTTGGAATGTCACCCTCCTCAGTAAGACGTAATATGAACTCAGAAGTGGGTCCCGCTGCTGCCACCTTCCAGTGGGTTCTGGTCTGAGGAGTACATACTGGGTGTTC